TTTAAAGATAATATCTAAAGCTTTACCGATAGCTCCCGACAGCTAATATTACTAATTCATTGAAAAATATGTATATATAAGTACTTAAGTATATTTTTGAAAAAAAAACCTGGACAAATGCAGGAGTCAAAGCTATCAGCAGCGAAAAAAATTCGATCATCTAAATTAATTAGCGAACGTGGACTTTTCAAACTCGAAACGTGAACATCCAAGGTTAAACCCGTCAGCAGTTACCATCTTGCATATATGTATGTATGTACCCTGTGTATGTATGTATGTACATACCCCCATTCCTTATATATCATCCCGATGTCGATGACCCTGCCGTAATATGGTATCTGGAATGTTGAGTATAATATAATATATCAGATACAAAATATTAGCACAGAAATGGACCATGGTACCATTGATAGTAAACTGTGTAGTATCTAGTAAGCTAAGCTAAGCTTTATTGTATTTTATTTTATTTTATTTTATTTTATTTCTTTATTTATTCTTTTGTTTTCTTTTTGTTATCAATGGATGTTATTGATGTATGTATGTATGTATGTACGTACGGATGTATCGGCGTACATACATGTGCATACATATCTTGAAGATGTTCCAGCTCACATTACGCAAGCCCGCACACCGCCGTCCAGGCGAATTTCTTCGGATGTTGCGGTTTCAGATGTTCCCAGGGATGAGGGAACCACACCCCTGCGCGTCAAGGGTGTTTGATATCAAAAGGACTCAAGAAGGGAAGCAAAAAAAACAAAAGGAATTGAGAATCGACTCATCAAGGTCCTTGTCTAGAAAAAAAGAGAGAAGGGAAAAATATGTCCTTTCGGCTTGCTTCATCTGTCGGATTGTATCAGGGGAAGTAAGGAAAGAAAGAGAAAAAAGCTTCTAGAAGGTTTCGGGATTCAAGACAAGGGTATAGTGAGGTGTAGATTTCATTATCTATGGCACATACCAGCTCCCGTTCTCTACCAATTGTCTAGAATAAAAATCCTTTTTTATGATTTAATTAAGCAGGTGATAATGTAACTCGTATGATTTGGGGTGAGGGGATTGAAGAATAAAGAAAAAAGATGGGACGAATGGGAACTGATGTTTAAACATTTAGGCACCTTGACAGTCATATTGTTTGCATGAAGACATTTGCAGTTGCCGTTTTTTGCGGTTCTTTCGCCGACTGCCTTCCCTTCCCGACCCCAAGGTTGTTGAATTTTGAGGCCTCACGGGCGGTGGATGTAGAACCTGGCTGGTAAGTGAGGGAGGCTAGGGAACTTCGGGATCTCTTGTGGCGGAAAAATTCGATAGAAGAACGAGTCCTTTTTTCTTTTCTTTCTTGGAGTTCTCCATGTCTCTTGGTTCTAAGACCTGGTTTTCTTATTCTTATTTCCTTCATCTTTGATTCGCATGATGATATTGGCTTGCTCCGTGCACGATCAGTAGCCGAATGAAGTGCGGACCAAGGAAAAATAGGCTTGCATACATCCATATTGCATCCGTCGCTCGCCCGATACTTTAGTTAGTTCAAGGTCAAGTTCAAGTTCAACATCATCATCATTCATCATCGAGGAAGAAGAAACACAGAAAAAACAAAGAAAAGGTCTGAGAAAACAAGGTTGGAATGTGGTGGTCCTATGATGTTGTGCATACGTCGGATTCAGACGGAGTAGGTATGATATCTTGCCTGACCTTACTTGACCTTAACTGACCTGCCTTCTTCCCGTAGTAATTGATATGTTATGGTTTAGCGGCAACTTTCGAACCGACGGGAATACTACCCTTCCCTTTCGAATGTGATCACTGGTCTAATTCCGTCCAGGTTTTTGGCACTGACGAATGAGAGACGGGATAAGACCACTGAACCTGATTACTCTTACTCCCTCGTTGTGTCTCTCTTAATCTCTTCATCCCTCTCTTAGCTTTTCGCCGCCCCCCTTCCGTGTTATTCATAGCACCTCGGACCGTACGGCTGACTGGCGCCCCCCTTCCCACTTCCTCATAGGTAGTAGACCGAGTTAAATCCAGCCATAGGTAACTATCATGTGGGAATTTGTTATATTGGTCCAAGGCTATGTTTGGGGGCTATTTGTTTGCATGTTTGCTTGCTGCCTGCGCGAACCGGGCACGGGAAGCGAGGGTAGAAAATAGTAGTGCATGTACTCGGGTAGTACGGATTAGTTAGTGAGTGACAAAAATATCACCGTCGTATGATTGCATGTAGTTTAAACCTGTAGACGACGATGAGATTGTCAGAGAAGTAACTCCGTATTTACATTAGTAGCCGCTTAGGAGCTATATTTTAGCATTAGTATTCCATTATCGATGGTTTAAGTTATTACTCTACATACCGGTGGACGTACTCTTGTAACGGACTTCTTGTTCAGCGTACAGATTCCACGACACGCCCGTTTCATGAATTTCAGAGCCTGTCGCAAACAGGCCAGAGTATGTCCGTACTAGGACCGTCTTGAGCCTCGAACGCCTGGCCGGAATCCCATTCCAGCATCGGGCAGCCTGGATGGGGATAAGGCTGGGGGCCTCATTAGTCGCACTTGGCAGGCGAGGGCCAGTCAATTGAACCCCTGTCGGCGTCTTGTTCTTCGCCTGGTCCCCTGAACAGCCCTCTTGACTCGATTTTGACTTGGACTTGACTAAGCCGGGCGGAGCAGTCTGACGTACTTGGGCCCGGTCACTGGCGTACCAAGTACGCGGCGCCTGGTGGTGTTAGTATGGGTAGTTGGATGTAGTGGGTGGTGGTGGTACCTGTGGAGTTGACCTGCCCCACTGTGGTTGGATCGCAATTAATTCTAACCATCCATCCTTCCCTCCCAACATTTATTCGTCCCCATCGCCAGACTTCATCCTGTTCCTCCTTCCACTCCCGTCGACTCTACTCAATCAGATTCTCCCATCGGTTAATATCCCTCTTGTTCGTACTATTCTTCCTGCCTCTCGCAGTGCTTCTACAGAAACAATCCAAACCAGAAAGAAACTAAAAGCCGGTACCGGTCCAGCGCTAGGTCGCCACTGTTGTACCAAAACCTCCTCTCCTCTCCTTCAGCTGCATCAGCCTCTCCCCCCGGAGCAGCCCGTTTGCAGTTTCTCTTGTTCCGGTTTCCTTTTCCCTTTAACCACCTATCTCGATAGTGGTAATAGTTTGCAAGAAACATAGGGAAGGGGTGTGTGTGCTTTTTCCTGATCTTATACTTGTCGGGTGATGGAGAATTATATCCTGTTCTCCTGGCTGATACTCTTCTTCGCGACCTTTGTTGGTAGGCTTTGACCCCCCCTTCCTCCCTTCCCCATACCTCCCTCCCCCTGCCGGTCTATAATATAACTACCTGGCACCTCCCTCAAGTACCTTCTCTATTATCTTCCTCTCCTCCTCATTATATATATCTTCATATATCTATAAGGGTACTTCCTTATATAAACATATACTTATACTTATACCATCTTGCTTCCACCTCCAGGACTCTACTACTCTCGTCACATTTGGGCTCCAACAATGGTTCGACTATTCCCTCTCCGTATCTACAACCGTCTACCTTCCTCCTTCACCGAGGATATGGAGGCTGGCCTTACATCCGATACCTTCGATCTATCGCAGAACATCAGCGACAACGATACTCGCTCCGGCCTCGATGCCGCTAGCAAGCGAGAGATCCTTAAGTTGATGAAGACCAAGAAGATGAACTTCGACGAGGCACGGACACAGTTCTTGACCAACAAAATGGCAAAGAACGGTATTGGCCCAGACGGCAGGCCGTTGGATCCTAGGGCTGTCTTCTTCTCGTGATCGATATAAGGATCAGCCAGCCTTTTTTCGTCATACAACCATCACTTCTCGGTCATTGCTTCGAGTCACATTTCCGAAGTATACCAAACATCATCGTCACACGACACCAAAATAACCTCAAATATCCGTTATATATACCACCATTCCTACGGCACCTCCTTTGCCACCGCCAGACTGTGTCTACAAACAAATTCAATTTCTCACAAACCCTCGTCTTCATCAATACATCCTTTAACTCTCTCGTCAAATACTTCATCCTTTCAGCATCACAATCACAATCACAATCACAAAACAACAGTCATCAGCGGAACGGTGTTTTCTTCCTTTCCTTCGTCTTTCAGAGTTTTTCACTATTCTTCATCTTTGCTTTCGCAACATCATTGTCTTGGGGCTTGTGTCTTTTCTTAGTACCTGTCTTTGTTTCTGGAGAATTATCATTATCGGCGGGGCTTATTGGCGTTCTATTTGGTCTTCTTTCCTTTGTTTTTTTTCTCACTCTGATGTAAATGTATATATAAACTGTTCATCTGGGTGGGACTCTTTTCCTTGTCGGTATTTCGGAGTCTCGTGTACAAAAAACTATCTTGTCTTTCCTTTTTTTTCCTTATTCACTTTTTTCCTTTTACTATGAATTCAAACCAAAAAAAACTAAAGACATTGGAGATACTCTCTTCAAAGTCAATTTATTTTTCTTATTTCATACTTTTTTAATTCTCCATTATTATTTCTCTTTTAATTTCCTTTCTTGATTGAATACGTCTCTCTTTTTAAAACCTTCTTTTGGTTTTAATGGGTCTCTTTTTTTTTTTAACTATGGGGGAAGGCTTGAGGAGAGAGAAAAGATAGATACATTGACTCGTATGTATCATCGTTTCCTGGGAGATGCTCCGTGCATCCGTGGGAACTTCTTTTTCACACACTCTCTTTAACAAGGGCTCGCTTGATACCCATGATACCCACGATATTGGCAAGGGGGGGATACTTGGGTCTCTCTCTTTTTTTATCCTTTGGATCAGTTCCGAATTACGGAGTATACAGATGTTAATGGTTTAATGTTTAATGGGCCCCACTATCTAATTACTTGAAGATATATTAATTGGACATATATTATTTATTTTTACCTGTTCAATATACATCTTTCCGGAGTGTCGAAAAGAAGAAAAACAGTTTTGAAGTCGATCAGTGATTTTTATTTATTTATTTATGACAAGAAGCTAGAAGATTTGGGTATCTCCGTTCCGAATAAATTTGAAGATATCGATACCATCGTATTAGTCTCGCTCCGTCTGTCAAAATGCAGATGTTAACATTTGACACTCGGATGTGCAAGCCATCCATATCCACAGCCCATCTTTTTTTTTTTCGCTTCTCTCGTCTCCTGCTTTCGCAGACGGTACAATTGTTTGAGAAAAATGGGGTCTCTATCATGCACCGCTTAACACTCTCCCTCCAGGGCCTTTGTGTATTTCTTTTTGTCTCTCTTCAACTTTTTTTTTTTTGTCTTTCTTCATTGTCGCCCTTGCATTTCCGACTGGTCGAGGGAAGTAGCGTAGGAGTAAAGAAAAGAGGGAACGGGCGCGGTCCTCCTTCAATATCAGATCTAAACGTTTCTCCAATCGATAAAAAAAAAAAAAGTAAGAAAATAAGTCAAGGGACACTAAGGATTCATCAACCTCATTATCCTCCCCCCTTCGTTTGCCCTTTTTTTGAAGGTTTCACCGTTTATTCGCCCAATAGATATCACTGCATGAACGGCTTACCCGGATTTTTTTTTTGAATATTATTCGTCAATGCTCACGCTATGGCCTATGCTATAGTACTGTACTTACACACGTCCCATAGCTAGCTGCAGCGCCAGATCTAGACCAAGGGGAAAAACAAAACCAAAAAAATGATGGAATGTTCAAAGCTGTCCCTGATATTTCTACTTTACACGGCTTTGTGCGATATTTTTTCTTTATTTTTTATTTTTTTGTAAACCCATGCGCATGCCTCATGGGTTTGTATTTCCGAACGTTCATGCCATTCCTGGAAGATGATGGAGGATACTATCACCCTTCTTTTTCATTTCTTAGTCATATTTTTGATTATATCTGTATATATAGATATATAAGTATTTCGGGGGGGGTATCTTTGTAGACGGTAAATATGTCTCAGGGGCGATAATGAACTAGGAACCAACTTTGACTTCCCCCCCACGTATACATGTAGATACATGTACATACGTAAGATTTAAAACACCCCGCCGGTATAGGATATCTCGCATGGCACGCGGAACGGGTCACTTCTCCCTTCCTTTGCGATAAATCAATCAAAATCAACGAAGGAGGTGTGTATACGGTCTTGTGACATACTTCCTTTTCGCTTTTCCCAACTCCATAATAACCAGCGCGGGTGGGATAAAACATGAATTAAGGGAGAAACGAAAAAAAAAAAAAAAAAAGAAAAGAGTGATGGAGGTAACTGATAGCTCTTCTCTTCTTCTTCTTCTTCTTTTTTTTTTTTTCCATGCAACATTCTTCGGGATGTCTACATCCGTTTTCTTTTTTACTAGACCGAATGGATATATAAGAAAAAGGGCCTGTGGGGTTACTGCAACTATTGTTGCGTGACTTTTTTTTTTCTCTTTCTCTCTTCCCTTTCTCCCGCTGGCGATATCGGTGGATGGTTGGAATGTAATGTAATTGGGGGGAAGGAAGGAAGGAAGGAAGAGGTTGGGTCAGACGGGATAAGACCTCTACTCTAGAAAAAAAAAAAAGGCATCCATGATAATCCCACTCCGGTTGCATATCCAAAATAGACAAAAAGAGAAGTTTCGACAAATGCATGTTATGTTAGTATCGATACGTAAGTACAAAGCTATACTCTTCAAAAAGAGTTGTCGTCGAAAGAAGCTCGAGTTGGGGAAAATCCCTGTCGTCAGTACTATCTAACCCATTTCCAAATACCCCGTTATCCGTAAAACCTAACTTAACTTAACTTCCCTGATGCACCTATACTAGGTTCAACCAACTTAAACTTTTTTGCCTTCGAAGAGCCGGGGGGCGTGGAATATAATTAATTAATCACTTAACCAAATCTAGAATAATAACCCCCAACAACAAACCCAAAAACGGTCATAACGTTACGTATAACACTTGTAATTATGATTGTATCTATAAATTCCTTAGACATTTATTAATTGGTACTAAAAACTATAAGACCCCCCCGTGTGACTTTTATATTTAGCCAAGAAGTTTGAAAAGGTGAATCGAGCGGCTAACACCGCTACCGGCGAACGCCCCACCCCCAAGTTCTTCACCGGGGGACTCTCGGGGGCGGAAGAAACTACGTCATTCCGTTCTCATCATTTGAGTGATAGGAAATTTAAAAGTATCGATTAATTAATTTAATTTAAGCTTATAAGACCTCATCGGGGCGGGGGGTTAAACCTCCCTAAATGGGAAAGATATGTTAACTTGCGCAATGTTAATATCGCTGTACATGTGCATACAAGAAACGAGATCGTGGCGAGATCGAGATTAATTAGTCAGGAGATGGGCTAGGAAGTTGGTAGAAGGGAGGAAACCCTGTATTGGCCTGACTTGGCGGGGCATCTTTCTATACTTGAGAAAGGTGACAAAAGAAATCTACGGGATATCCGGATCTGCCAAATCAGGCCCCATTTGATGATTCTATCGACAGACGCTCGGTGTTAACTATAAGAGAAAGAAAAAAAGGGTGAGGTACAATTTATAAGAAGTCGCCGATCTTCAAGTTATCAATTCTTTATCAATATTTTCTAACTATGCTCAGCGTATATTGGTCTCGTTCCCAGATGCCACAAAAGGAGGCTTGCGTATATGTACAAGTCATGTGAGTGATTCAAGCATGGCCAAAAAAAAGCACATCCACAAAGATATGTCGGCAGAAGACAAAAACACAAATAGGAATAATTATAAAGACATTGTAGAGACGGCTTGGTGAATATTTCAATTACAAAAGACAGTAACGCGATAAAGCGATAAATCGAAGGTAATAATAAATTCGAAAGGCCCCAGTAACTATATACGGCTGAGTTTTGCTATACATGAGAGCTATAATAACGGTCGATGTATAAGTTTGGATACCAGTACGTCTTTGCAAATAATTAAATACGTAGAAAAGATATCTCCTCGTTCTTAACAATAAACGTATAACTAAATCAAATCAAATATTAAATTAAGTATGTACCTATTACTCTGTAGGCTAGATAGCTCGGATCCATCGAATGCCTGCCAACCTAATTACAGAAGAAATCACTACTTTCTAAACCTAGTTACTTTTGTTTTGGGTTAACGAAATATTGAATGGACGTATTCGATGATTGCGCTACTACTGCTACTAGTATTATGGCACTAGACCCTCCATATTGGAGTACTACCAGGACCTTTGAGCCCACAAGTAAACTATCAATATATGATTTACAAAGCTTTTGTACTTTTAAAAAAACACGATGCCATCCATTGCCAGGTTCGAAGTGTCACTTGATCTGAACCGGGTCGGTAATCACCCCATCGACACTACAATGGGAGATATCGATGCCATCTTTACATATAATATCAGATGGTTTTATAAAGTGCATATTGCATTCGCATAGCAAGAACCGCGGAAACTCACAATCTATAGACAAAACTCAGAAGATGTGTATTGTTCTTACCGGGTTTGCAACATCCTTTATTGATCAGAACTAGATAAACATATGTGTTGCAAGTGTTATATCTTCAACGTGATTCCCAATGCGGCAACAAGCGTGCAGCAGCAGTCCCGTAACCAACGTGCAGCAGACCAACACACGACGTGGACCACTTGTGGAAAGATCAATAGGATATCCAGAAATTTGCGGTCAACCATGCCGATTCTCTTGTGATACCCCGACAAATATCTACAATTGGAACAACAGCCCCTTTTTCTCTCTTAAATTTTGTAAAAGGAAACTCAATTGTTTCTCAAGTGGAATCATCTAAGTATTAAAACATATCATATCGATATTCCACAAGACAGCACTGCACCTGTGAAATATATAACCAACATCCCGATATTTAAATTAAAAGTCCAGCTTTCAATTAGTATATATATTTTGAACACCAGTACTTGTTAGGGATCTCCTATTGGTCTCTATCTATATATTGCAGGATTCCTCCGGCCTCTCTTCCTTCCCCACTCATCTTCCGTTCTATCAGCACCACCATCATGGCGTCGATTGACAAGCTCCCCATCGAACTAAAAATCGAGATGCTAAGTCACATAAGTTCAACCACCGATTTGGAATCAATATCCAAAACCTGTCGTAGTTTCCATGACATGACGACAGAGCCGTATTGGAATACATTCCAAAATCTAGTCTTCAAGAACGAAACAGCGCACCAGCTGTCTAAACAGCTCATCGGACTTTCAAAACTAAGAAATTACAAAGCAAGTAGCGCTTTCCAGGAGGTATGTGCATACGCCCTATAACTACTTACTCGATTATCACACCAAAACGAAAGTAACTTATAGCTACCCCCAAGGTTAAGTCGAAAGAAGTAGAATTATTCGCACCACCAAACGACCAAGATTACGAAGGTGATCTATCTCAGTTAACCGACCTCCGCCTTACAATACGATGGTTCACAAAACGATTTCTACGACACCACCTCCCGCAAGGCGAACCCGCACCAAGTGAAGCTGAAATCTCTCGTATCGATCAAGCCTTTTGCGTTCTTTGGTTATGGATGGAATCATCTTACGAGCCGACGAAAAGAAAACAGAGTGTCCTCGACGCCGTTTGGTGGGCGACCCAACCGCACAGCTCTAGAGGATGGTACTTCCAAGAACATGGAGTTATCGCGGGAACATTGCTTGCTGTTTATTGGTTTCTCAAGTCACAGTTAGAGCATATAGGCCCCTTGATCGCACAGAGACAAGACAAAAGTAAGATAGATGGTCTGGCGTCTCTTTCATGCTGTCTAGATCAATGTGAGTGTCTCTAATCATTATCTCCCTAGATACTACTACTACGAGCCAGGGCTAATAAAATGTTAGATTTTCGAGTCGGAATACCCAATATAATCTTGATAAACGAAGGGCTCGATGGAGTCAAGGAGATCCTAGAGGCACCACTTGAAAATCAGCTCGAAAAAGCTTCTCCATACTTCGATCATTTGGATTATACTAAAGGGGATAAATACGCTCCTTGGGGAGGTGAAGAGATTTTCGACCATTTCGTTGCTATTATTGGGAGTGTTTGGTCCCGAGAGTTAGATTACTCGGCATTATCATTAAGGCCTTTGTGGAGGTCTCCGAATAATGTTTATAAACTCTATTCAGCAATCTGGGACCAGCATGTTGACTTCGACTACATGTCGACCTTTTGGGATGATGACAGACTTTTACGCCGGGGATATCACCCACCATTGGATGTCTCTGAATTCCGGTGTCCTTCCGGGTACACCTTGACTCATGTACTACCTGAAGGATATACCTGCAAGAATTGCCGACCTGAATGGCGGTGCACCTATCAATATTTTTGGCAAAAGGTTTACCTCGATTTGACCTAAATAGCTTAATATCGGAACTTCTGGATGAAATGCTTAAATTTTTACTTCTGTATAACACATTCGTTTTGCAACGTCTTGGAACTAGATAGACCACTTCTGTATTCCAACACAGTTGAGGAGTCTGGCGACGAGACAATTCTGTATGTACTATACTTAACTTCACGGTTCAGCGCCGTAGTATATGAAATGCAAGACTCAGTGTAATAGGCCAAAACAAAAAGATTGTTTGTATATTCACATCAATTTTATATGCTCAAATTAGCACTAATTATAGCTATATACACTCAAATCTACATTGGCCATATAGTTTTTGGATCTAATATTTATAGTAAATCTAACTTAAAGAATTTTAAGATTTATATATATTTTACCACGCATACTGGGCAGGTGGTTCACTAGCAGACGGTTTATTAGCAAACAGTTTACTAGTAAGCACGCTGATATTTACAAGCTTTACAGCTTGACCATGATTTTGATATGTGGGCATTTTAGTTGTCTCAAACCCAGACCCGGAAGGCATTTTAGGTACAGGCGCCTAGGCTAAGCTGATAGGTAAGGGGTAGCTATAGGTAGGAAGGTAGGCAGGAGTATATACAATTGATTGGGTATATAAACTTCCTTTTTTTTTCTTCGTTTTGGCATGTTATCCGAGGTGATTATCAACATGATCACATCAACCACAGTCTAGGCCTATTCTTATACTTGCTACTAGTTAACCTACTTACTGTATTAGTAGGGTGGTGATGGTGGTGGGTAGACGTCAACGTGTAGTCCGTAGGCTTGTGGGCCCGTGGGCAGACTATATACGGGGCAAGTTTGCTGCCAACCAGCTTAGTAACTTACTGCCTATCAAGGTACAAAAAGTTAGCCCAAAAGCGAACTCACAGTTCCCTATTAGATTATAATGTTGTCGTAGTGTCGGTGTAACATCGTTAAAACGTCGCTGATGCGGCGTATTCATCCCTACGGCGTTGAATTGCTGCTAACTTACTACTACCGAATTCAATTCTTATCACAAGGCTGGAAGTATATAGATGCAGAGTTGAATAATTTAATTCTTATAATGAGATATCCATCTTCTTCCCATATATGTATTCCAAAATCATACTAGTACTTGTGTAGTATCTGAAATGTTAAAAAATAAAATGGTAAAATATGTACCGTGAGAAGAAAGAGGACTAGTAGAGTTGGGATAAAAATCCCAAGAAAAAGCTAATAAAGGGAAAAAAAAACAGAACAACCGCCCCAGCAAAAAAGTAAGAAAGAGAAGAGGAAAAAAGGGCTTGATGCAAACGGAAAGTAATGGAAATGCAATGCAGCTAGAAACCGAAGCAAAAAAGGACACCAACGCCGGTTTTTTGATGTTATGATGATAATGATGCTAAAAAGAAAAGTAAGAAGATATGTTCCAAAAATAAAACCCATTAAGATTCGTAGCACAATGAAGACATAAGATAAAAAGTAAAAAAATAGAAAAAAAAGAGCAGCACTTGTGTGCTGGTGAATGGAAGGGAGGCAGGTGGTGTGCGACACAGATGTCTGGTCACGTGTCAATGCCTCCAGATGGATCGATGACTGTCGATGTTGGTTGGTGGATGTAAAGGCGGGTTTCAAAATGGTAAAAAAAAAAAAAAAAAACACAATTCGCTAAAAAAACGAAGGCAAAAAAAGAAGTATGCAAAGAGGGTATTGGGGATCTCGTTCAAACAAAAAAAAGTAGGAGGTGAGTAGTAGTAGGCGTTGGCACAACTAAACGTTCTTAATTGTGCATGTGAGTGTTTGTTGGATGTCGATCAAGACCCAAAGATGTCGCGGATGAGATCAGGAACCGATCACATGGCAATGGCGATCCCGTTGAGAGCAGCTGGAGTTGGCGTATCCATACGAGAATCGGTGTCGTCATGGGCTCCAGCTAAGTTTCTCGCAAAGATCTTTCGTAGATGATCCTCCTGCTCATCCCAACGGGTAGCGACGTGCTTGATGGCCGTCTCGACCTGATCTTCGGTTAAACTCAATCCTTTATCAGAGTCATGTGAGCTTCGACCCGTGAGGCTCCGCAAAGAGCGGACACTGCGGCGTCTATCCACATTGGAGAACCCGGCGAGGACCGAGAGTCTGCTGGATGGGGGTTCCGGTGCATCGACTGTTTTATTCAGGTCGTTGCGGAGCTTGTCAAGCTGTTCTTTCCTGTCTCGCTCCATTCCCGGTAATGCCAAAACTGAGTTATTTTCATTGCAAGAAGATGCCAACGCGGTGTAACCTTGAAGGTTGATACCATTGTTGCCGCAGTGTATTTCTTGTAGGGAATTATTCGACTCGAGCATTTTGGCGATAACCATGGCTCCCTGTGGGCCAAGGCGTTGTTCTATTCCGAGGACGTTAGCATCACAATCATAGGCAGAAAGGGGGACAATAATTGGAAACCTACGTTCGACTTTTAGGACCTTCAATGTTTTATTATGGCCCAATGTTTCGAAGGCTTTGTTAAGTCTAGCGCCAAGGCGTCCATCTTCGATGCGTCCATAGCCGCCAGAGATATCGAGAACTCTCAATGTCTCATTCTTCGCAAAAAGTTCGGAGAAGGCGTTGATGGTGTCGTTGTTAGCATCGGTTGGGAGGTAGACACGGGAAAGGTCGAGATATTCGATAGTCTTATTGACCGTGATGGCTCTGATTAGCTTTCGGAACATCTCCTCGTCTGGGTAATCGACGTTGCTAATTGTCAGGTATCTCGGAGAGAGACCCTTCTTGATAGCATCAACTAGCTTATTATGGTCGGGTGTGATTTGGAGGCGATTAACAAAAAGATGGAGATTGCGAACTTTGCCATCTTCCCGGGCCAAGCATCCTAACAGTACAGCCAGATCACCTGCTTTGAGACCGCAGTCATTAAGATTCAGTCTTGTGAGGCATTCTGAAGCTGGACTGGCGAGATAGGCTGAAAGAGCATCCACGGAAGCCCCATTGATTGGTGTTCCACTGAGGTCAAGTTCCTGGAGTCGCCACTTGATCAAGATCTCCTCTGGAATCAAGGCATGCTCCTCCCTCGCTGGCCTGGATAGAAATGTGTTCACCGATAGCGAAGACGCTGCTCTGGAACTTCCTGGTTTATATCCACCACTCATAGTCGATTCGGGAGTCCTAGGCAATGGAATCTGAAGGGATATCGATCGATTGAACGAAGGTCTGATTGGAGACGTGTTTTTGGGATAGTTATGGCTTGGCTCGCTTCTAACTGCGAGCTTCAAGTTGGCGAGCCGAAGACATCGCATGTTCGGGAATGCTTGGAGAAGTTCGTAGAGAGGATTCAGGTTCGATGTATTTAACCGACCTGGATTTCCTCCAATATCCAACCCTTCCAGAGTTTTAACCTGAGCTACCAGCGACTCCAAAACCAAGCAGATCGATCGCTCACTCAGGCCGCACTTAGCAATCTCGAGTCCTCGAATGTGGCAGGTCTTATCCACAGCAGCGTCCACAATCCAGGCAATATCGGCTTGGTCAAGCGCGAGCCCCGAAAAAATGATCCAATCCACATTAGTCAATCCCTTTTTGCACAGCGGCAAAACGGCCTCAACAATTTCGCAACCGGTTTCAACATCATCGTGGTCATCATCCTCAGTTTGAGCCCTGGGTGGATCTAGGCACCCCGTAAAGTCGAGTCGACGCAATCGTGCGCTGCATGCCGCGATAGCCCTGAGCTCGAGTACGAGGAGCGATCGTTTTTGACCCCTGGTGTTTAGTTTTCGGCCGGATCGTGTTCTATACGGTTCCATATCGCTGCCATATCCGTCAAAGGTCCCCTTCAATGGCTGAAGACTAACACCGGAGAATGATATCGATCCGAATGATTCGTTCCATCTTAAAGATCTCAACACTGCAAGAAGCTCTAGGACCGAGTACTTCAACCTTCTAGGGTGGTTTGGCGGTAGAAGCTGGAATTTCGGGCCATCCTCGGTATTAGAAATTATTTTATAGTTGATGATATTAATGTCGACCTCATACGATGCGCCTGTAACATTCGATTGTTAGCCTATAAGGGTTGTTTTTGCAAGCTTGACATCAAAGATTGTATACTCACAATAGGCGGCTAAAGTCCTCGAGAAGCATAGGTAGCCTTCATCATAGTCAATATCAGGGAAAGGTTGGTCTAGGAGTTTTTCTGGGATGTTGAGGGTGAACGAAGGCTCTGACCACTGAGGTCGAAGGAAGTCTGCGGCATGTCTGATTGTTTGGATAATCTGAGCAGCACAGGAAGAAGCCAAATGAACTGTTTGGTATGGTTTGCATGGGGAACGGAACTTGAGGGTGAAAGAGTCGTCCGTTTCCGAATTCATATTCAGAGCACACAAGGTAAGGATTCCAAACGTGGTAAGCATTCCGGGAGAATTGAGGGAAGACGAGCTTTTATGGTTTGCTGCTTTCGGTATCGGAAGCAGATGGATCTTGTGGATCCCGACGGCCAAATAGCAGATTGTCGTTGCGTTTTTTTGGATATCTTCAGAGGAACCAGAAATTCTGCCTTGATTACGATCAGACTTTCGATGGACGACCCGGAATATCATGACATTATCAGGTGAATAATCGTGCTCGTCCTTCAGTCTCTTCGAAACATAATCTACTACTTTCCCGGCAAATGGGAGTGTTGTATACGTTGGAAGTCGCACTGTCCTGCACAAAGCTCGTAGCCATTGATCGACTTCTGATTGATTTGAGAGCTGCAAGACAGTTGAAGTGGCGGTTCCAGTGATTTCGTCAAGATGGTCGACTTGGATAAAGTATTTGTCGGTTTCGTGGACGGCAACGATTTGGTTCAGGTGGATGATGATTTGATCCTGTTGAACTTCGCCGGTACTGGGTGCAAAAGAGGTACTTCGGTTACCTGCGACACGGAAGCTAATATTCAACCTGTCGTTTCCCGTCAGCGTCTTTCACTCAAACAACGAGCATTCCCTTTGATTCTTTGCATCGCAAACTTACTGCGGAAACACTTCTACTGCCTTTCCCTGATTCCTAAACCTGAGCAAGTGAGTGTCCGTCAAAACCAAATATTCCCGTTTACTGCTAAACCTTCTCATAAAGTTATTCGCCGATACCACTTCACCAGCGAAGACAATGACTGATGTCCGAGCATTCTTCGTTAAGAAGTCGGGTTCGTCGAAGAGCGACGACGCTGCAGTAGACGTCGAAACCGTTGACGTTCCCGGCGACGAAGGTTCATACGATCTCGGAGTGGCTGCTAAAGAAACCGGACGTGTCGTAACCTTTGGACGAGGTGGAAGCGGCCGATTCAGATCTATTGGAGCGGACGGTTTGCCTTCTTGAAAGGTTTGGGCACGGATTATGGTTCCAGTTCCAACAGCACCACTCTGGTAAGATATCGGTCTTTGCTTGGTGATGAGTTTGGATGTGTATTGGGCTGCAGGTTTCGGATTTGGTGGTTTAGAGGAGAATATTGCGAAGGATTTCCGTCGAGAGGAATGGTCGAATGGCTGCATAGTGGCGGTTGCCATGATGGAAGGAGGATGGAAGGATGGCGAAATAGGATTATAATATTATTTTTGTTTGTAGGACAAAAAGTACGGTTGGTATACCTTTGTCAGACAATTACACAGGCCTACGAGGCCTGCCTACCGTCCGTCCTTTTTTTTTAAGCTTTTGGCTTTGTATATGGTAAACGGTAATGATAATGATAATGTCGTGAGGAAAGACGAGATGGGAATCAAATAACCGCTGTGGAAAATGTCACTGGGATGGCTGGCAATTGGACGCTTTTGGCATGGGGGGCAAGAGAGAAGGTAGATGCTACAGGGATGGAATCATAGAACTCATGAAAGTGACGATGAAGGTGATGCTGAAGCTCTACTGATTTAGGAAAGGACGGAAACAAAAGCGAAAGACAAATGCAGGAAGAACAGATCCCGGGGACTAAGGAAGAAGAGGAGGAGGAAGAGAGTTATTTGCGAAGGTTGGTGGTGAAATGGAGATTGATGAAACGGGAAGCAGAGGTTGTTTGAGGTTGATGTTGATTGAGGTCGAGAGAGGTGATGTGATGTGATGTAAGTTAATCAATCGATAACGTTCGTTGTTGTTGGATGGTGTTGTTGTTGATGTTATTTGGTATTTGGGGGGTTCGAAAGTGTTGTGTTTTGGGCGGATGGAGAAATCGAATCGATGACGAAGGAAATGACCAGGGCTGTTTATCCGCCACGCAAAAAATAGAAACTGGCAGGTAAAACTACTCTCGACGGGCTTCAGTTCGCGGTAAGCTAGCAGCTGGCGCTGGCCTGTATATATGTGTGTGCCTGGTACTGGTACGGCCAAGTCTGTGGAATACTAGCCTCGAATCGGGTCGACGGCAAGTCAGGCAAAGCAGGAATTCGAAGGATATGATATGATATGATCTGTCTTGTCTGTATGCAGTCGTATGCAATGTATGTCCGTCTGTTTGGTAACTTTCAAGGAAGCTATCTCCAATCCGGAAAGGGGCCTTTTTCCCTCCAATTGCCAAAGAATGAAAAAATAAAAAATAGAAAATAAAAAATAAAATAAAGAATACTTCGAGATGGAAGAAATAAGAGAAAAGGACGACGTGTCGTAGACGGGTTCCCGGGTGTCTCTCGTCTAAAAGAAAAGAAAAGAAAGAGAAAATTAAAAGAAAGAAAACTTTAGATTCAAAACAATCTCCCTTCTTTCCCTCTCTCTTGCTTCCTGTTAATATGTAGCAGCTCTTGTCGAAGGAGCAGTGTCCTGTCTGTCTGTATGTTTGAGGGGCAAAGCCGCCTCTTCGTTATTTGAAATTGGACCGGTGCAGTGCTTGTCTTGTCGTGTCTCTGAACCCGAACCTGAACAACCACTCTTAACCAGCTTAACTCCAGGACGTCGCTTACAAGCAGGTTAACGTGCAGCTGAACCCACCTGCACACTCTTTCCCCTGCAATTGCACTTGCTCTTTTAACCTCCAAATTAATTAAGCCCTGTCCGTCTGTCTCGTCGGCAAGGGAAGAAAGAAAGAGAAAGAAAAAAAAAATCTTTGATTGAGCCTGAGCTCGGTCGAAACCCCGTTATGATATGACCTGATGAGAGAATAAACCCGAAAAGAAGAAGAAGAAGCAGAAGCAGAACAAGCAGAAGATAGTAAGTATGTGGGATGAATGATGAATCGAATGATGAATGATCCGAACTCCGCAATTCCGGAAACCTTGCACCAATCCGTCAGTGAGGGGAGGGAAATATCTGAGAGGAAACTAATCAATCGAGTCGCAATTTTAATTTTTTAATCCGATGCGATGATGCCGTTCTTCAGCTATCTGGCGATTCGATTACGATCCCACTCTCTTTTTTTCTCTCTTTCCCACTCTCTCGTCTCGTCTGTTCGTATTTGGCCCTGGACCCTGTCTTATCCCGCCCCTCAAGGTAAATGCCAGGGTTGGTAATGCGAAGAAACAAAAGAGAGCTCGAAGAAGCCCCAAAACGTGGGACGATACTCTATATAAAAAAATAAAATAAAATAAAAGACTAAACTTTTTATACTCCGTACTAGAAGGTTGAATAAAAAAATGAAGAGGGCCGGGTTGGCGAAATCCCACTCTTTTCTACGGATCCTATTTTTGTTTCCCAGCTCGCGACTGACGACGTTACGTTTATTTACCTTGCGTCGTCTTCACGGAAAAGAAATAACAAACAATGCAATGCTCTGATCAATTGATCAGTTCGAACTAGTGTCGGCACTCTGCGGCGTTCCTTCTATGCGAGATTTCGGGGTGATTAAGGTTTCACTGCCTCAACTTCACTTTCGAGTGCAGTGCGACCTCAGATAACCGTCCTTAATGAACACACTTGCTTTTTTGTTTTTTCTTGGATACCTCTGCCCTTTCGCTCTGTGGGTCCGGTTCTGGTTCGATACGTGCGTCTTCTCTTTTGGGCCTGATGCGGCTGGAAGAAAGGGAAAAAAAAATAACAGTTTGATGGCGCTCACAAAAAATGTTGGTGTCTGCCTCGAGGCCCTTTAGATGTGTGCGTCTGTATATGTACCATGTACCCTCAGTACTGCAGTGTATGGGATGTGGGGGCCGGGCCAAGTTGGGAACAATATTGTGCGCCTCCTCGACTTACCATTGGCAGGAGATGTAACTTGACTGGGGATTAGACGATGCAAGGCATGAAAACCTACACCCCGGTCGACCGTCAATGTCAGTCAACTTTTTTTTTTTTTTTTTTTTTTTTTTGCTCAAGTTATTCCTTTCGTTTGTGGCCGCTTGCGAAATGTTGTGATCTTCTTTCTCAATCCGGCGGGTCCAAAAGAAAACTCTTCAAATGGTACCTGTAAGTATGAGTGAATTCGTCGAAGGTCTAGTGTCGGTTCGGTGATAGTTCGTATGTAGAGTAGTGGAAGAACTAGCAATGTTCCAGGCGCAATGCACCGTTGTGCCGTCGCTGTCGCATATATTTGGCTCAAAGGTTCCAAAGGAAAAAAATAAAATAAAATAAAACTTCACTAGACTATACACAGTACTCCAATCAGGCACGGTCCATCAAAAGCATGCGTCGGCTTTGCAAGCTTTGATACAATCTGACATCTACAAAACATGTGTGGAAATAAAATCAGGGACTTCCATCTATGGGTCAAAACATACCTCGTCTGATGTAGCAATGCAATGGCTGTTCGCATTCACTCAGCTTATATATATCCAGGGACGTGCACTGCACCCTCGATAACACTCGAACGAAACTCTATGGCGCAAGTGCAAGTGAAAAGGGTCTGATTGGGGGGGGCTCCTCCACAGATAAAAAGGGTCATCAGATCGTGGGATTACTTTTTTTTTCCTTCCCCCTCTTTCTCTTTCCTTTCTGTGGGTTTCAAAGTCGAGATTTAACCTCGCACGTCATTGTTTCAAGTTTAATTGAATCCGCGTTCAATTATCCCGATCCTTAACCGATAGAGGGGCACTATGGGCGCTCGTAATCTGGAACTTCCAAGTGCAGCTATCTTCATGTCATCCGGTCCGAATGAGCGCCAAAAATATGGATCTATCAGTCGATACAGTGTAGGAAATTTTATCCCGAATTATAAAATAAAATTTCCAAGATCTTACTTAATATCTATGAATATTAACTAGCCCGATTTCTGTTTTCGGTTTCGTTTTTTCTTAAATTTGGCGGGTGTGCGGCGCCGCCGCAGTCTCGTCTCGTACGTATGTCAACCTACCAACACCTGGCCATGACACACGGTTAACGAGCCGACCACGACATCGATCCAAGGATGCACAAGAAGTCACCTATTGAAGAAGAAAAGAAAAGAAGAAAAAACATCCAGAGATGGGTATAATGGGATCTGGAAACTTGATCTACTAGTCTTGTCACCCGTTCTGGCCTTCCGAGCCCTCTGTAAACGCCTCAAATATTCACAGGCAGCGAGAAATTTGACCCGATATCATGTCATATGTATCATGTCATGTCCATCCCCTCAGAACCAGAACCTGTGAATCGAAGACGACAAGTTGAATCGTCATAACTACTTACTAGTCTAGTCTCCTCGAATGGACTTACCAGAGGGGGGCAGGAACTAAACGGGATCCCCATTCTCAGATCCCGAACCTTAAAGAGGAAGAGAGAAAAGGTCCAAAAAAACAGTCCATACTGCAGAATGCAAAGCATGCACCGGCCTAGGCCATTTCCCTTTCCTGTGCCCAGCCAAGCGTAAGCCGTGGCGAGCTGCTTAACCGAAAGGAAAAACCACCGAAGCATAACATGAACAGTCACTTCACATACATAGTACATAACAGTTGTCGTTATGTGTATCGGGGGGCTCGCATTGATGTGTAGATCTTACGGATCTCGAGTATAGCGTGGGCAATCCCCGCCGTACTCGGAAGAGGAGTGGACAGGGGTCCTTGTTCCACTGTGATCTTCAGAACTTCCAACCGCTTTCACAGCGGTTTCAAATTTAAATACTTAACTATGTAAGTACCTAGGTAGTTAGTCATGTGTTAAACAAAAAAACCGTCTCGAAAATCTTCCCCATTGATGCATTTCTGCAGGATCCTAGGGATCTCCATGCTCTTTCACAAGCTTAGAATCTTTAAACATATATGAAGTAAACAATCGACTAACATTCGAATGCAGTTGCGACAACTATCCGTTCATCGACGTCACAATTCCAACATTCCATTTATGCTTGTTTTGGGGGGAGGCTGGTCCAGACAGGGACATGGGCTTGAACTATTCGGTGCAATCCCCGATCTAATCGAACCACCAAAAAAAAAAGCTCTTCAGCTAGCTTTCCGTCCAGCCCCAGTAAATGTAACTTTTCCACAATGCGACGGAATGGCAGTCATCCGAGAGACATTATAGAAATTGATAATATAAGTTAAGTACTTATATTAACTATAGTGTGGGGACTTATCGCGGTGGTTGATAATGCTGTGATATTCTCAGCCCTTAAGACCAGGCCTCCGACTTTACCCTCAATGCTACCCACTATGCATACGGGTATACATACTCCCGCCTATGGGTCAACAGAAGTTAAACACTCCTATGGTGAATTCCTGTAGATTCAAGGCTGTTAGTTGTTATAATTATAGTGTTAATATTAAATATTATCTTACTATAACCGCATGTAGCTTCTCCTTAACGTACTATGTAAGTCCCTACTAATGTACTCCATCTTCCAATCACAATACAACCCGAAAACGCTGTAAATTCTCCCCTTCGGATCTTTTTTTCTGCTCAATCACACCTTCACATTTTGCCCACTAATACGGGGTACATACAGCTGAGTTCCTCTCTAACTAGTCTCCAGAATTTAGCTTACCAATTAATCTCCATACAAGTGCAGATACTCACCGCAAAAGCACACCACTTTTGCACCTCACTCGAATTCAACCTCTCCACGAGCAACAGACAGTCGAAAGACGTGATTCGATTCGACCAACATGCAAAAACATGGAACCAAAAAACAAAAAACAAAAAACAAAACCGCACCCGCATGAACATGAACACCACGCGCGCCTAAAGAAACAACAACAAAAACAACGCAAAATAAAATAAAGTGACAGGGGGGCACGTTGTTAAGTTTGGTGTTACCCGAAACGCTGAAAATGTCCAAAGTGGTACTCGACCCTGAACTCTGTGGATCCGGATCCAAAGTGACAGCGAACAGACAGATGTCATGTACATGTACATGTACCTGTACGCACTTGTACATGTCAACCACATCTGCCACCTCCAAAATAGCTCCTTACTTCCTTACCTACTTACTTAGCCGTTCACTTAGCTTCTAAAATAGTCCAAGCCTTTTCACCTTTTCGTTTTCGTTCTTCGGGGTTAAAGTGCCCGATCCATATTATCAACTCTGAACCTATAAGTCACCATATTTGATACTATTGACGTGTCCGTGGCTTGAGAATTTTATGCCGTTGCTGCAATTGCATGCAGGTGAAAAGCAGAGACCGATATCCGGTGCATAAACAGGGTCTACCCTTTTTTTTCCCTTCCCTTCCCTTTCCACTCACTGTTTTTATTATTATTTTTTTACTTTTTCTCTCCGCAAAGAGATCGATCTCGCATTCAGCTCCCAAAAAATGCCGAGTCGACATGGAGGGCCTCATCGCTACCATAGCCAATGACTTCTCTGCAGGAACAAATAAGCAGGGATATTCGTTGAAAATTGAAAGAAAATTTATAGATGAAAGGCTGAAAATTATCAACTAGTCCTAATATCAATATCTTAAGCGAGTTCAATATGTGCACGGATGCTGGCAGTCTCCTCTAGATCTATGTATCGTACGCGTACCCCAGTCGTCTGAATATATACAAGTGAAAAGGAAAAAAAGTTTTTTTCCTGCTTTATAATACAAAATTTATTTACAAATATTATTGTACAAGTCTTCACTCCGCAGTAGAAGCCCTAATTATAACCTAACTAGCCGATGACACAACCGGCCAGTCCCGAAATCCCAGTCCAGCCTCATGACCTACTCCTGTAAACTACAATATCACCTTCCTCGTCTTCTTTCCTCTGTTGAGCCGCATATCGCTCGCCTTGAAGCGAAAGTTTCTTCAAGTGCTGCATAAATGTACTCTTCCAGTTGGCATCGTATTCTATACCTTCCTTCTTTCGCCTTTTGATTTGCCCCAGAGTCTTAGTAGCCGCTTTGTTGTCCATCTCCAAAAATGCGTAATTGACAGACCAAACGTCTTTAGCGTTCAGAGTAGTCGGGCGGTCAACCTTCTCACCGTTGACGGTGCTTTGGGCGACCAAAACTTGAACGAACGGGCCATCATCGGTCGCTGCGGTTTCAGCAGCGGCAGCATCGTCGGTTGCAGAGTCTTCGGATATCTGTTCCGTTGTCGAAGTCGACTCATCATCGCTTCCAACGGATTCTTCCGCCACAGGATCGACTGATCCATCCGTAGAATGCTCTGTCTTAGGTGCGGCTAAATATTCCCAACCTGATTTCCCTTCCGCCAGAAGTCTTGCGTCACGTACTGGATCAATCAGCTTTTCGCCTTCTATGGTTACAGATTCTAGCATCTCTGTACCCTCTTGAAGTGCTGAAAGGGTATCCCGAGCCTCTTCTTCATCCTTCTCGATTAGTTCCGCTGTGGCTGCTTCGGTCGGTGTTTTTTCCACTGTGATCTCTTCCACTGCGGTCTCTTCCATTGCGGTCTCCTCCACTGTCTCCTCCACTGTCTCCTCCACTGTCTCTTCCACTGTCTCTCCCACAGTGGTTTCCTCTAATGTGGCTTCCTCCATCTCCGGTTCAGATTTCTGTACTGCAGGTTCATTCCGTCGCGGCCCCATACCATCAAGGCCCGGGGGTCGTGAAGATTTTTTGATCTGCTTCAGAACAACATTTATGTCTGCCCCTCGCTCTTGAGAAGCAAGGACTTCTTCTTCTGTTATAGGTTCTGCAGAGAAATAAAGGAACGGCATCGCCGACTCCCTCGTCTCGAACCACAATCGAAGCGACTGTAACTATTAGCATATATATCGTAACCCATGATCAAATAGAAAGACAAGGTAACCATACCTGTTCCGGATACTTCTCTGTAGCTTTATCCAATGCTTCATTCAACAATCTCAAACTTAGCTTGAATTCCTGGTCTCCAACTTCCGGACTTCCATGCAACGCTTCGTCCATCTCATCGATGCTAATATACTGAAATCCAAAAATACGCTTCGTATTGTGATATGCTACAAAGCAACCGTCCATACGTCCCATTCTAACCTGTAAAGAATATTTCATAAACGCTGATCGTATGAGGTCGTAATATTCACGTTCGAATGATTCGAATTGTCCGTCGGCTGTTTTGATTTGATAACCCCATCCGGTTGCCGGCTCAGCTGCGTTCATTCGGATACTAATGACTCCTCTGGTTTTTAAATCGAAGACACCGGTGCCAGGTAGCCTATCATCATGTGCATCCAGCTGTGATCTGAATAGTAAATCTCCAAAGCCGGTGTAGTGGTATCGTTCTCGTGCATTTTTTACTTCATCCGGAATCTCGTGCGATGCTGATTTGTGGTATTTTTGGAATACTTCAGGTGGGAGCGTTAACATCTTTTCCATCGAGCGACCCAAAAACAGCAAGATGGTCTCCATGCTATCGGCTTCTTTATCTTGATCTATGGCGTAGATTCCATCCTTCCACCGAAGAATTACGGAAACCGGTAGTCGGGAGAGTCTTGTGAAATTCTCGCTTTCGGCTACGAACCCCTTTGAAAGCATCTTGACGTTGATAGGTCGCCACCGGGAGAGGAGGTAGTGGAGATGTGATAGAATTGCAGTCATACTGGATGTCGAACCAACGTATTTCTTCTGGGACCCCCGGGCGAGGTCGATAAGGGTCGTATCCTTAGATGAAGTGACGTAGTCACCAAGCGCGTCAAAGTCGAATTCGTCGACAGGCATGATAGTGTCAAGGTAGGGATCGAAGTTATAGACTCTTGATCTCGGATCTCGGAGAAAGGTCACACCTGGGCTGTTGTTTCGAAGATTAGTCAAATATCAAGGAGTAGAGGCCGCAATGCTCTGATTTTCATACTTAAATAGGACACGATCGAGCCCGTGGCTCAATGGCCGAAGCTCAACGTTTTGTTCAAGGTCAATTGCTAGTGTAGAGGTTAGATGGCTTGATACTCGTTATGTAATTGTAGATACATAGGCTACCTACGTTCGAGTTGATAGTCTTTGGCAGTAATCGTAGTAGCATCGACTTCTAGTTTCTTTTCCCTTGCGCTTTTGCGTGGTTTCTTTTCCTCATTCCCCGACTTCTCAGAAGTTCCCTGCTCTTGATTTTCCAATTCTTTCCCACCAGCGTCCTCAATAGTCTTGCCGGAAGCTTCGCCGTTCGCTTCATTGGTTGATTCTAAAAGCGATTTTGTGGGTTCGCCTTCGGTTGGTTGATCATTGGTATTTGTCTTATCCCCAGAATCGATCTCTGTATCTGCTTCCCCGATTGTTGATCCATCTAGTGGCCCAGCCCCTCCCATGAGTGGGTAGTATAGTGCATCGTTTTTAGCTCTTTGAGTTGATGCCTCTAGCCACGAACTTGTTTTCTCTTTCTCGACTTTCATTTTTTGCATCGTTTCCTTCATCGCGGTATGCATTAAAAGGAGGTTATCACTGGTGATGGCCAACCTATTCACCGAAGGCCACGTATGAGGTGTCACCGAGAACAGTTTCGCCGCTTCGCATATCTCTTGAGCTCTCTTCACCCGGTTTTCTTCTGTTTTGGCCACCACTGAGGCGGTTTTAGGGCCTCCAGTTTCCGTGGTTTTGTTTTTCTTCTTGTGTTCAGCATCCTTCTTTAGCTTTTCCGCCATCTTTTTCCTGATCCTTATATATTCCTGTAGTTTCTCTATAAACTTCGTGTGCTTCATTCGCATCTTTTCAACGACCTTTTCTCTTTCTACCGGTGTCATGGTATCCTCCATGGGGAGGGCTCCCTTCTTTCGCTTCCCAATTGCTTTGAATGTGACCCCTTGTTGTGGGAACGACTCCCCATCGTTCTTTGGGAGTAGAAGAGATGCAGATTGGTGAATTTGACAAGTGCGACAGATCCATGGAGATCGCTGGTTCATGAAGGGCCGCGAACCGGCCCCGGTCAAGGAGGCTCTCATCCTTAACATCTTTATTGCACAAGCTACTCTTGGCCCTTGAAGGCAGAGTTTCAGGTATGCCTGTTTTGTTGAAGTGCGATGCCGACCCTAGCTTGGAAGGGCAGACAAGATGGTATACTGAAAGAGAGTTGATGCTAGATGCTGGCTCAGGATGGGATCTTGAAATATATTGATCTTGACATTAGCGCTTCCTGCCGAGAATATGACTAGAAATGGAAGGTATTTGCTTACCATCCTATCCAAAAAAACCTGTTGTACAAATTATGCATCAGAATGATGATTCGTGGTGATATCGATGCATATTGATGCTAGTCATGAAGCTCAAAATCCATGGAGCCTCTCTAAGTTCTCGTTGTTGCATGTCCTAAAGAAGATCCGGCAAGAAATTTTTCGTTTGGCCGAAAAAAAACTCGGATAAGTTTCCGGATTGGGACGCAGAAGCACAAGCACAGTTTGAAGGCTTGGCAGTCAAAGGTCTACAAAATGTGTTGATGTGTTGGGACCTCCCAAGATATCACATTCGGTCGAATTACAACTCCGACGTTGGAGTCCGTATATTATACAGTTCGCCTTGCAAATTACTTGGGACATATACTACAGCTCGTGGCGGGAATACCATCTACTCGGTTCAGGAGTTATAAATCTACCCAGCTCGCCTGTTTTTTCATTGTTGATAGACGAAGGTGCATAATATCAGTTTCGAAAGTCATATCTTGGTAATCCCTCGTATGCAATCCCCGCACTTAAGTTGTTAAGTTAATTAATACTGGAACTGATACATGATACCGCATATGCAACTTCTATTCATAAGCTGCCTCAGATTCTGCTTGATATATATCTCTCAGCTCCCATGTGCTGCTCACCAATTTCAAAAGAAATATGATATACGGCTGGTCAATGCATTGGAAAGGCAGGGTAACGGTACCCGATTGCTCATCCAGTAGATGCATATAACCCACGGCACCGGCAGGCTGAACTCGAAAAAACGATCGCCAAGTCAGCCTTCACGCAGTATAAGCCAACTGCAACTGGCCCAGCCGGTGCAAAATGATATGGGCTCCACTTTTCTCTCGTATTCTTGCCAGAAGGAATCCACAGAAACCAAGAAAAGAAAAACAAAATGTTATCATTTCACGTTATTGAATTGCTAACCGACACGGCACAAAGGCTTCGTTTTCGCTAAAAATATTCAATGGCCCTGGGGAGACATACTGGTGTGGGAGATTCCCAAGGTGCATACTCCGTACATATCTGGTATATATCGTAGAAAAGGTTGAGGAAAAAGAAAAAGAACGAGACAAGTTGAACTCCTTAATAATAGATAGACATGGTAGGTGCGCGGCCGACTTGTGGTCTGCTCTTTTTTTTTTTTTTTTTCCTTCCCCATGAAATGCACCTTGTCGAGAGCTCATGCGGGTTATAATGATACGATTTAAAGATCATGAGGTATTGACAATTGCTAGGAGGACCTCAAGGTGGATACCATCTTTCCAGATAAATGAATCTACGATGGGGTTCACGTTTCGGCCGGAGAATATCGTCTTTCGGACAATGGACTAGCCTTCCCTCTGGCCCGAACTAGCGGGAGTATAAAATGGTTCCTGACTCCTGTGATAGCATCATATCTGAAGAATAGATGAGACTCGGTGGAGAATATATATAATTCAGCCAGTGGATTCGAGGACAGGTCAAGTCATTGTCGGGTGGAAGAGGGAAGAGCCTTGTTCGCGTGCACAAGATATGGCACACCCCTCAGCAATCGCTATGGGACGGCTCCACAAATTACTCGACACGTGCATGTAGTGTGGGTTTTAGCTATTTTGCCGTTAAAATTGTGGTTGTGAATTAGATGGCTTTCCCAAGTCATCGAAGGCTAAATAGCTATGGCGCTGCCCGGAACAGCATATTTACCGGCGGTATTCCTAAATTCATGACCTCTTTGGTCGACCTGATACACACATATGTCAGTACTTACAATAGAAAAAAGCATACTAAAATACCCCCTTGCCCCCACTTTTAAATTTCACAGCCTGCGTGCAGTCTACATGCGCATGCTTAGTGATCGCGAGAAATTTTTACCCGCCGTAGTTCAGTTCTAGTTTGTGGATGTCGTTTTTTTATCTGAGGTTTTGTGACACGAACAAATTTTTTTTGTTGAAAAGCAAAGCATGGAAAGTTCTTCCAGAAATCTTCCGTGATACCGCAGGAACCGTACATTTGCCACCACAGCGGCGAACGCGAACCTACTTAGTTTGCTTCAAAATCTGCATGTCTCATTGCAAAAAGAGCTTCCAGAAGGATATAAAGCTTCCTTCGCACTTTTCTGTCGGCTTCGAATCGAGAGGGACGCTCGGGCGCCGCAAGCTTGGGGTCGTACCCCTGCAAGGTGGGCAAGAAAGCGGCGCACAACCTCTTTCTTGCTCTTGGTTCCCAGGTACCGCCGGAGCAGCTTTGCGCAAGTAACACTCACAGGCTGCAGGCAGCTACACGTTCCTCTCGATCAAGCTAGAGGTTGTGGGGAACGATGGCTCGAGCAACCAATTGGCCCCTCCGGTTCAACCTTGTTGCAGGGCTAATCCCAATATCAGTGACTTGGACGCCCAGGAAAAAGAGACGAGAAGCATGGCAGTTGGCACTTACAGGAGGGGACATGGAAAACTAACCCGGCTGCATATTCACCACCAATATAAGACTTAAGACTCGTCGACCACCTTGCTGCCCTTGCTGCCCTTGCTTCTCCGCTCGAGGTTGAGGGATGCGAATCCACCCGGCTGCATTCGATCTACAGAGGATTGGACCAGAGCCAAGGCTGGACAAGAAGGATCCTTAGGACCGCACTATTCTTCCTCAGCGGGTGTTAATCTAGTCCAACGTCACATTGTCGTCCACATGACTTTTAACAGACAGATAATTATTTTCTTTTCTCCCTGCTCCTCTATTTCCCCTTCATTTGCAGGGTAGATACGACGTTACGTGAAATATCTATTTTGTAATAAGCCTGCAGAGCCTGGCTGCTGAATTGTTAGATTGTCTCCCCCCGGTCTATACCATACTACACAGCACATGTACTATGTAATATAAGTACACTTTGTTTCTGCCCTGTTTCCACTTTTAATAGGACTTACTGTGTAAGGTAGCTGGGTCGGATATATAAAGATATTCTACCCATGGAATATTAATTCTCTCTTTCGTCAGCCAGCTAGTTGGATATTCATGGGACCTAGTCGACCTAGTCTTTCAACATTGTCACTTTACCAGTCGAGTCGCATCAGATTCGATTAACTACCAGTTCCTAGAGCGCGTGGGGGCTCTCCTTGAAAGTCCGGCGCATAGTGGAAGCATCTTAGCTTGCTAGCTTCGAATTGTGAGCTCGGTCCACTTTATATTTATTTATACATCCGTATAGCCGCACGTTGAAACTCGACTCCAAAAAATCCAGAGACCCGGCTTATTTCCCTCACGAATTTTTTATTTTTTAAATTTATTATTTTTATTTATTTTCATAAAACATTTTACTCGATGCAAGTTCAGAATATCACAACCATGGAAGGGGTGTTATCTGTTCCACCGGAAAGGAACCTATTAAGTCGTGGGAACTGGAAGGTACGGGCATGCAGTTATTTCGAACGGCTATATCAACAGCCTGGGGTTGACATTGCATTGCAGAATCGATATGTAGTCCTCGGCCCGCGAAAAGTCCTCAGCAACACATCCGCCCCGAGGAAAATGTCTGCCGTGGGAGTATCATACGACGAGGACTTGGGCAGCGTGGAAGATGTATTCAGTAATCATTCTGAAGATGATTTCCCGGCGAGATATTTTCCTGATATGAGGCTTAGTATATATCGTCAGCGGGTATGTTGATTCTGTTCCTTTTTGGTTTATTCTCAAGTAATTTTAAACTAAGGGATGTATAAACTAACGGTGAGATTTGAAACTAGATGGATCCCGAGCCAATGGTCTCCTATTCGTATGTCAAATCTTGTAAAACAGTTCTCGATGATATGAAAATATCTAGATCTTACTAACGATATTGTTTTTTTAGTCTCGATTGCGTAACTTCGTGTTATGTTGGCGATATTGCACACCGGAAAGCATTCTCTTCAATGAGCAAGACGACATATAATCCGCTCTGCCCGACCTTAGTCGTCAACCTTCAACTAGACACAAGTTTCCCATCATCTCGAAGAAAAGGAATGGACAGTCCCACAGCCAGCGTTTCACAGCTCTACGAACCGGATGACGGGAAACTTACGCTGTTTTTCCGATCTGGACCTAAAGACACGCCATTAACAATTTGGTGTCGAGAAATCCAATCCCATATTCGCTCGACCAATTCTCGACGATCCTCTTCAGTAACTTTTGGAGGCGACAAAGCAATAAGCTCGAGACATTCTTACCGGGCTACTGCCTACGATCTAAAGATTGCAGAAGACGAATGGGAAGAAGAACGTGCCGGCCACCACCATCATGATCATTCGATGATACCAACGACCAGATCATCAGAAGAATCCGGCGAGTCTTCCGGAGGCTCTGGAACAGGAGCACCACGGCCAATTTCTACATTAATGATGCATGAATTTGGACCCGGACCTTCTATAAGTACGAACCAATCACCCATCGATCCGCACGAAATGTCGCCAACGGGCGGGTCCGAATATATGACCTGCGCCAGTCTATCAAGCTCTCCACGAAGAGAAACTATTCTGGATCGAGCTTTCAGCATGAATTATATACCTTCATCACCAACCCTTTCTACAACTTCACATTTTCTCTCAACGCCACCTATCAATTCTGTTGCTCGATTTGAGGCTGTCGCCGCGGATCCATCGCTATCTCGGGATTACAGATACAGCAGTCGCGATGCCGATCCAAGTGTCATGCCAGCATCATTTTTCAAATTCAAATAAAAGTTTTCCTTCAGTCTCCAATCGTTGATTCTCTTTTTTCCTTTCGAAATGCTGTACATATATACCTTCACTCGCACAGTCTCTGTATATACGACGTCGCCGACGTCTGAGACTTTCCCTTCCTTTTCCCTTCCTTTTTACACATACACCTACGAATTTCCTTTGTTTTCAGGTTATCTTTCTTTTATCATGATCATCACTCAAGACGACCAACGAATTTCCTATGTTTTTTTTGGGGCGGCATCTTTTGGATTTTACATGCATTCTAAACCATCATTTTTTTCTTCCAATCCTATCTCATGTTTTTTTTTTTCCCTATTCTATTTATTTCCCCTTTACAATTTAATCTAGATGAAGTTTTTAGCGCTTACGGGAGGGGGAGCACAAGGAATACAGCGGGGAAGGAGTATAGTATTTTCCAGCGGTTTTTTTTCTCTGCTTTCTATTCTTCTATACGTTTTCTTTTTTTTCTTTCCTTCTTCTTTTTCACTTTTGAATTCTCATAATGAGAAACACACCTACCTACATACGTACCTTATGAAAAGAGTAATAATGACTGACCCACATTTTTCCTGTTTACCCTAATTGTAATTCTCTCTCTGTTGAAAGAGCTCAAAGCTTTAAAGCCGGAATCCTCCGTCTTCTGACACCCCTCTCCGTCACAAAAATATCATAAAATACCCAGCCACAGCCGTCTATCCCGCTCCCGGTCCAGCCCGATCTGCAGAGCGATCACTTAAGTGGTTCTATTGTACATACATAAAGTACCTTAATTAATAAAAGAAAAAAATGGTCTGAGACATACATATACAAAAAAAAAAAAAGAGTAACCCACCGAATGGGGGAAACATAAACCGATAGATCAGTGCGTTCCAAAGGAAACAAAAAAAAAAAATACAATGTGGCAGTTAACCAGTTAAACAAGCTATGCATGTCCTTGTTGAAATTTCATTTATCAATCAAAAAATCCCATGGACAAAGTTGAAAGAACCGAACAGATCGCGCCTAAAAAAGACCATACCGTGCACGTGCACAAAAAAAAACCTGGGAACGGCGAGACGGGAGGGGTCAAAGAACCAGAACAAAAAAAAAAAGATGTTGTAGAGGGGTCAAAGCTCCTGCCGTAGGGTTTCTATGATAGGTCGAGTAAACCAACATAATTGCTTAAGAATTCTTGCATAACTTTAATATCATACATACCAAGAGGTGCGCACCCTTTATTTCGTAAATCCACTCACGGCAGTAGCCCGTGTGATGCGCCATGGTGGCCGGTGGGCGTTAGTCATTAACCGTTTATATATATGGTAATTAATTTTTATTGTATAACTATGGGGTAAGTGGCTAACTTTGTTTTCGAAACATCAACGGGATCTTGCGTAAGCGGTTGGTAAGGTCTTAAAAGTCTAATTGCTGAGATAGAGCTCTGAGCCGCGTTGGTAATGGGCTGTCCATTACGGCAGCTGGGTTTATGAAGATTTTCTGATTCCTCGTATCATATGTCCTCGTGTACTGTGTATGTGTGTGACATGGACCCCGTTATCCAATTAATTATTCAGCACTCGTCCGAAACCAAATTGTCCAATAGTAGACCTTTGATTAGTTTCAAGTTTCAACACGGACACATTAGAAACTTAAAGGCAACCAACCCTGTCATGTAATGTTGCCGTTAACTTGGAAGTCGAAATATATCAGAAACTCGGCTCTCAAACGTTACACAATTACAGAAAGAAAGAAAGAAAATGAAAACCAAGACAGGCTCCCTTGTTTTTATTTGATTAGAAATCGAGCTACCGACTAGAAGTAAAATTGCTGATCACAATCGATAATCCAGACATGGGAAGGCAATGTAACACAAAGCAATCACGCCTAACATCAACCTCACGTTCGATTCCACACTCCTTTTCTGCGTTGCAAACGTTCAAAATACCACACACCATCTTTCCCTTTTCGACATTAGTAGATTTTCCGGACCATCTCTCAAGATATCCGACAAGCGAAAACGTCAAAAATAATTACCATGTCATGACCATACAAAAAAAAAAACATGGAATAAGAAAAAGAGTATGGCACGAGACCACATGATCTTATTTACTCTCCGTGGGGGGGTATTCTCTGTCAATCCGCCTTGAGCGGTCTAGCCAAAGCGAAAAGACAGAAAAAAAAAAGAATACGTCCGGTCGAAACAGAAAAAAATATATCGGGGTTTTTGAAATAGCCTGTTCAGTGCATATAACCCTGGAGTTTAGCAACATACATACATCGTGGCTTTTTCTTGACACTTCAGTTTACTAGGGGGATAAAGTATAACGGGACGAATTTCCTTGTGAAACATCGGACGGAACAAGGGTGCATGGAAACCTTTCGGCCTTAGTTAATCAATAAGCATTTTAGCTCCTAGTTATCGAAGGTATCCTAGATTCTCTGCTGACTTTCTGACAAAGCGAACTTTTTATGTGCCGTAGCTTCACGGCTAGAAATGTTCTCCCAAAAAAATCAAAAGAATCAAAAAAATGCAGAGCTTACAACCTACATACACGAAAGATGTGTGTATACATACCCCGGCGAGTGGATCAGGAACAATAAAATCGAACATCCCATGCATGCTGTCGAACCCCACTACCAACTTAATAATTCCGCCTATTATAGCAAGTTACAGGGTGTGAGCATCTAGGTAGTTCTCCTCGAGATGATACTACGTATATTGCCTACATGGGTTTTATGTATAAGCCGCATGCTTGTATCCGCAAATCCGGATGTCAGTTCCTACGGCTACTAGTTACCGTCATAAAATGACAATAATAATCTATAACCGTTTGACACCACCTCAAACGCTCTATCGTACATACCCTCCCCAATAGGTATATCCTCTCTGAAATATATCGTACAGATGATATCGATATCAAGGGAAGTGATCAACGCCAGAAGGAACTCAGGTCCGCTAGATCGTAGATCTATATCCCCTGCTTCTCATTCCATCTAGCTCCGAGCTAGATGCCATCGTATCTTTCGAAACCCGTTATCTCTAGATGTCCCCCTCAATTGCAGAATCGACCTGACCGCCCAATTGACAACGGAAGAACGCCGACGCATATAATCCTCGATACTCTCGGACTCAACTAAGCCCGACATCCCCATGTTGGCACACCTCGCCTGCAAGCTTAGCTATTCACCTGCAGCTTCACCAGGTCTATCCTCGAAAGCCATGCCTAAAGAACCGCTTAGCCATTCCGCCATCCGTTCTACTCGCTTCCTATAGCCCATCACTCCCTCCGTCCTCGCTACCCCCAGCTTGCATATCCCACACCAAATTTGCGAAAGCACTGCGTATGTATCTACCACTCCGTCGTCCACACCGCACTCCCCGGTGCCTTCTTTTGCGTCACCCGTCGGGGAGGTAATGTCCACCCTTGCTCTGCCTTGCCTACCGCGGCTCCAAACCGGGGTATTACCCAGCACTCACGTGTGATGCCTCCTGTTTCATCACCCTTCACAATCGGTGCTGGTTTATCCAATGGCTTCGAAAAAGTAAGTAGCGGGCTTCCCTTCGCTAGATTTGACAGCTGCTGCCCGGTCAGCGCCGTTAACGGCTTAATCCTGACCTTGCCACTTGTAGCTCCTCGCTGCATCTCGTTGTACACTATAAACTCCGGGAAAAAATCTCGGTTTTGGTGGAGCTCCACGAGTATCGATGATGGGTGTATGAAAACAGCCACTTCGTTTAAATTTTCTAGCTTAGCACCGAGCCTTGCTGTAGAAGATGCGAATAACGTAAAATATGGAATGTCCGCAACCTTCTTGAAGTTAGGCTTGATCAGAGAATTGGGCAAGAGATCACCGCGGATGGCGATCTGGTCCAAGAACCCCGTCGATATGATTTGCTGCAATGCTTTGACCTAAGAGTTCCCCACGCTCGCCTATGTTAGCCATATGTTCTCGATAACGCCTTCGGGGCGCCTTTTACGTAGCTCAAAATTCCTTGCGATCCTATAATGCACTTGATATGGACCGAATCGAAAAACAAAAGAAAGAGAAAAGAACTGCTAGTCCTAAAAGAATTTTACCACATACCTGCAGATCCTTTGGAGGTTGCAGCTTGACTTCGAATTGACCAATAGCATCCGAAAATTGGGATCGAACAATATTGGTCAGCTGTTGTCGAAGCTTGCGGACCTCCTGCATAGCCTTTGCACGGACAAACTTGTCTTTGCAGAAATCGGCCTGCCGTGTTTCGTATTCATAGGCGCAAACAACCGTAAGTAATTTGATCGCATCACTGCTCGTATCCAACATGGCGAAGGACCGTTGTGCTGCATTGTACTTTTTCCGCTGTGCCTCTTTGCGTTCCTGCTCCATCTTTTCTGCAAAGTCTGGTGCAATATAGTCTTCCCTGTCATTGCCGTCTTCACTATCCGCAAGGCTGAAATCTAACTGATGTTCAGGTACAAATAGTTCCCCGACCGACAAGGCCGCTACGAGAGTGATAACGTAAGGCATGCATTTGTACTGATGCCCAGCTGCTAAGATTCTACCGAATCTTGGTGCGACGGGGAAGTAGTTCATAGTCACACCAAGCTTTGTTATCTTACCCTTTAAGTCCAATGCACCAAGGTACCCCAGGAGCTATGTAAACCAGGTTAGCATATGCATATTTCATACAAGCACAATATTTACAATGAAAATACCTTTTCTGCCTTCCTAACCTCATCACGGTCAGGTGGTGTAGGGAAGGGAAAATTGACAACGGTGTTTAACCCCATGGCCTTCATCTGCAGAACCACGCCCTCAATTGGCATGCGTGAAATCTCGGGTTTAGCGAACTGATCGAAATCTCGCTCGAATACTGCCGAAGAGTATAACCGGTAACATTGGCCAGGTCCTGTACGACCGGCACGGCCAGATCTCTGAGCGGCGCTGGCTTTGCTGATCCACTCGACGTCGAAGCTCTGAACCCCAGTTGTGACATCAAAGTTCCTGTTTTTGACTCTTCCACTGTCGACAACGTAGCTAATACCAGGGATAGTTAAACTCGTTTCTGCAACATTAGTGGCGATGACACAGAGCCTTTGATTAGGTTTCAAGGGTGCCCATATCTTCATTTGTTCTGAAGTTGGCAGAAGCGAAAAGAGGGGAAGGATGATGAGGTCGTCGGTGGTGTCCTCTACACTGTAGTAGTCGTCCTCGATTTCGGAATCTTCCTGATCCTCCTCGTCTTCTTCGGCCTGGTCCAAATTAAACTTATCCTCGCCTCCAAACTCTACCTCCTCTGTTTCGGTGACTGCATCCTTTGGTAGAATTTGGACTGAGGCACCTCCAGCCTCAACATCTTTCTCTCGCTTTCCATCATTTAGGGGAAATGCCCGGCGGAGCTTTTGCATCAACTGATATATGTCTTGCTTGCCAGTCAAGAAGACAAGTATACCACCCTTTGGAAGTCTTCTATGGATCTTACAGACTTTTTTATAGGCCTCTTCAAGGTATTCATGCAGTGTTCGAAGCGAAAATCGATTCGTTACCTTATGTTGCCGAGCCTCTGATACAACAACTGGCGGGGGTGTTGCAAAGAGTCTCCCGTTCTCAGTGAAATCTTTAACTCTTAGCGTAGCCGACATGATAATGAGCTTAAGAGGCTTCACTGAATCATCTTCCTTAGACATGTCGAGACGCAACTTGACGATACGGCTCAACGCTCCTATTAATATATCAGTGTTGATGCTCCTCTCGTGAGCCTCGTCGACGACGATAGCAGAGTATTTCCGTAATGCAAAGTCCTCTCCCAGCTCTCTTAGGAGTACACCGTCAGTCATGAATTTGATCGCTGTGTTTGCATGAGTTGTTCCTTCGAACCGAATCTAGAACATATTTTTAATTAGTTCATTGACATCTCTCCACATTAAATTCGCGAGCACTGATGTATACCTGATATGACACTCTGCCTGAATGCTCCCCTAACTCGTCGGCCACCCTCTTCGCCATCGTCACAGCAGCGACTCGCCGGGGTTGAGTAACTCCAATCATACCCGGGGTATCCCCTTGAGGATCTCCATACCCAGCTTCGAAAAGAAACTGGGGAACCTGGGTAGTCTTTCCGCTACCGGTTTCACCACAAAGAATAGTGACCAGGTTGTTGTGGATAGTTTCCATGATCCTCTGTTCGTCTCCTACTATTGGTAGCTGGAGACGTTGGGTTTGTATATCCTCATTCCGGTTGACAGCCACAGCACGAGCTATCCGCCCATCCTTAGATTCAGACAACAAGGTATCTAGAGACTTCTTCACTAGCATGGGCTGGACCACTGGTTTGTTTGCCGCACTGTACCGAGGCTCCTCGTCTTGTGACGTGGTATTTAAGGATTTAGATAGTGACGCCGCTGAGGGAAATGATGATATCACTTCACCAGGGACGGCTCCTAAGCTTGTTGATTGCTTATCTGACGTCTCTAGTATTTTATTTCTCGCTGCTTCCGCCCATGCTTTGAACGAGGATGCCCTTTCCGACTTCCCTGCTGTCTTCCTCCAACTAGGTCGTTTCTCTTCCTCCCCAGTTTCCATCTCGTCATCCTCATCCTCCTCTGCACTTTCCTCCTCGTCCTCATCCTCTTCACTCTCATCTTCTCCTTCAGATGATTCCGCATCCGATCCTTCGGATTCTTGTTCGTTCTCTGATTCAGACGAGACCTCTCCATTTAGGTCATCGTCTCCAGAGCTAAAACCCTCCCATGTACCACCCTCTTCCATATCTGCATCATTCGACACTGTGTGTTCATCCTCGTCGATTTCTTCAGTGGCAGTTTCATGTTTGTGCTTCTTCTTCTTAACTTTCTTCAGAATCGGTAGCCCGAACTCATCCACTTCAAGAGGTCTCTTTAGCCCGCTCCCTAAGCTAGTGGGGATTTCTACAGCCGGAGCTTTCGGTACTGGCATAAGGGTTGGTGCAGAGGCTCCAGGAACGACTGGATCGGGTTGTGTCTGTTTATTTTGTAGCAGTAGTATCGACTCCGGTAGTTCCGTTGGTACCTCTCGTTCCTCGTAGAGTATTGCCGCATTTTCCTCAACATTGATACCAGCCTTTTCTTCTCTGATCGCCCGTTTCAACTGGTCTCGTGCGGATTCGTGCTTGACTCCGAGCTGTGTGGTCTTGACAAGAAGACTGGTATCGCCCTGAACATCCTTCAGCTTCTCGATTAATCGTACCCGTTCCTCCTTTTTCAGTTTGTTATCCTATTTTCCGGTGATATATTGTTAGACTGCTCTGCCCTGCTAATCAGTGTTGACGAGTCGCTACTACTGACGATATATTTATCCAACCGCTTGGCCTTCTTGCTTGTGATCTTAGAAGATTGTGCAGAACGCAATTCCTGCCTCAACTCCTCCTTCCGTCTCGCCTTTGCTTCCTTCTCCTCTGCTGTTTGTGGTACAACAATCAAGGCATTCGGATTCTGCGACGACAACGAGACATCATTGGCGGTCGTGGTATCCTTCGATTTCGATTTATTCCGCTGTTTTCGATCTCGTGGTACAAATTTACCCATGGCGACTGCTTAGGAGACCCCTCGTACCGGGGTATGCAGTTTATAGTACGTCTGTTGTGGGAGAGCTGGAAGGTTTTCGAAGGAAGGATGGTTGGTTCTGGAGATAGGTTTTTTTCGCGAAACAAAATTTTGTGGTCGCAGATTTCAGATTTCGCTTGTTACTTGCCGCCAATGCGACAGGGCCGCCGCAAAACTGCAGGCCGCAGCTTGGCTCGTGATTGAGGAGGCCGGTCGGCATGTTCACTCACATTCGCAGTGTACGGCTGCAGGGCCAATGAGACAGGATAGAGATCCCACGACTCGCGGGGTAGCTGCAATTGTAGATTGTAAGTTGTATGTACTTACATACATGAGGACTCGCTAGGTAATCGTCATCTTGGGCGCCTCTTAGGGTCGAGTATCGTATTGCGATTAGGTACTTAGTAGGTAAGTATGCATATAGAAAGCTTCTAAGATAGACCCGAACTTTGAACACCAGAAAAACCCGGCGATGGACACAAATTAACGATATAACCAAGCTCTCCCAAGAAATATCCCGGTCGGGGCCTCGTAAAACATATTGCGTAAGTACTCCATTAAGTCCATGAGAGGTTGTATGCAGCTGGGAGTTTGGAACCGGCTGATTGGCTGGCTGGCCTGGTCAAACGACCGAAGCCCAAAAAACTTAAGCTTAAACTAAGCAGCCTGCTCCTGCACAGTAATTGCTGCAGCACAGCACCACTTACTTCACATCTCGAACTTCACCTGCAACCCTGCTAGCTGTCTCCCCTGAAGGCCCTATCCACCATTCTCGAACAGCTTCGCCATCACCAAGATAGTAGTAGCATCTGCTGTATCATCATCTACTCTGTGGCCTGTGACACTAGGATAGCAGCACCGGCCCTTGCGAGTTGAGCAGTCACTGAGATCTAGTTGCCTCTCGCCCCCACACCGCATTACCAACTCACCAGAACCACGAATACCCGTCTTTCAACCGCTATAAACCATCACAATGGGGAATCAAAACTCGCAGATGATAGACAGCATCGTTTCCGGGTCGAATTTCGACCGGGACGAGGTTGACAGGTTAAGGAAGCGGTTCAGTATGTCGCAGTCTGCCCCCTCTTGACAGCCCCTCCTTCGGCTCGTTCTTGGTCCACGTTAGACCCACGTTGTCGTCAGGATACCGTCGCTAACATGTATCCTACTCTATAGTGAAGCTGGATAAGGTATTACTTGCATCGATTCGTGGGGACGGTAGACACTGAATGATATGGGGAGACATAAAGGACTGACCGGAGATATCATATTTCTCGATGAAAATAGGACAACTCGGGAACTATCGAGCGAGACGAATTCCTGTCGCTCCCACAGGTCTCCTCCAATCCACTCGCAACGCGGTATATAAAAACATCCCATCCATCCTAGATAACCAGAAGGATCGATATGTTCGAAAGGGGTATTCTGACTTTCGAATCCGTATAGAATGATTGCAATCTTTGACGAGGATGGCGGTGGTGACGTCGACTTCAAAGAATTCGTCTCCGGGTTGTCCGCTTTCTCATCCAAAGGAAACAAGGAAGAGAAGCTACGTTTCGCATTTAAGGTTTACGATATTGATCGTGATGGATATATCTCCAACGGAGAACTATTTATCGTATTGAAAATGATGGTTGGCAGCAATTTGAAGGATCACCAACTCCAACAGGTTCGCATGTGTCCCTCCCTAAACTACATCCATCGAATATTTAACTGATATATATATTTTTTGGCAATCTAATCTAGATCGTTGATAAAACAATCATGGAAGCCGATGAAGATCAAGATGGGAAGATCAGTTTCGAGGAATTTACAAAGATGGTCGAGAATACAGTAAGTCACAATCATCTCACCAGACTAGATTTAAAAAAAATACCTAACAGCTAGTACAGGACGTCTCTATGAGCATGACTTTGGATTCCATTTAAACAGGGGCCATTGAAGCAAAAAAAAATCTTCGGCCCGAACAATATAATGCCTTTCGCCGGTTACCTTTAGACAAGGTAACTCCATTTTGGTGAGCTGTGGCTGACGATCCCTCCTTTGGTTGTTTACTAGTTCATTTTCTTCCTCTCTTGTTACTCTTTTTTTTTACCCCTTTAGCTTCTTGCGTAGTAGGCGTAGCTAGGTTTCTTCCACTGAAATTATTATTATGAATATAACGTTGGGATTTTCTAGGCCAAGTTACCTGTGCCTATATCGATGACATATAACCCCGTATACAAGTCTAGAAGATGCTTTTGATATGGAATTGCCTTAGTCTCTGTGTCAAAGATGTCCCGGATTGTTTAGTATCTACGAGGCCTTGAATCTAGGTGCTCGGGAGGAGAGTACATTCGATATCTGAGTTCAATCAATAAACTTTTATATAGGCTACTTCCCTGTCTCAGTTCGAAACTCGCATTGTCCTGTGATTACATTATCTTAGCTTTCAGGTGACCCTTTTATACAAAGTGTGGACCGCGTCTACAATACGAGACTACCTTTTATAGAAATCTTCGATCAGTTATAGAGGCAATCAATAAACAATCATTATTTAATAAATTACATCAATCAAGCAGGCATCAGAGCACACTTCTAAATCCTCTCCTCTCGAGATCTCAGCGGATGATCTGTTCAACAGAAGGTTAAAGTGTGTTAGATATTGCATTGAATAGGTATTAGGCACCTTCGAAAATTTAAAAGTACTTGCGCAGGTCTCTCACGTCATGTCAGTTGCAGTATCTATTATAATCTTAAGCCAGTATTGATTCAGTGTCAAGTCATCCTGCATATATTATTGCTCTACGATGTTGGACTTAGGTAGTCACCCCCAACCTCGAGGCAAATTGCTTACAAGGTACTTAGTTACTGTAGCCTCGAACACGTAGTTTTACACACTTAAGCCTAAGCCTTACAATAGACAGAGCATATGTTGTTCATGAATATCTTTATTCTCGTGCAATCTAAGCACTGATGCCCCACGACCCTAACGCTAACGCTATCCTATTACAAAAAAAGCTATCGAAAATCGTAGATGGAAAACTATGTTCCCTCTCCATAGGAAAAAGCAATCCACGCCCTGGCCATAAGACGCATCAAGAAAATAAAGAGGGGCATTAGGTGACAACCGGCCGTCTCAGAGATAAAGATAAGCGTTGCATTTACTTGAAGACCTTGCCATCAGCGTGTGGGAATTCAGTACCACCAACGGTGATTGGCTTATCCCAAGCCCAGGCATCACCGATGAAAGCCTTGTCTTCCTCGTTGGTGTGGTCCAACTTGGTGAAGTTGTAGCTCTCCCAGTCGGGAGCAACATCAAAGGCAGGTGGGTGCTCCTGTCCACGGATGATGAAAGCACCAGTGACGTGGGACTTGTTGTTCTCGCCGTAAACGGAGAGGGATCCGAAGATGTACTTTCGGCTGGCCTCAAGACGGTTGAAGAATCCACCGATCAAGTTGGAGGTCATGAAGACCTGGGTCAACTCCTCGGGGTACTTGTAGTCAATCTTCCACAACGACCACTCAGCTGGGTTGTAGTGTTCCCAGAACCATGGGAGGGCACCAGTGCGGGTGTCGCTGTTAGAGTATTGTCTCTTCCAGTCATCAAGGACCAACTCAGCCCTTCCAAGAGCCTCAAGAGGATGCTTTGGCTTTGGGGCTGGCTTGTCCTCCTCCTCCTCCTCTGGCTCTGGAGCGGCCTTTGGAGCCGGAGCAGCCTTTGGAGCTGGGGCGGCCTTTGGAGCCTTAGCTGGAGGAGTGTACTTGACGGCTTCCTCGATGAACTCGAACTTGCCGGCGTACGAGGTGTGGTTGGCAATGGTAGCCCACCATCTAGAGAAGTTGGGGTACTTCGCACGGAATGGAGCATCGAAGACCTGCAACAAACATTAGAATTTACCAATTCCCTTTGGGCCACAGAATATAGTGACTCACATATTTGAATCCCTTGGAGACAATTCCGGCAAGGAAGAAGTCAGCAGCGCTGATACGCTCGCCAACGAGGTAGGTCTTGGTGCTGAGATGGCTCTCGAGGATGCCAATCTGAGCCAAGGCAGTAGCCTGGTTGGTATCAACGTTCTTCTTGTTGTATGGCTCAAACCCAAGGAGTGGGCGGAACCATGCAGCGAGGGTGTTAAGAATCTCGCCGGTGCCAAAGCTCATCCACCTGAGGATCTGAGCATATCTAGAAGCCATATGTTGTTAGAATCTGTAAAACAAATCTTGATGATAGTGCAACATACTCTTGCTTGCTCTTTCCGAGGAGGGTGGTCTTCTCGTTCTGGGAGGTAACTGTATCTCAAAGTTAGCATCTTGTGGTTACAGAGACGATTGGTTCGAGACACGGTTTCTTTAAAAGATTGATGATACTCAGAAGTAAATTTCTCAACAGGAATTGTTTTTACTCTGACAGGGATAACTGTAAAAATAAAACAAGATTTTTCATCATTGTATCATGGTGGGGAATACATGTGGGGACGGGCGAAATTTCTGTTACGTACCATAGATGGCGATGGCAAGAGACTCAGAAAGGAAGAAATCCTCCTGCTCGAAGAAGGGGATCTTCTTCAAAGGGCTCTTGGAGACAAGTTCAGCTGGGAAAGCAGCACCAGTCTGGACCTCCTCGATCTTGATATCGAGGCCATTCTCTTTGGCAATGGAAAGGATACCAATGGAGCGGGAATTTTCCTATACCAGAAAACAAGGCAGATGACAATGAGCGACGAGAAAGCTTCGATAGAATATGAACAGAGTAGTAGGATACATACCGCGTTAGAGTAAAGGGTTCCGAAAGTCATTTTTGCAGCTTGTGGTTCTTGAGGGTCAAGATGCTAAGATGTAGAGAAGATGGATGGTGAAGAGAAGATGAGAGAAATGGAGGGGAACAGAAAGAAGGAGGGGCAGCCTGCAACAATTTTTTTTTTCGCCAGCACGAATCTGAATTTGACTCAACTCAAACACCTTTCGGTGAGGGGCAACACATTACCGTCAAGAAAGACACGCTAGGCTGGATGTAGCTTAGTCCGGTCAATTTTGCAGACACGGGCTTCGATTCGCTCTCCTTCAACCTCATGTCGTCAAGCTCTCGACACAGAAACGTCTACCAGCGCCCGCATTCGTCGTCTACAGCTTTACAGTATTTTGCATCCGCTCCGTTAGTCGCTAAAGCCATTTATGGTATGGAATAGGCGCTCTCGGAGTGGACAGGAATAATCAATTGGTTCGATATCAACCTTCCCTCGTCGAAGATACAACAATGTCGTCTGCAACACGGAGTCCCTTCTCGATGACATGCTGCCTTCGGGCGCTGTTGGAGGATGTTAGTTTCACAAATAGATCGCTGAAGATGGCTTCTACACGGCCTAGGATGCTGTCATCCTACCAACAGATCCGGTCATTCACTGTAACTCCTCGACAGATGCAGGATAAGGCTGACGACGTCGATGTCGACGGTGAGATGGGCTCTCAAACAATCACCGACAAATACAATAAAATCGTAAAACGAGATGGTCCAGATGATGTGTTCGAGCTTCCCCCTCGTTCTCGGGTCGTCCCCGTTTCTCCCTCGTATTTCACTGGAAATTCTGCATTCTTCGACTCTTGGTTTGCTCTGAAAGATCTGTTGTATAAATATCAAACCCTTCCGACAATACTTCCTAGCGAAGTAGCAAGAACGGCCTGGAAGTCACTCCAAGACTTTAGAAGCATGGCTGGAGGAGTTGTGCAAGCGTCGAAATATAAGAAAGTGCGAGCGGTGCTCCAGCGTTTGAATAGGATCCAACCGGATCTGATGCCGGAGGAAGTCAAAGCGGTTCTTGATACCTACAAACGTCCCGACTTTGCGGCAATGCAGCGCAGGAGGCCAAAGATTATTGACAGGTTCGGGCGAGCTAGAGCCGCAGGACGAAGGAAAACTTCAAATGCCGAAGCATATTTAGTTGAGGGTTCGGGTGGGTGTTTTGTCAACGGAAAGCCATTGTTTGAAATGTTTCCCCGGTTAGTCGACAGGGAAAGTATTCTTTGGCCACTGAAAGTCACCAACCGTGTCGATCGTTATAACGTTTGGGCATCTTCACGGGGAGGCGGGATTTCTGGACAAGCCGGTGCCATAACGCTCGCCGTTACCAAAGCGCTCCTTACACATGAGCCACTCTTGAAGCCAGTGCTTAGAAGAGGTAAGCCGCCAGAAAAGCCACAGATCCTTTTTGGTTTCTCGTTTCCTATCCGCTCCTTCCGCCCCCCCCTTTACCCGTGTTTACATTGCCTACCGTTTGTTCTTCTTGATTATGTCTGTGCATGACCGTTAACTGATTTGTGTCAACTCTAGCCGGTGTTATCACGAGGGATCCCAGAACTGTTGAGAGAAAAAAGCACGGAAAGCGCAAAGCAAGGGATATGCCTGCTTGGGTTGCTCGTTGAAGAGCGCATTTCGTGTTATGGACAGCTACGTTTCATGCACACCTGCCAGTGTGTGCTGTTTGTATATACATGTACATGTACTTTGTACTTTTTGTTTCCCGTGCTCATGTGATACCTTCTGGAGCTACAGCTCTTTCCGTATCCAATATACATATTTGCCCCCCCCAACATTGATAATTGCAATATAAAACTTCTTCTGTACCGGTGCATATGGCATCTGATCATCAGGCACCGTCGACTTATTCAAGCGTAAGCATCAGTCATCTAGTACCAAGGCAATAGTGGTGTCATCAATGTCAATCCTTCGGTCCAGATTACTCGAACAACAATAGTGCTCGTATGTAGATGGCCCGAATAGGTTATGGGCCGAAGAGATATGATTGCCAAAAGATCAATCTTCTGGGTTTTATTGGATGGAACGTGGTTTTGAAGGTCTTCCTACGGCTGCTAGCGCAATATGTACCAGAAGGTCATGGGTTCACCCAGTATAGTAAATTCAATATGTATATTCGCTTCTCATCAAATTGAACTTCATGTAACCACCACACTAGAGTACGAAGGAAACACCACTAGCCTCAACGTCTCGTCCCGGGATTTCCCTAGATTCCTTCGACGCCTCCTCACTTTTGGCAAATAAGAGGGTTTGATTTGCCCGATTAAGGCCTCTTGTGTCCGAAATGAGCTGCTAAAAAACTTGAAATTTCAATGCAAACCACCCAGCAGATATTAGGAGCTGCAAGCTGTAATAGCACAGCTGTATTATTCTCTTTGGTAATGCCATGAAATTTGTATATAATTTCCCTGGGTTAACTGAACTTACAGGATATATCCCAGAGGCGAAATTAGAGCCTACTACCCCGAAAGCAGATCTGTTCATCGACGAGCTAGCTCGTTAGCCACATGCACACACCTCTCTCTCTCTCTCTTTTGTCTTGTCTTGTATATGAAATAAGGTTGGAAACGGCTATATCAACGGCCAATTATACCTTTGATTCTTATAGCAATTTCCGACCTCAAGCTAGAACCCATGTCAGCGTTAGCCGGTCGCATTTGCTAAAGGAATAAAAGGCACCCAACTAAAATCAAAATAATTAAAAAAAATTATATAATTTAAAACCAGAAAGAAAGAAAAAAAGCTGCCCGGTGTTATGCCTTGGAACTGTCCTGAGAAGAATATTTGAATATATCTGCGGGAGTACGGGTTTCTTCGTCAGCTTCGTGCGATCAGGCAGCGACGTTTTGACTGTTCCGTACATACTAGAACATTCGAAATCAACATTTAGTTGGACGAAAAGTCGTTAAGACCCGCGTGGCGCGTTTCGAATATCGTGGGAAACTACTAAAAATAGCGACGAGAATGACGAGTTTTTAATCTATTTCAATTTTAACGCAGAGAGATTTAAGAGATCGAAAACCCTTCTTTTCCCTTCCAGTCGGTATTATTGCCGTCCGTGCGGAGAGATGGTAAGATTTCACGGTCGCAACACGTTATGGTGGGTCTGCGAGGTTGGATTTTGTGGTTTAGTTGTTTGTATTTCGGCCGCACACGTCGGGAGCACTGCTACGACGCGCTAACTTGGCTAGGGCATCGGTTAAACTGGAAACAATCCATGTCCGGGGCGAAACATGGTGATTTTAACCTGCCCAGGTATTCACACAATCTATTTGGACGCACTGGTCCTGGTTTATCTCGAATAGAGTGGGTTTTGATTTCGCCTTATGTGGATGCTTCCCACCATCCGGGCTGCCGTCGATGTCGTCGATTGATAGGAGATATTATTAGAATCGAATCCTCGCACGAATCCTGTCAGACCATGGACCATCTTTGATGCCTGAATTCAAGATGGGACGAAGCATGTTACCGGACGTGCAGCCGCGGGTCAGTCTGAGGTTCCATAGGTTCGACGTCCTCGCTTATGATTATCACGATATTAACGGGGTGCTATAGACTGCACGAACTTAAGTACTTGCATGCATACTGTCTATCTGAGAATGTACTGTGCTCCAATGGGCCTCGGAAACGGATGACATACCGAGTAGTAACTCTAGGCAGCGATGAAGCTCGGTCCTGCGTAGAGTCATGAGCAGACTTTTATATTGCTTTGCATATATTGGAGACAATGGGTTTGATTGAAGACTGCCTTTTCAGCCTGTGTTCGAACATTCTCGTATGATTGATAAGTTGCTAATAAGCTATATACACCCGTAATAATAATTATATAGCTCGACACACGTATGCAAAATATATTTGCATGAAGCCAAATTTAATATAAAAAAATATATATAATATTTGTTTCGTTTGCGAATTGTTCACGGGACTAAGCTCATGAGCTCGCGCCGTATACAGGTCTAGATCACCATTTTGGGAAGACTTGGGCCCTGTGAAACCAGGTGACCGGGGAAGGTTTTATATCGACATCCTGATCTCATGTGACCCCAAGGGCAGGAGGGCTAGATGACAAGTGACCGGGGAAGGGGGGACGATATGATCAACCAGACTGAGTACCGTCGCACACAGGTCACATCGAAAGTACAACCCGGCCCTTTTGGTTGTATTCTTTTTCAGAAGTGGATTATATCCGCAGAATTGGACCCTCTCTCGGGGAATTTTGGTGGCTGTTGTCGAGATCGTCATTCGATCCAAGGAGCGGACAGAAAAAGTAACGAATCTTGGTGGAGGAAAGTCATCAGGGAAGACATGGCCAGGGAATATGCATAAATCTCAGTTAGCGTATCCATCTATTTGGGACCAGTGCCCGGCGCACCACTAGAATCAAATACGCGAGAAGGAGGGAAAAGAAATATCTATAATTCGAAGATGTCGAGACCCATGCTAGCTCATCTTAATATTCCCACTCCAATGGGTTCTAATCTGAGATTTTCTTCTGCGGCAGAGACAAGGTCCACGTCCAAGGCAAAATACGGCTGCAGGACCGCACTCTGCATCGTCATGCTGCAGAAATGGAAGCGAGGGCAGAACCCAGGCCGAGGCGTCGCAAGACATTCTGACATAGCCTAAAGCGCAGGCCGCCGGTGGTGGTGGATGCATGCATACCTACTCAGATACTGGGTATAGGTAAGTCAGTAGATCGATATTGGGACAGTCAAGTTTAGTAACTGTGATGCCGGCCAAGTCTCCTCTCTAGTCTCAAGGTCCTCCAATCTTGCAAATCTAAAATTTCGATTTAAAATGTAAAAAAATTTAAAAAAATAAAAAATAAAAATAAAAATTTGTGCAACCTAGTCTCATACGACCACAGAGAGCTCGAGCGTCTTTGGACCTTCCATTGTTGGGACACCGATATCACATTTTGTGCAATCGTCTGGCTGACTGGCGGAGCGCTTGCAGATTTAACAAGCTGAAAGTCTAGCTTCGGAATCGTGCGATGAGCTGGACCAACTAAGTCAAGTTCGGGGTTCTTTGAATCGAATTGGATTGGATTGGATTGAATTCAGGCCACCTAGGTACCTTGGCTTGCAGCCTTTTCCTTCGTGAATCTTCGGAGAAACTTGGTTGAAATCTTGCAGAAAAAACGCGAGCATGTTAGTTGACCAGCAGGAAACCTTGATATTTCCAGGTTAGTGTTAGCGATTGGACCTCAGCTGAAGCTCAGAATGCCCACTCGCTTCTGGAGATTCGATCTGGTGGATGCAATGGAGGAGTGTTTGCTTTTTGTGCGAACGAGAGAGCAGGCGCAAAAGAGCAGAACCTGCTTAGCTACGATGCGGCAGAGTTACTTTACTGACTTTCCTTCCATACTTACATGCATACACACATAGAAAGAAGGATAAGAATTCGAATGGCGAGAAGAGAACAATTTACGAGGTGTACTCTCTGTAAACTGTTAGTTCGTAACGTAACAGGGAAAAATTCTTTGCTACTATTGAAAAGCATATTTTTTTTCGCACCGCTCTAAATTTATAAAGTGAGAAACTCACACAGACTAAGACGGACTTCCCTCCTCTGCTCTGTTTCCTCCTTCGATCGAATATCATCGCCATCTGTATCCTTCGCCTCGCGCTGGGCAGTATACGTATATTCCATCATTCGTCGGGGTCCCGGTTCGTCTCGGACGCATCGACACCATCCCGTCCTCTTTCCACCGCCGGAGTCGTGTGAACCGAAGGGGTTTCTCTCGAAGCATAATCTGAGTCGCATACGACCACTCCAAAGGAAGCGTTTTCCCGGCCGGGTTCACCAAGGTAAGGATCGATCGAAGCTGTGATTTTACGCACCCGAACAGGGGACAACCCCGACCATCTAGCATCTACAGACGCCTGAAAACTGCAAGTTTGGATATGTCGTTTGGCAATCAAGCACGCACTGGCCTTTCGAATCCGGGTTTTTGGATTTATTATTTCATGCACTCGCCGCTCTCCCATAGTCAGTCGACCTATAGCACAGACGTGCTATATGGCAGCGTCTCCACTCTTTCCCTGGTCACTTTTCCTTCTGGAAGAGAGTGTTCATCAGACTCTCATTTCCCTTTCAGGCCTACATTTTTCTGAGGCGTCGCTTGGGTGTTTTTCTTCATGTTGGCATTGGGGTTTTGATTGCGGCGCATCCTTAATTGCGGCATCTATATGATGTCAATATCATATTAACCCATTTGCAACCGCAAGCTGATGTGATGAAAACCCGAGCAATCCGAAGGGAAAGACCCTAATTTGACACGTAGCCCCGTGCGATATCCGGAATTTGCACTGAACTGTGCTTTACTTTCGATGATAATATCGCCAGCTGCTGCACCATTTTATTGTCTTTAATTTGACGAGGTTGATTTTGCTTCTTCCTTATTCTTCTTGGCCTTGTCCTGCACCAAAGCTCGCTAGGCATCTAGCCCGCAACGAAAAGGGAATCGTCCCACCGACCACATTCCCAAATGTGAGTTTGGTTTCTGAAAGAAAGCAGTGGCATGATGACTTCTCTTCCTATTCTTGGTTCCGGTTACGCAGGAGCTTTGACGGTGGACCCAAAGACACAGGGCTGATTGAGGCTACAATGTAGCCAGCACTCCTGGCCCTTGAAACGTTCAGTGGTCCTATAATTTTGCTACATCGCGATCTTCTCTCGACATCGGCATTTCCCTATTCTTCTATGTACAGTCCGGTGCACGCGCTACTAATCCCACACCTTTTTCTTTTCTTTTCTTTTCTTTTCTTTCTTTTCTTTTCCGTATTTTGTTTTTTTTTTGGTTTTTAATTTTGGGGCATTTCTTTTCGTTCGAACCTGAACTCAACATGCTCGGGGTGGGTCCGTCATGGCCATACCGCTGATGATTACTAGCCCCGAACACCAACCACTGACTCGCCATTCGGTCCTTCTGTTGCAGGTCTATACATGGGTTTCCAAATAGGTCTGTAGGCATTCTCAAATCGGCAAGCCCGCCAATTTTCTAGAAGGCCAGGTTCAGGAAAAACAAAAGCCACTGTTTCGCGAGAACCTACATCTGCTCCTTCCCCATGCTCATCGGACTAGCTTACGGGGAGAATTATAAACCAAGAGGATAAGAAAAGAAACCAAAGAATGGGGGTGTCGGTCTTCCCAGCGGTCTTTTTCATTGTTTAAATATTGTTTTACGGGACTCTCTGCTTCACTGTTTTTCTAGAACCGCACAATTCGCATGGTCTTGCCTGGATCTACAGCACATGCATTGGTACCAGGACTAACGCTCTAAACTATACCAGGAACCCCCTGCTTCTCGACTTACTCGATTGTTGAGTGCACGCCTCGCAATTAAGCAGCTACAGCACAGGTTGATTTTCGTTATTCTTATTATTATTATCATTTTATTCCCAAATACATACATTATCCTTCGTTCTGGTGCTGCGCTTTTCGGCTGCTCCTCCCACCAGTCATCAGTTTTTTCACGGCGATACAGCCTCTTTCACTCATAAGAAACATTCTACGCTACGTCTTATCAAATACTATCACCAAAGGACCAACCAACCGGGCTTATTTTATTTTATTTTTATTTTATTTTTTTTAACTTTTTTTATTTTTTTTACCATTCTTATTTTTACTTTTACCACAAGAAGAAAAGAAGAAGAAAATCTAGAAAGTTCGGATTCAAAACGCAGAAAAGCTGCTGCCTTTTCCGTGATACTGCTGTACGCAGGAGAACAAGTTCTGAAACCTGAACAAAACGAAGCGCAAAAAATCCAGCGGCACATCTCTGCCTACACAAAAAAAACCACACGTCCATTTGCATTCACGAGAATCTGGACGGCCCGGACCCACGAATTAACCCTCGACCTTTTGCGCTAACCAGCAGTTGGCTTCTATAGAAAGAAACCCCTCCAGTTTACCCCATCCAGGGGTTCTTCCTTCTCACCAGTGGTCTTAATAAATTTCCAGCTACCCCATACGGCTATCTTTGACTAGTGTGGTGCCACACCTTGAGAAATTATATAGTCAATACATCGTTCCAACAGCTTGCCTCCACTGCACTAGCATCTCCAGCAAAAATCTGAACTTACCATCAATCTGAGACCACTTTTAGGATACCCCCCGAGTCGAACTTAGCGAGTGACACCAATCGGACCTTTCTTCATAAAGTATTAACGGCCTGAGCTCTGACTCCGGTCGTAAGGCAACGTTCTTACTCCGTTATTATTAATATTTTTTATTTAAACCTTTATTTCATTTTTTTCAATCTATTCATCTTTCCCCGTTTCTATTTATACACTCACGACCCATCGTCTAGTCTTCTAGCTGACACAGCTGAATCTATTCGAGAAGCTATTGACCTCCGTCGGACAACAATACTATTGCAGTGCTTTTTGAAAGTGAGACTTCAATAGGTTCACAGGAGGGGTTCCGTCAGAAGAAACTTGCATTATCCTAAGCTCATTGCTTTCCTATCAATATCTACCTGACACCCCACCCCCCGCTAGGCCAGAGCTTCACGGCCACGTCTCAGGGTAAAAGAGGCTTGATCAGTTGTCCCCGGGTGGTTCTCAGCGCCTGATCATTGTTCGGCGTGTCCTACAAGAAACAATCCTTCCCGACCAGTCATCTATCAGGCACATCCCTGTTTTGCTACTGAGCAGACCAAAACTCCCTTGATTACGCCAATTAATACTTGGGCAACGGTCGACACATCCTAGTCACCCTATTTGGGATCCCAGGTAGCAACCTTCCTTATCCTACCGAACCGGTACCTGGAGGGGATAAAAAACTAGGGCGGTCGTGGCTCCATCATTTCGATCTGGACACAATCCGCAGGCTGCTAGGATCTTTCCTCATCCGAGCCCTCTTTCAGAAGGAAAAAAAATAAAATAAAATAAAGAAAAACTAATAAGACATGTAAGTGCCTCAAGGCTTTTCTTGCCCTCTTTCATTTTTATACTTGATGATACCCCGACGTTCCAAGGTTCTGTATTCCAAGGACACCCAATATTCAGCATCTGTTTTCAATTAGAACACTCTGCATTGTTGTTTTTTTCCCTTTGCGTCATATACAAGGACAGCATATAGAGGCTTCACGTGTAGCCCTTTCCATCGCTCTTCTGGTCTTATCATCGATATTTGCATTTCCATTCCTTTCTTATCGCCTTTGTTTTTAAGCGTTCGACATCATTCAGTCTGCATGGTGGCATCTAACAGAGGTTCGATCCCGTTTAGTGGAGTGCAGGGAAACCGGGCTGCTGAGGGGAGGTTCAGCAATCCTTTAAGTCTGGCAGCACTAGCAAGTAGTAGCAGCTGGTCACCAACTGTACAGAATACAATAGGACGACGGATGATGGCTAGAGTTGAGGATCAGAATTCATCGAGAATAGTTCCAAGGTCTTCAGCTGCTATTGCACTTTCACCACTCCTGCCACTCTCAGACAGTTACCCGAGAACAACGTCCCAACTGTTACCAAGGACTTCAACCGTTGGTGTTACATTAGCAGAAGCCCAGATGCCCTTGTCTATGGCCCAGACCCCGAGATCAACTCCTAGACAAGGTGAATATAGCTATTACTCGGAAGACGCACCGCAGCAGTACGCGACTGCTACTACTCCGGTTCAGAATCAGGGCCTTACTTATCAGTCGGATTACTCGACTCAAGACGCCATGCAGAGACCTGGCAACTACTCCCCTTACTCCCAAAACATGGGGTACAATATGCAACAATCCTCACCTAATGAGCTCTACGAGCAAGCTTACCCTCCCAGACAGCCAGCGGCTGCTGCGATCGAAGTTCTTTCCAACCAATTCGGAGTTCCACCTTACTACGGAGATGGGAGCCAACATACGGCAGCCAGCGTTTCTCCTCAACAAGCTCAAACACAGTATCCGAATATCTCCTATCCTGGACGCCCATCAGCTAGTCAAGCTTATGGAGCTCCCCTTCCTCTGGCACCCGACGAAAATCAACAACAATTTATGTATCCAAACCCAGAGGAAGGAAGCTCAGATCAAGCCAGTATGGATGCAGCATATAATCAGTACCAGGACGCTTTGAGATCCTGCTTTCAGAATGTCCGAGATGGTAGAATGGTAGCTGCTGGCACAGCACTCTTGGACATCAGCGAATGGCTTTTGTCTAATGCAGTCGATTTAGGTAAGTTCCCTCCATTTTACAACATTCTATTTGGAATACAACCCTTTTTTAAATTGCATTTTCTGAGCTGAGCTAAAGCTTTAGTTACAGGATTGGTTCGGGACGAGCAGGAACTTCACAAAGACAGGTCGAAGCTCTGGAATGAATTCAATATGTGCTGGCTTGCAGCCATGCAGAAACAGAAAGAGTTATTACTGGAACAAAGAAACACAGGACAATCCATCCAACAACCACGGGATCTCATCACCGACGAGAATTTGGAGAATATGGGCATGGAACTGGTACGCCACTGTGATAACATGGAGAGACATGGGTTGGTGGATTATCAGATGGGGGTCTGGGAAGAGGAGATATTAGGCGGTAAGAATTATCCCGCCAGAGGCGCCAATTATCGGCGACCACAGTGCTAACATGGTTTTCAATTGTTTCCAGCTATCCAAGAATGTCTAGATTTGATGCAAAATAAAGAACCGGCAGTAGCTCCCGAGACTGCTAGCTAGAACGGTTAACCGAATATTCGTCCTAGTATGGTATTATGGCACAGGGCGGTCCAGGGAATCTAACAACCTGGCAGGGGCAATATCTTCGATTCAGCACGGACTTTCGATAAACCATCAGAAATTCCCGACTGCTCTCGCTTTTCTCTCGCGGCGTTACTGTTTCCATTCCGAAGTCCAGCCACGGTATTCTTCTGAAAGGTGGACTAAGCAACTTCGAAGGGAGGGATTGGAGGGACATTGACCTTTTTTTCTTCTTTTCTTCATCAACACTGGGTGTTCTGGGTGGGGTCAATCCATCATTTTTCCCTTGCACTTGATTCTTTTTTGGGTATTCTGCGCGCACAAAATCCTTTTACCAATATGGAGTTTCTATACGAGGGGGTTTACGATATGCATGAACACTGGTGTCTTTCCGGGTCGGGATCTTTTAACTATAGAGACTTATTTTTCTTTGTAACATCATTACCCTTTTTTTTTCTTTGTGAATATTTCTTCCCCAATTATCCTTATTATTTTCCTTTGTTGTTTATTTCTCGTTTGCGTTTTTTATATCCTTTTCCTAATATTTTTAATATCCAGCCTGCTTTTCGCTATTCTGCTTTAAGCGTCTGGGTACGTTTCCTTTTATCCTTTTCTTGTCATTCGTTTATCCTGTTTACCGCCTCATCCTTCCTTCTTTCACGTCAACACTATAACCTTTTTAATCAGGACTCTTATCACTTTTAAAATTTTCTTTTCTTTTCCTTTCCTTTCTTTTTTCATTTTTAATCTTTTCGCTATTGCGCACATCACGAACGAAGTAACGGTGTTAATGATTGACTGCATTCTTTTTTTTCCTTCTACGAAAACGCTCGGGTGCTCTGAATTGTAAGCTTTGACCACTGAGAAACAAAATATGTCTGTATTTACCGCAAAGACCTGGCCCGATGGAAAAACCCGACCAACGACCATGCGCTGCATATACGCACCGATAAGTCTATACTTCCCTTACACCCAGTAGTGTATCCCCAAGGGCCCCCCGCCTAGTGCTAGTTGATTTGCATTTTAGCCTCGGAATATTTGATCTATAATACCAAAGGCAAAGTCAAAGCTTTTTCATGCAGCAACGAAGAAAAAACCCTACAGTAATCTAGGGAACGCACCATATCGTGCCGCGGTGCGTCTGCCGGGCGTTGATGCACGGCAAGGATCTCTATGTGCTATATGGAGAAATGGAAATACTTAATTAATATCACGCGTGTTCGAAGGGCGGGCAGGCAAGGGAGGGTGGGAGCGAGCAAAAAAAAATAAAAAATTATATGTCGCATGTTTTTTCGACTCGAGCTCTTCAAATTCGTGAACCCGGGAAACTACTATAACGCTATGTATCATCGACTATAGTACTACTGCAACATCATTTCGATACTACGAAGGGTAACGGTACAATCCAGTGTATCAAAATGCGAACAGGCCTAATCCACATCGAGACGCATGCTTAAATGGACATTAGCTTCTTACATTAGCACCATTGCGCACAGGCGAATGAGAGCAGCGAGAAGAAAAAAACCGTTTTCTGTTCTTTTTGCGAAACGGACGGCATTTCTCGAGTCGGAGATTAGTGTGCTTTTTCGCAAAGGAAAACAGAGCTAGTCCTCTTGATGTTTGTGATGGCCGGGGTTCAAATCTACATACTGACAGGGATAGTCATAAGATCGGTTTGTTATTAGCTTTTCGACAATGTCTTGCGAGCCGATGCAGTGATGTTGTGATCTAAAGACCCGATTCTAAAATCCCGCCTAAGCCTCGCGGCATCGATATGCATCTGCCGGATGGAGGAACTACTAATTGCGCCCGATTTGATGTATTGTATTTATACCGGCCTCTTTTTTTTGCTTGGTTTTGGCCAATGGAGTGGGCCAAGAGCGAAGGTCAATATACTGAGCTCGTTCGGAGAGTAAAAAAAACCTGCCCATTGAAGGTTCCGGGGCTCGGCTAAATTGATTCAAACCGATTCTTCTTTCCGAAAGACGGTCTGCCCATACCTCCTTCAATACAATGAGATGTCTGCGGGGTCAACTAGCTGGTCGGCGGAGATGGGATGGAGGGGTAATTTTGCATAGCGCGCACACTAAGACTAGTTAGACTATCGCGAGTCAAAAGAGTGTTCGTTACGGGAATGTGGTTAAGCTTCAAGCCGTGTTCAGTCTGTCGTTGGTTTGTTGCAAATTCTTGTTTCGATATGCGGTCTGACAGGTGGTTCACATTGGCTCCGCTAAACTGACACTGTTCGTTTGGCGCCTGTCGTCCTGCTTGGTCTGCTTGCTTGCTTTGACACCCCTCCCCACTATTACTGCAGGTATTATCACTGCCATCCCGCACTTACAGGTAAGGCAGCAGCCTAACTTCGGCCCCACTCACCTCCGGAGAAAAAACAAAACCAAGCGATTTTATTTTTTGTTTCAACGGTTTGTGTATGAGACCTCCAAAGCTTCACTCGACAAGGCGGGTTTTGGCTTAGACAGAATTTGGTCTTGAAATGCAGGAAATATCTGGTGGCTTAGTTTTCTTTTGCCCCTCACCTTCCATGTGCTCAATGCATAATGCAGGAGAGGTGCAAGACGGCGGGTGAGGGAAAATCATCAACGAAAGCGAAAGTGGAGGTCGGATCCCAGTCCCTTTCTGCATGATAACAAAGTCACAGGATCTCGTTAAGCTAATATTGAGGTGTTACAATTGGCTGTGAAAGCATTTGGTTGTTGATATTTCTCGGTCACTGTTGACGAAACGCCAAAGGCAAGAAAAACCGTTGGGCTTGCTCGGTAAAACCTAGTCTTCTGGCCCGGCTGCCGTTCGTCTAGACCATGGCAGTCGTTTCTTTTCTTTTGAGGCAACCTTCTTTCTCTTCTTTTCAATAACCCGCGACCTCTGCTTCTCACCCATGTTGGCGAACTGAGTTGTTAAAACGAGTTTCTTTTGATCGGCTATAGTTCAAAGGAAAGAAAAACAGGATTTCTCCGTGTTAGCCAATTTATTCGATTCGATGCGCGATCGATAGAGAATTTCTGGGCAGTGAAATGAAGTAGTGTTTCACGAAATAGTTCTCCCGGACCAATTGCAGATTTCAACCTACATTTTTTCAGGTAGAAAGGCTTTTTGCCTTGTTTGATGGCATCTCGCTCTTTCTTTTTGTGCTCTGCAAGGATCTTGTCATGGTCAAGCCTCCGCTTTCGTGCATCTCTCTTCGATTCCTATCAGGCGAAAAGGTTAAAAGTCAGCATCGTATTTCTGCGCCCACCACCACCACACCACCCCTTCATCCGATGGCAACGTGGCCAAAGGAGGATCCAAAAAATAAATGAATTAGGCTCCACTCACGAGAGATTTCAATGTGTTTTCCAGCTCCTGCTTGCGAATCGGGTTTTTTTCTTTTACTGCCTCCTGACGTAATGTTCTGATTTCCGAGTCCCGGTAGTCGTCTAAGAAATCGTAGTTTTTGGCGATCTTGTCCATATTTACAGCCCCAGATTGTCCTACCTGGTCGAAGCGTGGGTCTCTTGTTGTATCGGCCGGCATGTCGACTACGATGCGCCGGCGAGACACGGCTTTCTTCGATGACATCTCTGTTGGTGCATGCTTACTTGAGCGCTTTGATCTTGAATCGTGAGATTCCCTCTCTTTCCGCTTTTCTCTGGCTCTCCTTAAACCTTCGGCGAATGAGCTTTTAGAGTCGGCGGGGAGGGCTTGCATCCGTCCCTTGATCTCTGCTAGCCGAGCCGCGTTCCGTGGGTCTCTGCCGTTTGATACCTCTGGTTTCGAATCTGACTGATCGCTGATATCGTCCTCTGGTTCGTCCCGTTTTCGCTTCAGCGATCGCTGTGCCTTTGCCAGCGCTCCAAAGGATATGGCCGCTATGTCAGCTGTGACATCCTCCCCCTCCTCTTCTCCGCTCCCCCCTTCGCTTGACTCGCTCCCGAATTCATTTTCGTCCTCCTCACTCGAGTCATCGCCCGATTGCTCTTCCGCCGGCTGTGAGTCTAGGTTGTTAGTAAATTGAATATGTAATCCTCCTGTTTCATACTGATATCCTCGGGCATATTCCATACCTTCCTTGTGGTGGCCCCCTTCGGTCTAGACCTCGCAGCCGGCTCTTCAAAAGGCGCATCGGAGTCATCGTCGCTGGCAACATCGGAGTCGCCCGACCAATTGTTGACCTCGTCTTCTACATCGCTATCTTCGTAACGAACCTGTACGCGTTTGTTCACCATTGTAGCTTTATGCGAACCCTTAAGCTAGGTTGTTTTGGTGATAGTTTGCCCTGTCGTAGCTTTTGAGAAAGAAAGATGAAATTTTGAAGTCGCAAGTCGCTCTAGCGCTGCCGCTAAAGTTTGAATTTGAGAATTTTAAGCCGCAAAGAGGCCTAACTCGGCTATAGTTGCTCGTTTTAAAGTTAAAATTAGTCTCGTGTAAAATTGCCACGAAGAGATAATGTTGCCGCACTTTCGGATGAACTTCAACATTCGAACTTCAACTGCGACTCATTTGCATCCTCCCGACTTTGAACCTTCGCCACTCCGTCAACCTACTCCACCAACCGAAAACACCCGCATCAGTATCTTCTAAGGAAACCTACGACTTCTTCTTCGACTACCAAACTACCCGTTACTTCGTTACTTCGTTACTTCTTTACTCTCCTCGAACTCTACCCCCTCAACCCGCAGCAGGCCTTGTAGCTGCTGCACAACTATCCACAATTCGGCCTATAACTCGCAGTCTTAGCAGTTCTTCTGCATTCAATTTCATATCCAGGCCTCAGGCTATTTGCCAGAAGGTAGTGCCTGCCGAGCTTATATAGACAAAAAGCCATCAACTCTAGATCTTAAGCAGCAGTACAAGCTAACACTGAGTCTCTCGAACAATGCCCCCACAGTTTACATACCCTTCTCGCAGATACCTCCCTGGATATCTCAGTTCTCCGAGCCATCCCTATGCTACGCATTGCTCTCGGTACCCCGAATATGTACCACTTTACCATACGATGAACGACCAAACCGTAGATCCGGGTGATGCCACCCAAGGGATAGAGAAATCCGGGTCTAAAAAGCGCAATAGGAGGAGAATGAGACCCAAAGCGAAGAAGGCAGAGGCTTCCAAACAAGTAAATAAAGCTGAAGTGCCAGCTTTAGCAACATCTATGCAATCGCCACAATCGCAACCACATACGAATGCTCGGGAACTCCGACAAGCTGTCCCAATGTTACCATATCATCAGACAGGCGGCCGGATTCCGAGCTATCAGGCCCTAATGAGCACCGGGCCTGGGCTTTCAGGTATAGGATCACAACTGGCGACTAAACCTAAAGGCAAAGGTAAGGCATTCCAGGTTCAACAGTCGCGACAATTTCACGGAAACCCTGCAGCCCGCCCTGATGCCAACACTCAGCCTGTCGATCGTGGGAGCAAAAACATCAATGACGACTTCGACAAGCTGAACCTAAGGACCGAGAATCCTTTTCTTTTGACTACAGACCTCCGAGTTCCACATAGAAGGCCTGCCAAGAAGTATTTTACAGAAGACGACCCAGACCGTATCAGGCTTTCCAAAAAATGGGTCCCTGAGGATCCTGCGGATGCGACAGGCTATAGAGATGGCTGGACACAACGGGACCATAAGATGGCGCAGATTGTCCTCCCGCCACCTCTGCCAACTGAAGAATATCTTCAAGCGGCTCGCACTCCGACCAGGCCAGTCGACAATCCGACCAAACGGAAGCTTCTTGTTATACTTGATCTCAACGGCACCCTTCTCTGCCGTACAAGAATGCTTAATGGGTGTAGAGACAAATACAACCCATGGCCTCGGACAAATCTCCCGCCTTTCTTAGATTATCTTTTCCGAGAGCACCACGTCGTAGTGTTTTCGTCTGCAATGCAAGGCACTATTCTTAATCTACTGAAGGCTACTATGGCTAGAGAGCATCGCAGCAAGATTCTGCGTATATTCACTCGAGAAGATATGGACATTCCTCACAAGTACTTCAAGTTAAAGGTTTCGACATTCAAGCGGCTATCCATGGTATGGGATGCACTTGCAGACCAGGATAGCAATTGGCAATTCGACCAGACCAATACCGTCTTGATGGATGATAGCACCGATAAGGCTTCCTCAGAACCCCATAATCATTTGTTGGTTCCGGAATATACAGTAGATATTCACAACGCCGGTGGTGACGAAGTCCTCGGAAACATCGCAGGGTACCTAGAGGAGGTAAAGAAATGGGAAAATGTCAGTGCATATATTCGGGAGAACCCGTTCGATAAAGACCGGGATTACCCGAAACCCGAGGGATGGGTCCCTCATATGGATGTTTACACTCCCGGGCCCTCATTCGATCCAAACCCTGGATACATTATAGAAGGTCAAGAACCCCCTAACTCAAATTTCTATTGAGGAATTGGGTGTCTCAGTTGGTAATTTGGCGCTTGCGGTTTGCTTCATGCATATTCTAGAACCTTCCTTAGTGAGAGTATTCCTGTTTGCTATTTGAACCTTCGGTTACAAACGAGCGCCCTCTAAGATCGTTCTCTTCGTTTGTACATATTATATCACATACGGGGTGGCCCTAAGACATTCCTTACTAGAATTCGAACAGCGGCATGATTTTTCGGACGGAGTTTAGCATTGTGTCTTTAAATTGCAATATTGACGCTAACCAAATGCAATCTCTATTCTCTCCATTTTACAAAAACCTCGTCGGTCCTAGAATCCCCGCCCAAGTTAGTTCGCATTCACAAGGTATAAAAGCAAAATCTTCTAAGACATACCTAAACCGTTGTGTACATGTAGATTCATCTATGGGTGTCGTGAACCCAGTTTGAAACGCCAACAGCCCAGCGTGAGCAATCATTATCCCGTTATCTATGCAGAACCTATCATTTCTGTTAGTAACTGACTCAACCAACTATCCCTCCCGTGATACGAATAAAGTATACCTCTCATCAGTAGCGTAAACGCTCCCACCCCTGTCTCTCGCCATAATCCCCATCATCTCCTGTAGTCTCTCGTTACACCCGACCCCACCAACGATTAGCACTTGCGTACTCCCCACATGTGCCATAGCCCGCTCTGTAATCTCAACCAACATTGCAAAAGCCGTTTCTTGAAGCGAGAAACATAGGTCTTCGGGTGTGATTAGCTCCCTAGTGTCGGGGTCTCGTTTTTCAGCCCCGGAAAGCATTTCTCCAGCATAGGCGTCTATGAAGCCTAGAATTCCGGAGAAGGAACAGTCCATTCCCTTAACGGTATAAGGTATATCTATAAGATGTTTTCCTCTGATAAAAATTTGGAGGGGTTGTTAGCAAGAAGGGTGGCTGGTTATGGATGTATAGGTACATACATACTTTTTTGCCATCTGTTCAATGTTATACCCGGGCGCGGGGTCATTTGATATGTTTAACGTTCGGGCAAACCGATCGAGACAATTACCTATTGCGATGTCCAATGCTTCGCCAAATATACGATATCTATTAATATGATAGTTAGTGATTCACATCAGCTTTCGTTCACAGGAGGTCTTAAATCCTGGAACTGTCCAGAGGTTGGAAAGAAGTACCTTTGATCTGCGTATGCAATAACTTGTGTATTGCCACCGGATACGTATAGAACAACAGGGTTATCCGCTCCCGTGATTTCCCGCCCCATTTCGATGTCTATGAATGTTGTTATTTAAATCTTCTGATTCACGAAATCATCCTGGATGGGCGAAGGGACATACGGCCTACACAATGATTCACTCCTACTAACGGCTTATCCCATAGCAGCGCTAGCGTCCTCGCCGCTACGGCCACGGACTGTAACGGTGCGCCCATTCCAGGCCCTGAAAATTCTATCAGCCTTCTAGTTCTTTTTCCTTCGTCATTTTTAAAGAAACTCGTCACAAATATTGAAATGAAATACCCTTGGTATAGCAAATGCAATCAACCTCCCGAATTGTCACCCCGCTCTCCTTCAGCGCCTGTTTTACTAGCTTCACAACCCATGAGCGGTGATGAATCGCCGTATCCTTCGGTAAAAACCCTTCACCGGGCGGTGAGACGAAGGTATGTCGGATGTTGGATAGGATCTCGGCGGGTTTGGAGGGTGTGTGGCGGATTATGCCCACCCCCAGCTTGTTAGCCGAGCCTTCTAGACCGATTGCTATTGTCATTTTTGATGATTTTGTTATACAAATTTTGTGATTTTGAGGGGTGTGGTTGGGGGTTTTTATGTGGCTAGGCTTGGGGGGGACTTTATAGATGGGATGTGGAAGTTTATATGGAGGGTTAGTCACTATGCATGGGATTTTGTGGTTGTTTGATCGTGTGAGGTTGGATTTTGCGAGTTGTGGTTTATAGGATTTTTGGCTGGCGGACTTGGGAAAGATCTCAACACGATTTAAAGATTAGGTAGTATAGTTAAATTTAGTATCGTGGTTAGAAATATCATATGTTCTCTAGAAAGTCGTAAATTTAAGGTGAAGGGCGCTTGGAGAGCTTTAGGTTTATATTCCAGAAGGGGTTTCGACTGTTCTGGGCAAAATGGTTATTGAGAAGAAAAAAAGTATCGATGTCATGATGATCTACCATGGCCTCCCACGTTGGATGCAATTGTATTCTATTGATACCATATGCCGGGTCTATTGATGTTATGGTATCTACTAATCTACTAGCCATCTAAACCCTGGGTTATTTATAAGATAATACCATCTACTCCCCTAAATACTACTCGATATGCCCCCGAAGCTGTGACAGAAACACCCAGATCAAATATCTACTCCTGGTCCTCAACAGGTAATGGCCTCCTCTCCGTAATATTTGGTAGCTCATCGACAACCAGTCGGACCAGATTCTAAAAATCATTAGCCTTGAAAAACTTTCAGAACTAGTACAAAGCTGGAAGACAACTTACCTGCATATCATTCGCTGCCATCTTTCCAGCTTCCAGCACCTCTAAGTGGTTTGCAGCACCAAGCTCCATAATCTTTTGAACATCTCCTTCAATAGGTGCATCTCCTCTGGGGCCAGGTTCCAGGACAGCTTGGTTTGTAACAAGGCTCATAGCCAAGATTCTCATACCCGCATGTCTAGCAACAATGATCTCGGGAACAGTGCTCATACCCACGACATCGGCGCCCATGGTGCGGAGCATTCGGCATTCCGCGCGAGTCTCGAAGCTGTTGAGGTCACGATCGTGTCAGTTTCATTCATCTATTCAGAAAATATATTCGGAGGTTACTATAAATACCTAGGTCCACTGACAAAGGCGTAGACGCCTTCGTGGAGTCTACGAGAGGGAATCGATAACTCGAGCTTTTTGTATGCGGTATGAGCGAACTTGCGGAGCTCTAGGTCATATGCATCCGAAAGTGGTGGGAACCGGGGACCGAATTCCTCAGCATTAGGGCCACGGAGGGGATGGATACCTGCCAAACCTGGGAGGTTTATATGCTGTGTGGATTCCACGTCAACTTGTGTTCCATATGTAGAATGTTATGCATATGATTTGGACTTACGTCGTTCAGGATACAAATATCGCCGACCCTAAAGTCAGGATTGAGGCCACCAGCTGCGTTGGTAACTATTGATAGGGTAATGTTAGCGGGCCAATTAATTCCATTTCAAAGAATCAAGCTTGACGAAATCAACCTACCAACCACGACCTTAACACCAAGAAGCTTCAAAACTCGGACAGGGAAGGCAGTTTTGTCAATATTATGGCCCTCGTAGAAACTAATACACATTTAGTGGTCTGGTGATTTAAAAGAGGTAGTCTCTGACCCAAACAGGTATTTTCGGGACTTGGAGGACAGGGAACCTACTGGACTCGACCAACCATGAGGACTGATGGCGTCTTGCTCCCACCTAGGTAACCAAACACTAACTTTCCGGCATGACCCTGAACTAAACACCAGCATCAAGTCAACAACAACCTTCTTTCTTCTTTCTTCTCTCTCTTCATCTCTCGGATGGGACGAACACATCGACTTTGAAGATCACAGGACGCTCGTGGGATAGACTATACACACCTGTCGACTGTGCGAAATTCGGAATATCAGAGTAACTAATGTCTACTCTATCTCCTTCCTCGACAGTATCTGCCAGGCCACCAAGGCCGGAACCGCAGATGACACCAACCTCAGGAGATCGTAGTTTCTCGGGAACACGATCTCGGATGAAATTTGCCGTTTCCAGGCATTGTGCATACAGATTACTTGGAGCCGAAGTCATGTTTCCTTTTTTTTCTTCTATCTCTTTCCCGCCCCGTCCTATAAATCTCTCGAGCTCTGGGATTGGTTGGGTTGAAAATAAGCTTAAAGGAATTCCGACCAGTGGTATGATTTCTTTCCTTCCTGGCGAACTGGGGTCTGCCGTTTAAATCGGTGGTGTTGTTTTCGTGGCCGGAAAGGTGGGGTTACACCGAAGATCGCGCTTCTGGGGAAGTTACGGTGTTGGATTTTGAGTGCCAGGCTGTTTGCAGGTGAGTTCTACGGAATGCTTTCAAGGGAAACCTACTCCGTACATACAGAGAAATTTCAGATTCTTTTTCTGTTTACTACTACGTTCTTTTACGAATACTAAGTACTAAGTTATAGAGTTTGTTTCTTGTCAGAGCCTCGGAACGCGCGGGAGAAATCATCGGCAGGGTCCGATTTGAGTGCCTGCTTGATTCAGCTGATCCGGTTTTTGCATGAATTTTGCACCGCCTTAACGGTTCTTCTAGACGGACCAGCGAACAAAAGAACGTTGTCTATGGCGCCTGCAGAGGTGTCTCGGTTATGCATCTCATTTCGGATGCTGGAATTAAACGATCCAAGGTCACGTTACTCGGTCTCAGATCTTGTTGGTTGAACAAAGCAAGGATGGAAACTAAATTTGCAAACCGAAGAGAATTCCTCAGAATTCTGGGGTTTCCAAAAAATAAACAAGAAAAAATTAAAAAAGGGATGCAATTTCGGGTCACGTTTGATTGCAGGCCCAAGAGGTCCAACAATGCAGCATTTGGCGGTTGGCAGTTGTCACCATGTTGACAAACCATCGACGGGGATATTCGAGGAAGCACATGCAACAGAACGCTTATTGACGGGAAGGAACTACGCTAGCGTTCTTTGTGCAGCCCGAACGAATCGAGATCTTATCAACTTTTTTTTTGATAGAGGAACTAAGCTGGTAGATCCTCGAGCCAATCAAATGAAACCGTCGCGAACGAGCTAACCAAAATGAATCTTGTTCTCTTTTTTTTTTAGTTTCTGGCTGGGATCCTGACACCCTACGAGGCAGGGGCACATCCATGGAAATCCTGCTCTCTGTGACGAATTTGCATCAGGATTTTGAGAAACTAGGATCGAGTTTCTAGAAGTTCCCGAACATCTTTTCGAGAGCTATATACGAAATATGACGGTTTCTTGGAACCACGTTTTGAACTCAAAGCCTCGAAATTTGACGGTGGATTGGTCACACTTTCGTCACTCCAGTGCAATTGTGTGATAATGCAAGAGAGAAAGAGAGTGTGATCGAGATGTCGAGCTAATAGTTGGACGTTGAACAATACATACATTAAAAGTGAGTTTATTATTTGATTTTAGTCCCATGCAGGCGCTGTGATGGACAGCTATTCTTGTCATTATCATGCAGAACGGTATCGACGGACGAAGCAAGTCTATGCATACTGCGTCCGAGTAGCTAAGAGACTATGCTGGGAAGGGATAAATCTCAGTGGAATCGAAGAAGGGAGAAAAAGAGGGAAAAAAAACCTTGCCCATCCTGGTAGGATTTGATGGATGCAAACATCTGCCATCATCCTGGGCAGCTGGACACTCGCTGCAGGCAGGCAGACGGGGTGTCAGAGTCAGTCTGGGTGTGGGTATCACATAGTAACTAGCGGGTGTGTGAGTGAAGGGGGGAAGTGAAAGTGAAAGGGTGTGTACATTCCTCCGCTTGCTTTGCTTGACTTTGCTTTGGCCTGGCCCGGACTGGTCTGGTTAGGAACTGACCACTGTGGAGTTGGGCCGGGACCAGAAGTACGCTGCCCCCAACACCATTTGACACTAACAACACTACCTAATTTTGGGGGCAACGCAGGCAAGACAGGAGGGGTTTTTTTAATCCCCATCAAACAGCAGCCCAAATTGGTCCCTCCGAAGCAAAGCAAACCAAAGCAAGAGAGAAAAAGAGACGAGAAGGAAAAAAAAAAAAAAAAGGAAGCAAACCCAAAGCAAGCCTGCAGTGCAAAGCGAAGCCAACAGGAGCGAAAAAAAGGCAGTTTGCCAGCGTGAGCCATACAAAGAACACCGAACAGAAGGGGCAGACCACCACTTCCCCGCACGACGCCTGATACTTTATCCATCAATATCACCATTTATATCAACGAAATCCATCAAAAAATTCACATCATGAGATTCTTGTAAACCTCCTCTCCATGGTCGTCTTTTTCCCGTGCTTTTTGGACGGGGTTTCGTCGTTTTATCTGCCTCTGAACCTCCGACCGGTCGCCCAAAATGACCGCTACTCGCTTCCGACAGCGTAAGCTGTCAACAAAGGCCGCCCTTCAGGTCATTGATGACAGCCAAATAGACATTACCGATGATGATACGAGACACATCGCCACAATAGAATCTGGTGTAGAACGCACCGAAGAAATCGTAAGTCTCTCCGATTTTTCCTCATTTTTTTATACGACTTCTTGCGAGGTCAATTCCGACATCTCGTCGTCTCCTCCGAGAGCCCCATATCCCTTGCCCCCTATTCCTATGACTCTTTCTCGCTGCCAAAAACAAACACGGCATGAAAAATTTGCGCTTTCCCGCATCGGGAGATTTCAAACCTGCAAACCCCTGTCTTCCCCCCTACAACACGACAATACAACACATTTCAACTTGCAACATGCGCAACACAATATATTCTCCATTTCCATTTTCTAAAGATTCTTAACTTTGGCTAATAATAATTTCTGTCTTTTTTTAGGAACATCATTTGCAAGCCGCTATATCCGCTGCAAATGCTGCTGCACTTGGCACAAAAGTCAAAGCAGCTTTCATTCCAACCCCGGATGCATCAAAAGTCATCCCAAACTATGAAAACCTTTATCGAAAGGTCTACTCTCACCCACACTCCTACATTCGATTCTCCTCAACAGTCGAAGATACTAGTGGAAATCTATACTGTATCGACGAGGAAGATGACGAATACCTTACGCAACACAACTCAAAGAAATCCCAGGGCACGCAGTGTTCTGAGGATAACTTCGAGGAAGTTTTCAGCGAGTATGAAATGCTCACCTCGCTGAAACAGCCCTTCCTAGGTCTGAGCGAAGATGAGAATCTTCCCATTCACTTGATGACCTATGAGGAAATGGAAGAGGCTGCGTTTGAAAGCGACTCGAAACTAGGGGAGAAAGCCCACGCCAAAGATTTATACACCTGGTGGGAACAGAGAAGAACAAAGCGCAAGGGCAAGCCGTTAATGCCGAGTCTAAAGTTTGAGCAGGGCCAGATCGATAAAGATGATGGTGACCCGTATGTCTGCTTTAGAAGGAGAGAGCACCGACCCGCACGTAAGACAAGACGGACGGATGCTCAGAGCATTGACAAGCTTAAGCGCCTACGGCTCGACATGGAGAGAGTTCGTTCGCTTGCTAAATGCGTTCAGTTGCGAGAAGACAACAAGAAGGATAACCAGAACTGGGAAGCTAAGGTCTACACGTTCCGGTATAAGGTGAAGAAATATAAGAGAGACTTCAATATACAGGACAACGACGACGATCTTGTCAACAAGGTATGCTTCTTGGTTTTTAAATTTAATCCAATTTTCGGCACTAATACGTTTTCCCATTATTTTAGCCTCGTAAGCGCGTGGTCGAACAGCCGCCTGCTCCAGCTCCTAAACCTCCTGTCAGACATGACTTCAAGCCACCTGAAGCTGATCTGGTTCAACTCGAGGACCTTCACAAGTTGAGGGTTCAGAACATCGACCAGATTGTCGTCGCGAAGCGGAAGGAACGACAGTTTAACAATGCGGGATGGAATGACCAGACCGTTGTCGCATTCCAGAAACCCCCTGTTACACCACCCCCAGACACATCAGCCAGTTTCAGGCAAGTTGACACATATTTTGCTCAACAACTTCTCAGTCCACCGCCTTCTGCATCTCCCTCGCTTTCGCCGTCATCACCCAATCCGCGCTCAACGGGACCGCTACAACCGAGAATCGCCTTCCAGACTTCCGCTCCTTCGCAAACCAAGAGAAAGCGAGAAGAGGAGGAAGAAGGGGAACCCATGCGATTCCGGATGCGTTCTTCGCGTGGTCATCGTATCTTCATCGACCGTCGTGGACCAAAACTTAGCGATAAGGATCGTGAGCAAATCGACGAAAGAATACTTGATAGATTCGCCTTCGATCACGATGATTCTGATGAGGAGTTTGAAGGACTTGCTAGTTCGACAAAGTATAACCGTGATAAGTATGTCCTCGAATAATCGGCCCATTTATGTATCGTAAGATCCAAAAAACTAACGCTACTATAAAGGGCCCTGTTATTCTCTGCGAACCTCTTCCTTCAACAGGTAATGCCACAGAGGCGGCATGACCATCTAACACACTCAACAAACTCACCGGCGAATAGCAATCTAACGCCGAGTACGCCTGCCGCCCCGCACCCACCAACACCGATAAACCAATCAGCCTCGTAGTTTTATCAAAAATTCTCTGTCGAACTTAACTGTTGTGATCTATTAGCGAGTCTTGTTTTGCCCTTTTTTTTTATCTTTACCTGGGATGGGCCACCCTAAACCGAAATAGGGTAACCCCATACCCCACATTTAGCTCAGACGATCCGAACAGCTCGACCCCGCGCGAGAGATTGCCAGCGAAATTAAAACCACAAAGTCTTTAAAAATATTTGTGCAAAAACGAAGACAAGTTTGGGTACCTTTTTTTTCCTCTTTGCTTTTTTCTCTTCCTGCCTTTGCCTAAAATTGAGTTCATTGGCTTTTTTTCTTCTGCTTGTTTCTATATTTCTTTGTGCCCCATCGTTGGGGTTTTCGTCTCTCCACTTTTTTTTTGGAACATACATTATTGTAAAACAAAACTCGGACAAGGTCCTCCTCTTTTCAATCGATACCCTTACTTTCCTCTCTCCCTCTCCATATCTCTTCTCCGATAGTATATATCCTTCCCTACTCCCCCCCCCCTCGTATTATTCTCCTTAACGTTTCTTTATTATATCTTTCCTATGGTCTCGGTGGGTGGCTCGTTATCGATTGCTTTTGCAAAACTTAAAGAAAGAGGTAGTTAGTCTCCCGACTTTTATATCTTTCCCCTTTTTTTTATAATCTCTACCCAAAAAGAAAAACCCCGCTTTTTTGTTTTCCCACATACCTTGATAGAATGGGAGGTGACATTTGATCCAAAGAATTATCAAAATCGGTGTTGTGTGCTTTTTTTTTTTTTTTTTTTTTTGAACGTTATTACTTCTTGTTATATCACATTTTCATGGCAGGGATGAGAATGAATTAGGTCATCCTTTTATCTTTTTATTAAAGAAACCAATAGAAAGAATATTATTTTATTCGAAAAGTTGATAATTCATGCTTTTGAATGTAGTTGTATAAGTAGCTATCCTGTTGAAAATTCCAGATAAATATTGCTATCTACAGTATAGCGTGGCATTAAAAATAGTAATCAATCCTGTTGGTAGCATATCCGCATTATCTCGTCGTTGGACTTCAGGACGGTACAGTTGTGCTAACACTAGCTCCAACTTATACCTTTTATAGATCTGATGCTTACTCTATCTTTTCCATGAGATCCCTTTCAACTTCTCTATCTTGTGCTTTTCCCAATTGCGGGGTACAATTTTAGTTCCTCACGATAATCAAAGTGGGGTTCTAAGAGGGGTTAGGCCAGGTGTAAGTCTCATATATACAAGAGTATGTTTCAATTCGTCTATTTCCACAGACCCTGTTCAAAGCTTGTGTAGATCAATGAATGGGGGTGCAGGGGTGTCAAGAGTCGAACTGGGCAGTAATCGATATTAAAAATGTAACTTAAACCTTCTGTGTTGTTACACCAAAAAATGCAACAAAAAGTGGTTATCAAGACCAAGAGTGATATGGACATAGATGCATAGATGCTTATATACGCACCGTATTGGAGGAGACCATGCATGATTATACGGTAAGTTCTGTAATAGTTAAGGTTTAGATGGTCCTGCGATTTTGCACTAGTAGTATCCGTTTTATGAGGTAAGGTTTGAATATTTGCTAATACGATGCAGAGAATGATAGTGCTAATACGTTATGTATGACCAATTATATATAGTTATAAAGGTATTATAAATTTATGCTAACATACTTGAACGATTTGACGAATTGCTACTTATCAGCCTTTATAATTTACAAACATCCCCAGATCTTCCACGGCGGCCCATTACATATATTGTTGCACCGATTTCATGAAATTAAATAGCATACTGACAAATTAATTAGATGACATAGCTACTTGTATAATGAAAGGTTCAAACTTGTGGCGATGATCATGCTAAACTTGCTATGGAGAATTTTGAAGGGAGGAAGAGCATAGCAGAAGCAGAAGGTAGATATATATTCAGCAGCCGGAACCTCTAGGGGAGGTTGACAGGCCTTCCACCCCCCCTGATCATACGCCTTCTAGGAGACGATTTACCACCCTCCATTGACCTCGGTGGCCCAAGTCCTCGTTTTAATACCCCCCCACTATCACCATTACCCCCGAACCCACCCCCAGCCCCACCACCAGCCCCTCTCCAATAATATTCATCAGAGCCCGGGTATCCGTAAAAACCGGGACCTGGCTGATACCCGTAGGGATCAGGGACCGGGTATCCGTAAGAACTGGAACCTGGCTGATACCCGTAAGGATCAGAGACCGGGTATCCGTAAGAACTGGAACCTGGCTGATACCCGTAGGGATCAGAGATCGGGTATCCGTAAGAACCGGGACCTGGCTGATACCCGTAGGGATCCGCGCCTTCGAAGAAGAGTTGAGGCTCCGTACCAGGAATAGGTACCCCGTCGAAGACAATATCCAACCAACTTCGATCATAATGATCGGGTCCACCGGGGAGGGTCAGGTATCGACCGGTTTCGTCAGGTCCGCCGTTCCACCATATCCACCCCCCAGCCATGTCATTATTTGGCCCGTGAAAAATGGCAGGTATATTGTCTATAGCTGCTCTATATTGTATGATATCAACATTCGGGTCCCTGGGGGGGTTTCCTAGTTCCGTATAACATGTGCAACCTGTTAAAAAAGAAAGAAAGAAAGAAAGAAAAGAAGAAAGAAACCGGTCAGCGAGGCAAGACCCATTATGGATGAGTAACTCAAGGCTCGGAAGGATGTTTTGGGGCAAACCTACCTACGAAAGCAATGCATTGAAGTACTACGCGGTCACTGTAGCAAAAATTATTCCGTATTAGAGCGCTGGCCCACCCCTCGTCCCTCTGGGGGTTCATATTTCCCCGATCGTCACAGTTGCAAAGCTTGCAAATGCTTATTTGGTTCCTAATAAGACCAAGGGCCCTTGCTTGACTGTACTTACTCCAGTCCGGCCACGCACCCGCCGGGAGTTCGGGGAATAGTCCCCTTTGCTGCGGAAAGACTCCATCAAGAATATCTACAGGGAGCCTGCACTGCACAGTAGGAGGTCTTTCATAGAAATACGATGGCGTCACTGTCCGAGCAGCGACTGGATTATCTTTTGCAGGGCTCGGGGTGCCTTCTAGAGTCTGAGCTTGTGGTCTACTGTCGGGGTTTGAGATTGCAGCTGAGGAATTCGTAGAGACATTCATTAAAGATGTGACCTTTTCCGTCCTGCTCATATAAGCTCCGGGCATTGCAGCGGCCAGAGACAGTACTATCCCGTAGGATAAGATGAACCCAAATCGCATTAGTATTGAAACCTAGTTTCTGCTCCGTGGTTAGTTTTCTGTTCAATCATTGTAAGTGTATTATAGCGAAAGACGAAATTAGACATATAATCTGAAACTTTGGGTACTGATATGGTGATATACATCTTACATTCAATGCCTCGAGTTTTCTTTCCCTTTTTTCTTTTTGCAAAAGTGCTATATATTGCGGCTCGTGGGCTATAGTAGGTACGTATTGGGTGGTATTCGATACATACTGGCAATATAAATTAATTAACACTGCGCGCACCCGACAAGAAGAATATATATATATATATATATATATATGTATACACAGTCGGTCCTTATACGAAATGGACAACGTGTCGACTGATTCAAGAGACCGTGGTACAAGGACTTTCAACTGAGTTAATGCTGGGTAGTCCCGCCCCCAAAGGAAACTAAAGATATTGGATATCGATACAATAGTACAAGCCATTTGCATCAATCAGTGTGTCACAAGTACGGGTGCGCGCCGTTTGATAGATGAAAATCTTTTTTGAAACTGTTGGTAGCTATATGTTATATAGCCGCTACAAGTTAAACGCACAAATACTAACGCGCAAAGTAGTCCCAAACCCGGGCCTACAGGTTAAAGTTGTGGTTTTCGAACGGAGTATGCAACCTCGCTGTTTTCAATACTGTTAAGTTCTCATTCGACCTCTAATGAAATCCAAAGTCCAAGACAGATGGTTGGCGGAGGCTGGGACGACCATAAGGTAGTGCAAATATGAAGTATAGATAAACCCAGCCAACTCTTCCTAGGTATTTAGTTAGGCAATGTCGCGGTCGTACTCCGATTTAAAGACAGTACATGCACATCTCCACTAGAAAAACACCTGCGGGCATAGCCTCGAGACCAGATTGCACGCCCTCATATAGCACGCTCAATTGATTAAGGGAAGACGGGTTGGGTTTTCAAAACATGAGAAATAAATAATCTAGGCTAGTCTCGTAAATCTAGGCTCCGATTTCATTTAGTATTTAGACCTGTTTGCAATATATAGCTTGGTGTGTTTTCCCATAGAAGTTGGATGTAACTAGGTAAGTAATTATATATATAGTATCATATATCATATATCAATATACTTGTTGTATTTCCCCCCTTAACTTTTCACGAATTCGAGCGAACAGTTGTAACGTTAGCCCAACCCCCAGAGTTTCATACAAGTTCACCTGGTTCTATAAGCAATGAAGCTCTCTAGATCTGAAGACATAATATGAAATATCAGCGCCTGCCTCCGGAAATTAAGTAATTCTACTTCAAAGCTTTAGATTCTAGAATTTAATCCTAACACCGAACGCAAATGCCGACAAAAGTTAGATTCAAGCTCAAGCTTCTCGAATAATAAACACATGAATCGAGGTTCTAGCTCAAGCGCTAAAATAAGCGCCCTCGGATGCTTCAGATTATGCACACAAGAAGGGAAAAAATACGCCCACAAAAATTTCGTCACGAGAATTTCGAAACCCGGTCAAGGGTTTCTTCCGAATTCTCCTAGGGAAATAAAAAAGAGCTAGGAGGTGTCCTAAGTGGGGACCTTAGAGCTCTCATTTAAACATGTATCTGCAAGGATGTTTTTTTTTTTTTTTTCTGGTTCTGCAGACGAGGTAGTTGAGCTGCAGCCGCTACATATGTCGGAGCATTGTAATCAAAAAAGAAATTCTGATGTTCATTATCGATCATGTGAACAACTGCCTTAAGTATCCTTGGGTTTAAATGCACAGCTTACGACAGCAGGTCATTATAACGTGCATTATGCGACGCGAATAAGTCAAGTTATGATATAATATCGGCAGGTGAGCGGGCATTTTTACGTTATTTGCGAACTACTTAGCTACCAGAATAAATGACCCAAAGGAATAAAGAGTAGAAAACTTGAAACATAGTAATGATAACTCCAGATTATTTGAGTATTGATAACCTAAACAAACGAAAGGGAAGGAAAAGGACGGCATATAAGAAAAAAAAAAATGAACGGATTGGAAATCAGACAAAGGAAGCAAAGGAAAGATATTCGAGGTAAAAAAGGGAACCCAGTAAAAAAGACGACTTTGGTTTGACGGTTGTAGTTGGAGGGATGGACAATTTAGGGGGGAAATATGTACATGAAAAGTCGCAATAAAACTGTGATAAACCCGCCAGGTACGTGAATAAAGGGATGTCGGGAGGGAAATGACGTAAGGAGAAGAAGCTATTGATATATATGAGGAAAGATATGAATGTACATACGCCAGCATGATACAGGATAAAAGACATTTTGTCGTAAGAGATATGCGTAACCCAGGCTCCAGAGGGTTACCTTCTTTGAAAGATAAATGGAAAAAAACCGAAAAAAGAACCAGGCCCAAGATGACGGTCATGAAAAAAGATATAAAAGGTTTTCGTAAGAAATTAGAGATGCAACTCCTTCTAAAGAAGAATTGCGGGGAAAACAAATAAACAAACGGATCGGATGCTTTTCAGCTTCTCTCGAAGTCGAGTCGATGTTCCGTAGTTGTTGGATCTCGTAACAATCGGAAGAACCGTGGGTACTGCACAAGGTAGCGTTTATGAGTGCATCAAATCCCAAGCTTCGGAGCACAGGGCAAGGAAGCGTTCCTTCTTCCTCCTCTTAGCCTCTTGTGCTTCCGCATCGTTTTCTGATCCTGTCGAATCATCTCTTTCAAAGTCGCCGCGAGTTCGTCTCCGCTTCGTTCCGACAACTTCGTGAGCCGAGCCTGGAATTGTGAGAGTTGTGGTTTTCGTTTTCGACATGGATGCATGGCCTAAACTCGAAACTCGCTGTTTAGAAGAATGTCCCATTGCACCTTGAGTCGGGCTTGGAGGAGTTGGAGGCTGATGGCCACCATAATGCACGATTCGTGGAAGGAGATCCTCACGTCCGCCTGTCATGCTCGCTACTGCTTCCTCCGCTGTTCTAAATTCCTTGGATTTTTCCGGTCTATCAACATCCATGCGCGAAGAATAATCTTGACGACCACTCATTGGTGGTGGTGGGAAGAATGAGCGTTGTTCTGGTTGTCTAAGTTGAGAGGATAGTTGTGCTCTGTCTTGATCCCGGTCCCCTTCTCGGTCTCGTCCACCCATATCAGGACCGAACACTACATCTGCGATTGGTGGTAGTCGATTTGTCATTCTATCAGCTCTCGCTTCCGCAAGGCCTCTCCTGACAGTGAACGACTGGTTTAGAGGGGCCGAATGAATGACTCTTTCGTTCGCAAAGTGGCTGTGGTGTGGTGCCACGATACTTAATCCATTTGGTGGTGCCTTTCTCTTCCCTCCTCTTGGGGTGCTGAATCCTGCGGATGGTTCACCATGGTCGTCTTTGCTACCGTGGGCGTTTCTCTGTAGTCTGGTTTCGATGATCTGTCTCTGTCGTTCCCTAACATCCATGCTTCGTTCTAACTGTTCTCTCATGATATCATCTGTGACATTTAATCCCGGTGAAAGGCAGGCCATTCCAACCTCTCGCATAGTCATGGCGGTTCTGGGTGTCGAAGAAGGAGCGATATTCGAACCAGTCTTGGATAGGTTCAACTTGGTAGGACGGTGACGAGGTGGCTCAGGGGAAGGTTCCTTCTTAATAACAACCATCTTTGGTGGGCTACGGCCGCTGATTCCGGTTGAGAATGAAGAGTCAACACGAGGAGAGCTAGAAAAGCGAGATTTTGCATACCGCAAAACTAACCTTTCCGGAGACCGCGACTTGTCTCCTGACTGTGAATCCTGCTGCATCATGTCTGAGTGGTGGTAGTGCGGCTGAGGCGCAATTGCTACAGAAGCTGATGCCATAAAGAATACCCTTGTGGATACGTGATATAATAAAAATTATATTTAACACCCTCGCTTATAAACTCGACCGTCCAAAGAAAGGAGGCGTGGTCTCGAGGAACGATGTAAACTCCGGAGAATGTACAACGCGAGTATGGCAGTTTAGAAGGAAAAAATAAATAAAAGAAAAGAGACGGGAAAACCCTGCGAGAAAAAGTCGTTGGATCGATCGGATTGGTTTCTGGTGAACTCGAACTTTAGTCGGTAGTAATATCTCGTGGTTAGATAAATCTCGCGAGGACCAATTGGGTTTTAGAGTTCAGGGAGGAGGTAGCGATATCGATAATCAAAAAAAGGGCTGGTTGGCTAGTCTAGGCTTGCCGGGCAACAAAAGTGGGATACACGAAAACGAGGGGCAAGTCTCCAGGAACAATATAGAGAGGTTCAAGGAAACGGTGATTGGTAACGAGTGCTTGATCAATTCGGATTACTATTACAGGTAGTAGTGGGATCGGTCGGCAGTAGAAATGGCGACGACGACAGGATGTATGTGACGCGATCTGAATAGCACGACACAAAGCTGGAGTGCAAAGAGAAAGAGAAAGAGAAGAAAAGATGGAAGCGAGGAGAGGGGAGGGGGAGAAAGGAAGAAGAAGTAGAAGAAGGACTGACTGAAGAGGGAGAGAAGCCGAGGGGTTAAGAGGGATAACTCAGGGAGACATCCCCTTGACGGATAATCGACCTCGGGGGGGCAGTTGGTGGTGATGGCGGAGAGGGAGAGATAGCACGGGTGACTTGGACTTACTTGTTTGTTGGACCCTCACTCAAAGCAGAACTCCACAGCGGCCTAGATCCAATACTAGCACGGTAGGCTCTGAAACGTAACAAAGCCGAATTCTCCCAATTTCTGCGGCAGTGTGAACCGGAAAGCTGTATGGGACTGTCTTAATATTTGATTTTTCTTGCTCTCTTGGGTCCGTTATCTGAAATCCCCCGAGTTACAAAACGGTCAGAAAATGGTCGAGGGGTAGTCCTTTTTCCCTATGAACCCGCTAATCAATCTACCCAGGAGATCGAAGAATGGTCAGAAACGTTTCCAGTTTGCGGAATCAGCCAAAAGAAGGGGGTGGTGCCCTCGATCATCAAAAGAGTAGCGAGCGGAAGAAGGGAAGAGACGACGATGGCTAACACCGGTAAGGGAGTGACCGGTCGTCGAAAGAAGGAGAGTGTGAAAGAAAGGGGAAATCTCGAGAAAAATCACAGTCCAGAAAGGAGCCACAAAGTCTAGAAGGTTTCCAGTGTCGAGAACGACGAACAGCCCACGCCTCCTACTACTCCTAATGCACCTAATGGTCTGCGGTGCACAGGTTTTGCAACAAGCCAGAGTAACAGCTGCCTGTGCTGAGACCAGGGAAGGATGGAGCTAGCGAAGGAAGGGGGAGGAAAGGAGGGGCTGCTCCCAAAATTCTTTCCTTTTACCCCGTGATGAAACACCCAACGACTGAAATGCTGAACAGTGATGTATGAGGTAGAGGAATGGCAGCAATGTGCATTCCGAACAGACGGAATATAACCCGTTCGACGCTTCTTCCTACTCACCTTGAAGCAGCTGGTATCGTCTAAGCCTGTCTGGAAACCCGATATGGACTTCAAGGGCAAAAGAAGAGCATGAATAGCAATTTCTAAAGAAAGAAAGAAGGGCCAAAAAATGAGGTTGATGCTTCCCACGATAGAAAGATAAAGGAAGTCCAGACATAGGATTTTTTTGCTTTTCTATGCAGGAATCTCACTTACCTCAGGCTGTTCATGCCACAGCTGCAAGCTCTTTCCACAGAGTATAGCTGCTAATCATGAAACATATCGGCTGTAAGTGCGTCGCAAGCGGCAAGAGACACAACCACTTTTTTATGTCGACAGTGTTTGACGCTATCGAAAATTCCCTTTGCACTTGAAGTCCAAACTGGTCTTTCGAAATTATTCCAAAAGGGTCGGTCGTCACGCATGGGGATTGGTCCCAGCCCCTGATAGTTCGCGTCTTGTCCATACCCACGCTCAAACGTTTCGAAACACCGAGCAGCCCACAGCATGCCGAGTAATCCCCGTCCAGAGACAAACATCCGCCTTTTTGGGAAAGTTCAAGCCAACTACAGTCTGGTTTGGAACCCATGATGGCAGGCGCCCAGCCAATCCGGTGCGGCCTTTTCAGGCTGGAGAAGTGAGTGTCTTCGAAAAAGAAATCTCGTCTCCTGCCCCTTCGAAGTTTTTTCTCTCTTGATAAGAAGGGCCCTTCCCAAAAGTCGCCACTGGGCAATCTGGCTTTTGGGACGTCCGAAACGTCAAGGTTTATCGCAAGCGAGAACATGGACTGCGCTGGGAACCGAAAATCTCCAAATCCCTCAGCATCATCTTGAATTCATGATGTTACAAAACCCGACACAACGAAGGCCCTGACAACACTCATAGCTGGGAGCACGGAATGCCCAGCCTCTTTTTGACATTGGAGGCACATATGGGTTGGTTTAACTGCCTAAATGCGCACAAAAACAAGCTGGCGACAGTCTAGATATGTATGTATGTTGATGCTCGCTCGTATCCGAACGATATATTTATTTTTCTTGCTTGAAAAGGGCCCCAATTTAGCCTTTGTGTCTTAGGACCAAGCATTCCATTTCTCCCATGTCCCAGGCCTCCGCAAATTGACTGGATATTGATTAGCTCCGTGTCGAGGAAAAAACGTTTTCTCCATTTGAGCCGATAGGGCGCGGAGAAAAGCTCAATTGTTGTGCGCAATTTGTTTCAAACAATTGAGAATGCTGTTGCTACACATCACAAGCTCACGGAAGAAACCGTAGTACCAGATCTCGAGCTTTCTCCAGGAGAAGGAATTGAACACACAATAGCGACAGAGCTTAAGCATCGATGCTACGAATTTCGCTTCATCACCGTAACATATCGTCTAACCAGTCATCGTCCAGGTGTTGAGTGCCGGAACTAGTCTTCGTAGCCGTAGACGAGGTATTATCTGTCGAGGCAGTGTTTTTAGAGCTCCGGGGTGTCTCTGTCAACTGTCCCAAATGTTTACCTATATATCTCGTGCATAAAAAGTAAGCTCATGGCTCGCTTCTTTCTCAAACGGAATATATATGAAACATTATCCGTTTCTGCATTCTGCAACTGCATACCTTTTAGATCCATGTTCCCAATCAACTGATCCAACTCATCTTCGTGATCGTTAAAATTTATTGTTTCGTCCTTGGATCTGGCTGCCGTCTTGCGAGTCGCAAATCTTTGCCGGAACCTATCCGCAGTAGCTTGCTTGGCTATCTTTTCCGTGACATCCTTGAAGTCGTCCCGATTGACCTTAACAATGTTGCCCTTCGGGGCGAGATCCATGTCTACATGACCCCTTCTCACGCCACTATCATGATCCCATATATCAATGATCTCTTCTCGCTCCTGCTCTCTTTCTTCGATTGCTTGAAATTTGTCTCTTGTCAAACCAACGTAGTCGGGTTCCGGAACGACTTCCTCGGGCTCTGTTTTAACATTTATAGGGCTCAGCAATTGCGACTAATGCTTGGCACTCTCAAAGTCTCAGTATCAAAGGAAGAATACCCCTCACCTTCACCAGGCTCAGGCTCAGGTTCCTCATATCTCCAGGCGTTTGAGGCTATCTTCTTTCTTCTGCTGTATCGAGACGGATTTTCCCCTTCCTCGGCGCTATCACTCTCAGACTCCGATTGTGACGTCGGCTCCCGAGCTTCACCTTCTGCCACGGTTGTAGTTGCAGTATTCGCGGTTTCACCTTGTGCACCACTACTCCTACCAATACCACTACCGCCGCTATTGCTGCCACCAGGAGCCGGCCATTTTGAAGCTTCCAACGGTGCTGATGACGTGGCTGATGCTACATGGTTTGTTCGAGACCCCGCACGTGCTGCAGCGCGGGCTAGCGTTTTCTCTTTCTCCTCAGTTGCAGCCTTAGAGTCCTTCTGTCCCAGCTTCTTTTCATGAAGCTTTGAAGCCTTTTTGTCCCATTCTGTGCCGTGTAAGCAAGCAAGCTGGTTAGCAAGGCTGACTCCGTTGATCAGACATATAATCAAAAAAAACATGCAAACAAAATTTGGCACGCTGTTGAAACAAAACAACTTACTGTTCTTATGAAGCACCATTGTTTACGGGTGGTTAGCTTTTCAGGATACCCACGTGCAGCTAGTTGGAGATGTGGGTTTATAGGAATGTTTGGGCAGGAGAATTGAGATGAGCTCGACGGGCACAAGTCGTGTGGGTTTTGTGGCTCAGCGGCCGCATAACGTCGACAACGCATTTGCTGTTGCAAACATCAACAAAACATTATTCCTTTGCTATGCATGCAGCTTGCAGCTTGGTATACCAGCTAGCCTTTGAAGCTCCGAAAAGTACGGCGCAATAGCTTTGGGAGCGGTGGGCCCCTTTAGGCTACCGTGTTAACGTTTCGAGCTTTAGATCTGGAGGTGAATCTTGTCGTGTGGACTCATAAGGTTGGTATAGTCCCACTAGCTCCTATTATGATATTGCGCTTTGGTAATATCTTCGTGAAATTCCGGGGATCTCTCCGGGGAATTATTCAGAATAGGAAAATAATAACCTTCGTAATAATTTCGTAATAATGATAAGTTCCGCTTCGTTGATGTACTAAATTTACGATAGAAGCCTTGTCTCGTCACGGCTATCGATAAAAGATAAAACCACTAGCGCCATATCACTACAAGCTATATTTGCAGGGGTCGACATATCTACAAACATACCTACTTATATATACAATTTACATTTAAGCTGCTATTTACTTTACGAAGCTAGTATCGTGAAATTATGTGTAATCTGGATAGCCTCGAGACTAGGCGTAGGGAAAGGGCAGGGCAATCCGGACCCCCCCATTTGCTCATGCATGCACGCGCCGGAAGATCATGGGCTAGAAGGCTTAGGACCGACTCCCATCCCCATAGCCTCCATAACCCTCCCAAGGGTTTCATTCGCCCTCTTATTCGCCTTCTCCGCCCCAATCCTAGATACTTCCTCTAAATAACTAGCATCTCCTTTGACCCTTTCGTACTCCCCTTTGATACCTTTCAGCCCTTCTACAACACTGTCCGCAACTCTATCCTTAAACTCTTTCATGTTCAATCCTTCACACTCTTGGGCAATGACTTCAAAATCGTCTCTATTCGTCATATTACCCATCATCTCGATCAGATTAGACACACCCGGTCTAGCTTCTCTATCATAGCTGATACCAGAAATACTATCTGTCAAAGCACCCCGGATCCTAAGCCTTATTTCGGACTCGGAATGATCAAGGTTTATTTGAGAATTGACAGTGCCTGATTTTGACATTTTGGAAGTTGGATTTGTGAGTGACATGACACGCTTGGCTGGGGCTGTAAGAACAAAGGCGGGTTATATTGTCAGCCATCTGTAATCGTTGCCACAATCATATTCACTGGTATCACGAAAGGGATAGTGTAATGGCACTTATTCGAAAAAGCAGACTTACCCAGCTTAACCCTCGGCACCACCAAAATCTTTCCAAAAGTCCTATTGAATTTACCCGCCAGACTTCGAGCCAACTCTAGATGTTGGACCTGATCCTCGCCAACGGGTACCAATGTTGTCCTGTTGGTATTCGTAAGTTAAAAAACTGATTTATAAAAATAGTAGCCGGCGGGGAATGATAGGGGGGCCGTGAAGGAAAGAATTTCTAAGAAATCGGTGAGCTTACCCGTATAACAGTATATCAGCCGCCTGAAGCACTGGATAGGAGAAAAGTCCCAACTTCAACTTCGAAGACCCATCAGGGTCTAACGGTGACCTATCTTCGCTTTCAGCTAGTTTTGACTAATGCCATTCCGAAGGACAGACACTTCTTGTTAGCTAAATGTTGGATTCTTGCTAATCCTCGAAAACCAACAGCGAAATGTTGTAATAGGTAACAATTCGCTCTCCCTCCGCTTTTGATATGCATGTTCATGTTCATACCATGTTGAAAAAAATAAAAGTCAAAACAAAAACAGGACACACGGAATGAATACCTTCCACTGCGTCTGTCTTGCCAATAAATTGGTCGGTGCTAATGTACTCAAGACCCACATAAGCTGTGAATGCGCTGCAACCCTCGACTGTTCGAATATTACACATCGTTCAGCCTTCAACCCAACAGCCAACAACATGGCCATCGTATCATGCCGTCTCCGTCGAAGATCATGAGGGTCCTGCGGCTGCGTAATCGCATGTAAATCTACCACACAATACAGTAGCTCCGTGGATGGTGGGGCCGAGTTTTGGAGGTCGACCCATTGCTTTAGTGCCCCGAGGTAGTTTCCAAGGTGTGGTACACCTGTCGGTTGGATACCAGAAAATATCACTTCAGGATGTGTTGGTAGTGTGGTAGATGTCGATAGGCTTCTTGTTTGGTCACATGATGTCGGATTCTGAAATCGATTTTTCGAGGCAATTGGTAGGGCTCGTCGGGTAAGTGAAATTACCTTGCATCCGACGTGTCGAGAAGCATTGGCATAGATGCGTACGGGTAACATTTGAGTCTAGTTGGCCACAAGAGGTGTGTGTATGCAATGCAGCTTGAGCTTCTTTTTTTTTTTTTGTTTCGGAATAGTTATAGTTGTATTGAATGAGGAATTCGAAAGATATTGAAATTTCCTGTGAAGCAAACGCCCTCGAATTCGCGAAGCGAAAGAAATATGACACAAAGCAACACAGCTATCCGGTACACTGGATCTGCAGTGGCTACTCATAATTATGCCCCTGGGTAAAGGACGAAGTGAAAGTAATGTACAAGAAGTTCTTTATTTACATGAGTTAAGGATCCTAATTGTCCTTCTTCGTTGCTTCTTCGACCTGGATCTCCTTTGCGTTTGGAGTCTCCTCCTTAGTGGCTTCTTGTGTAGGCTCTGGAACAAGCTCTGAGTCTGCCGCAATAGCGGACTCAGACTCTGTAGGCTGAGGGGGCTCCGGGGCTCCGGTGTCCTCCTTTTTAACAGTGGTCTCTTGTGCCGGTTCGGCCGCAGGGATCTCTGTCGAGCTGGCCTCGGTGGTTTCAGTGGGAGTGGCTTCAACCTCAATCTCCTTTGCAGTCCTCAAATCAAGAGGGTCGGGGTGGCTCAGGTCAACGTTTGCCTTATCTGCAGCTACGGCATCCTCTGAAGCTGTTGGCTCTGGATGAGCGGCCTCAACTTTCGCTCCAACGTCTGCTGTGGCGGTAATTGGCTCCTTATTTGCTTCTGCTTTAGCAAGGATTTCAGGTTGGGCAGATGCAGTTTCCAATTTATCCTTCGCTATTTTAACCTTATCAGTCAACTTCCCGAGTACTTCTTTTCGCTGTCTCGACTTCGCTGCCTGTTTCTCTGATAAAGGTTTCTGGCCCACTCTCTCTTTCCACAACTTCTCCTTCGGCCTTCCTTCATGCAGCCTATTCCCCCATAGCTCACCATACTCGACATGCAAAGTCTTCCAGATACCTTTGATATCCTTCAAACTATCATTAATCTTGTCTTCTGCTGTAAATATTTTATTCCTGTGTGCCCTATGATGAGGCTTCAAATCTAGTCGTGACCTCCAGTTCTTTCCATAAGCCATATTCATATCCGCTCGTATATTGACCATGTTGAGCGCGGCGTCTTTTGTCTCTTTCTCCAAACGTTCCAGAATTTGTATCCATGATTTTCGCGCATAGTGAGGACGATCCCAGACAAGCCGTGGGCCCGATGGCTGGTTATAACCCATTGTGAACCCTTTCTTTTTGACTTCGTTTTTAAGATCGTTTAGGCTGGCTTCGGATTTTCCAAGGATAGGAATTAGTTTGTTTATACGGTTAGCGAGTGCAGTTATACTCTAGGCACAACAATAAGTCAGTATAGGCGGCAATATAGATCATACGCGCGATGAGAACATATAAATGATACACACCTTTCTTGCGGCATCGGACCCCGGCTTTGTATCCGAGATGTTATGGCTGGCGTTAAATGCCTTCCGTACAGCTGTCAGCTGTTGATTATGATCCAGTTTCCCGTCTGCAGCTTTCTGTTTGATCTCAGCCAACTTCTCCGCCATCACCGTGCCGGTTCCTATCACAATAGTCAACCCCAAGCTCCATAGTACGGGCTAATATCCTAGAGAAAAATGACCCACCCAACTTCTCGAAAGCATAAACATTCGCCTTCATACCAATACCATGGTATTCGTGCTTCCTCAAAAACGCCAGCCAAATCTGCACCACCTCCGGATCTCCATCCTTAATCTGTATCAACCTCTTGAACGTCACTCTCTCAAAATTCTGCTGCGCCTTTTTGTGCACGAAGTTACTCTTCGGTACCGTCCATCTCTCCGTCCTTCGCGGTAAAGGTATCGGGCCAAACGCCGGCAATCGTAAATAATAAGCAGCTCGTAATGCAAAATCACAGAAAAACTCTACATTTTTGACTGTAAAAGAACGGATTTGAAGGTCGCAGCTGGGAACACCGTATTGCGCGGGGACCTTTATGGGGGCATGGTAGATTGCTCGCACGGATTGTGGGACCGGTGCATCGGGTACGCTTTCGTCAGAGAAATCTTTATCGTATATTTGTGCAAATTTGGACGGGTCGAGAGTCGAGGTGGGGACAACGGCGGTAGAAGCAGATTCAGTTTGTAATGCCTGATATCGAAAATTCTGTGTTGATAGATGTCGACGGCTGGATCTGACTGCACTGGCAGCCGCTCGTCGTAACATCATCTCGAAAGCAACCAATTGTTGGCTTCAGAATCGGTCTTTCTTTTCAATTGGCTGAACGAGTGTGGAAGTGGGATTTAGTGATGGCGGGGGTTCGTTATCGCAGGAACGTCATGGCACACTCGTTGGGCTTTCTGGTGGTTGTGGAGGGCATCCAAGAAATTTCAGATTCAGGTCGTCTGCGGTCGTTTCAGCCAATCGGATGCCGAGTTTTCACAACAGTTCCCAACGCACTGCCACATACACCCACGCCGACTATTTCGACTGATCCCGAGATGTATCAAGTCAATATTACAATGAATTAGGATTTTTTGTCAAGCGAGGTGTCTAGCTTTGTAAAAGTAGACGCTAGTAAACAGAATGGACAACTTCTACGCGCACATAGTCTGATATTATCACCCATTAAACCACCATTTGTAATAACTTAACTCCCAGCGCTAGCCTGTCTCTTGATCATATCCCTCTTGTGGCTTCCACAAAAACCCGCATCCTGATAGTCTATACCTTCGCCTTTGTTCCGTCAGTCTATTGCCTCTTTGCTTTAATGTCCCTAAACGCTTGGAAAGGATTCTCCCCCGCCGCCTGTCTCTCCTTTAGCTCCTTGATTTCCTCGATGGCCTCATTCACATCCGCTACTACAATATCCTCGTCCGGAATACCAAATGGTTGTGCTTCTTTCCGAAGCTCGTTTAGTACTTGTTCCTTCGTAGGCTTTTCTGGGGCCGCAGTTGATCTCTTCTTCAACTGTGCTTTAATAACACCAACCGCTGGACTCTTAAAGAAGATGTACATGGTAATGATAGCCGCGTGACCGTAGAACTATTAGCTCAACCTGTTAGTTATTTTTCTCATTTATATGTGGGTTGGTTATTAGGGGAGGCTGACTCACCCAGACTCTAGACCAAAGCATGATTGTTTTATCAAAGTCTAAGACGATGAATGGGGGTGACATATATGCTAGGGCTGCTTGAGTGACCACGGCTCCGAAGATGTCGTAGTATATCTTGGACTTTGTGGGTTTCGTGCCATCTGGTGAGAGGAAGAATGGCCGGATATACCTCCGCGAGACTATCGTCGACGGGATTAGTAGCTATCCCAGATTCAATTGATTTTTAGAACTTACATTTAGCGACTGTCTGAACTAACGAAGCGGTAGTGAAAGCAACTAAAATGTCTTATTAGCAACGAAGACCTGCATCGGCGCGATCGCTCTCACTCACGATAATACTACAAAAACTGTCAGCATAACTCAGATATCGAAAGAGGGATTTTCATAAACTTACGCCGGGGTAAAATCCATGCCAGAAGGCACTTGTCACGAATGTCGCCATTGAGCTTCTGAAGCCTGGTTTCTTTCCCTTAGGTGTAACTCTCAGATAGATGTAATTCCTCAACCATTTGTTCGTATTTTTATTCCAAGCCTCCAATAAGGCCCTGCTGTTCTGGGCGGTCTCGAGTGTCCAAGCGTCAATGTTGTTTACTCTATCCCACCGAATACGCTTGTTTTCATCTAAGCCATTATAACCAAGGCCTGCGAGAATACATGCTCCTTCGGTCAAACTCCAGATGCCGTAGTACTTGAACCTCGCACCGAGCATGAGGAAGTAAACGTAGAACATCCTATAATATATATTAGCCTGGAGCGCCATATGAGAGGAAAAGCTGATGTCCAATCCTACCTCCAAATGATGTTGTGTTTCAAAAAGCCATCGCTGAGTGTGAAGTCAACAGTAAACATTGCCGATGCTTTGACAAAAAGTCCAATCCAGATTAATCCAACAATAGCCTTTAGGGTTGCCGGTCGTCCGCTTCTAGGAATACGTCGCTTCTTTCTAAGGACGCCTTTTTTATCAAGCACCTCGACGTCGAACATAGTGGTGTCGAGCCATTTTTTATATTCACTAAAATCGAAGGCAGGCCCAACCATGAGGGACGGGAAGAAAAGCTATTGCAGGCTTAGCGACATTCATTGGTCATTCACGATACTGAAGCGGAATACTTACCACATATCCTGCATAATCTAACAAGCTAGGCATTTCTCGAATCGCGCGATCTTGTTGAAGGGGTGTAAGTTCCTTGAAAATGCATTAGCCTGCAATCTAGAGAGAGTATCGGCAGCGGATAACCCACCGAATCTGGGAATTTCCCATCCCAAACATTCCAGCAAAAGGCAGTTAACTACGATGGCACCGAACTGTCAGCTCCGCCAATAGTCTATTTTTTTCACTACAGACGTACCTTCATAACCAAGACCATTTGCACACCTATTTAAACCCGTAAAATCAGTGGCCTATCCGTATGATTTTTTGTGGTATAATATACATACCAGTGATATCGACAACGGTATCATCGCCCCTCCTCTGTCTCGCAATGTGGGAAATCGCCATATGGCCCATAATAAACACAAATCCTATCCATGGCATCAACGGGCCTTTGATCAAGGCAGCGATCAAGTACGTCCCGACAGAGCTAATCGCAACCGTTCGTATGCCGCCCCATAAATCGAATACGCCCAATAGGTAAAATAGGGACGTCCTAATTCTCTAGCTTTAGTATGATTCCGTTTTCCTTAAATTCTGGCATAACTTGGTGTATGTATGTACGCTATCAAGAAGAGATTCTTCGCAACCGGGTTGACATCAGGAAGTCGCTTAAGGATTCCGGCAAGCGGGTAGGATAACAGGCAAACAAATATTAATTTTACTATAACAGCAATTCAAATTAGTAAAAAAGAAAATAAATAAAAATGATGTTTTGAATAATTTTGATAGCGTTGGGTATATACGTACAATAATCTGGCGGGATCCCTCCAGCATAGTTGCTTATGGTCACAAACTCTGCATACAAACTCTTTTGTCAGCCTCAATCCCATGTATGCTGTATATTATTATCCCGAGATCACTATCATACGGTCGTGTATTATCTGTATCATTTCGAATGGTTTCTGTTTGCACAAGCTTAAGGGTTGGATTCGTTCTTCGTGGTTCGGAGTGAAATTTCCTGGTCTTTGGTTCCCAGGTTCAGTTTGGCGCAATCATGGTATCTGGCATATACACCCGCCCAAACGGCTACCTGTTAGGACCGGTTCCAAACTGCCTTCTTTTATAAACTGGGGGTGTTCATACCCAACGTATAGTGCAGTGGTTTAGAATGTAATTAATCGGAAGAAGGCAAGTACCGAGTAGCAAGTAAGAGGGGCTCCTCCGTGAGGATTAAGTTGGAAGTCAAAGAAGGAAAGATTGAATCCAGTTCAAGAAATTTAAAGCCGGGCAGAGACCGCACCTACTCTGTATAAGTAGGCCTATGATATAACCACGCCAGAAAAAGGGCGTCATGCAGCGCATAAATGAATGAGACCTGCAGCTGCCCATCAAACCAGCCGGCCAGCCAGCGAACCATGTGCCCCGCCTTTTGTTGGGGCAGCCCGGGGAGGAACTGAGACACTGTCCCGGTAACCATCTCCCGATAATCAGATTGATCTTTGGTGAGCCCGGTTGTCTAGACTATTAGATCCAGCAATCGGATGGCTCCCGGGTGGGTGCCTCGGTAGCCGTTGCCAGCCCCTGTCTGCAGCAGCTGTGTGACATTTACGTATAGCTCTCCCCTTCTCCATAGAAACATCTCATATCATGCGCGCAATCCCTAAACACCAACCAACGTTACTAAAACCACCATCAACTTTACCAAGCTTTAATATCCATACGAGCTGTCGCCAGCTACCATTCCCATCAGTTATCCATTTCACGTGTGATTCTGACGATACTCGAGCCTTCCTCTCAAGATGGATATCGTCGCGGCTGTATCGTCATACGTCACTAGAATAATCACCGATGGCGCAGCGTCGACTCAGAACACCGGTGCGACCGGGAAGATGAAGATTTTATTGCTGGACTCGGAAACAGTAGGTGAAGAGTCCACTATTCTTGTATTATATGCCGCGGTTGTGGCTTATTAGATATCGTTTAGATGCCGATAATGTCGACAGCGACATCCCAGTCCACCCTGCTTCAGCATGAAGTCTTCCTGATAGAGTATATCTCTCTCCACCGGTCCATCCTTATCACGACTAGGAATATTGTCTAATTGGCCGATAGTCGTCTTGAAAACATCAATCGCGAGAAAATGCGACACCTGAAATGCCTCTGTTTCGTTCGACCGTCGCCAGACTCGATACAGCTTCTCGTCGAAGAGCTCCGAGACCCAAAGTACAGCGAGTACATGCTCTGTATGTCTCCACATGTCAAAAACAGAAGAAACCTGGTTAATGAAGTTATAGATTTTAGCAATATTGTTAAAAAAAGCTCGTTAGAACGCCTGGCCGAAGCAGACGATCACGAAGTTGTCAAATCAGTCCAAGAAGTATTCGCCGACTACCTCGTTGTCAACCCGGACCTGTACGCTCTTAAGGACAGCGCATTGAATGGGTTAAGAATATGGTCACAGTCTCCAGATCAGTGGAATCCCGATGCCCTTATTCGGGCGACGGATGGTGTTCTAGCGTCGTTATTAACTCTCAAGAAGAAGCCGTTGATACGGTATGCTCGGAATAGCTTAATGTCTAAGAAGCTAGCCACCGAGTTAACTGTAGGGTTCCTACGATGGGATGAGGGGTGGGCGAACAGAACTTGCTAATATTTCGAATATAGTTCCAAATGACCCAAGAAACCCAACTATTTGACTTCCGAAAAACCGATACACCGCCGATACTCCTTATCCTTGACCGAAGAAGCGACCCCATCACTCCTCTACTCTCTCAATGGACCTACCAAGCCATGGTACACGAGCTGCTCGGCATCGAAAATGGCAGGGTGGACTTAAGCGATGTGCCAGACACCCGCCCCGAGCATAAGGAAATAGTCCTCTCAGCCGACCAAGATCCTTTCTTCAAGAAGAACATGTATGTCAACTTTGGCGACCTAGGCAGCAACATAAAGGAATACGTCGATCAATATCAGGCTAAAACAAACTCGAGCAAGAATCTCGAGAGTATAGCGGATATGAAACGATTTGTCGAGGAGTATCCAGAATTCAGACGGTTGTCCGGGAACGTCAGCAAGCATGTTAACCTGGTGTCTGAGCTAAGTCGGCGTGTTGAGAAGGAGAGCCTGCTAGAAGTTTCAGAGCTGGAGCAGAGTTTTGCATGCCAGGACAATCATAATGCGGATTTGAAGGTATTTTTCCATCTCTGGCAGCTCTAAATTGTATTGAAACAATGGGACTGACATGTGTGCAAATAAGACTCTACAAAAGCTTCTACAGTCTGCGATTCCCCCAGAAAACAAGATACGGTTGGTGGCACTGTACAGTATAAGATACGAGAAGCACCCCAACAACGCTCTTCCCGTTCTCATGGACCTGCTGCAAGTTGGTGGTGTAAGCCCTACAGACTGCAATGTAAGTTATTACCGATCCTATTAGGAAGCCAGAGTCATCTAACGATCTACAGAGCGTACGGAACCTTATCAGCTTCTACCACTCCTTGAAATCTCAGGAAGATATATTTGAGGCATCAGATATCTTTTCGCTCGCCAGCCGAAGTCTCAAGGGTTTAAAGGGTGTAGAGAATATCTATACACAACATACACCACGAATGGGCCAGACACTCGGAAGTCTAATCAAAGGAAGGCTAAGCCTTCAATCTTATCCCTTTTTCGAGGGCGGCGGTACAACGAAGGATAAACCACAGGACATTATTGTATTCATGGTCGGTGGTGCGACGTATGAAGAGGCTAGGTTGATTGCTCAGGTCAATGCTTCGACCCCAGGTGTCAGGATTGTACTAGGTGGAACGAGTATGCTAAACAGTGATTCATTTATCAAGGTAACCTCCACCTAAAACAAATACCTACGCATATAATTACTAACTAGTCTTCGAAATTATAGACAGCGAATGAAGCTACATCTATGTGGCCTATCTCCGCCCCGACTAATGCGAGTGGGAGATTGAGGAGAGAGATTGGAGCCATTTAAATTGTATCTTTGACCTGGTTAGCATTTTATTTGGTTGTAGCAGGATTCATCAGCGATGCTGTGGATGTACTCTTAGTAAATCTGGTGCCATTGGAATGGAGTCTGGCGTATTCATAGAATAAATATCTGTTAATATATTTTCAAGTACTTGTATATCATATTTCATGGTCAAGTACCCGACATGCCATAGCTGTAACATTCTTGAAGCTGTTCAGGCTTGAGTGTAACATATGTGGCTGAGCTGCGATGTGGCTTGGCAGCTCCGTTATCTAAAGACCTCCCACAGCTCCATGACGCCGCCAATTCAACATCCCACCTTCTCCAACACAGCTCCCCGCATCATCGCCATCACCGCTCATCGCCCTCCATCATGGCAAGCCGCATTGAAAAGACTATTGCTCGGCTAAAGCAGAGGTATCATTTCCCTTGCGAATCATCGTTGCATGTCAGAGCGCTATCCACATACTGACCTGAAGTAAAAAACGGTCCACAGAATTGAAGAAGGCCAACATTACGAAGCCCACCAACAACTCCGCGTCGTCTCCGCACGGTACATCAAATCCTCAAACCCACAGTCAGCTATCGATATCCTCTTTTCGGGCGCACAGTCGCTTCTTCAAGCTTCACAGTATGCTTCAGGTGGAGATTTAACCCTCACATTACTGGAAGTCTACACCAACTCTTCCATCCCGTGCGATTCTGCCTCCAAAGGTCGTCTTTACACCCTCTTATCCCTCATCCCGGAAACCGAGCCTACGAGAAAGAAAATCATAAACTCCGCGGTTATCTGGAGTTCCAAGAATTCGGAATACGAAAGTGGTGATCCGGAGTTACATCACTTCGCTGGATCAATATATGCGAAAGAACATGAGCCTTATGATGCCGAGAAGCATTTGTTGTTAGGTACCAAAGACAGTTGTACCGTTCTTACAAATCTTTTGTATACATGGTACCTTCAAGACGAACCTTCTACGGCGCCGCTATACATTTCGAGAGCAGTTTTATGCTACCTGTTGATCGGGAATGTGAGGGAGGCAGTTGCAGCGCTGGATTTGTTCACCAGTCGATTGTTGGAGGATAATAAGGGAGGGAAATTGGCAGTTCAGAGCGTGGAGACTAATGCGCTTGATGCGAGGATTTTTCCGGCTTTGCCATTAATGAACTATTTGAGACTGTTGGTGTTGACAGTAACGAGGGGTAAAGGTGGGGCGGATGTTTTTAGAGGGTTGAGGCAACAGTATCAGAACCTTCTAGCGGAAGTTGGAGGGTGGGATGAGGTGTGATTTCCCCTAACGCCTCAATTTAAAGTATAGATATACTAATATGTTGTGGTATAGGCGCTCGAACAAATCGGAGAGATGTACTTTGGAATCCAAATACCTAGACAGAGGAACTTTATGGCGGATATGATGGGTTCTTTGTTCGGCGGTCCTTCCCCTGCTGGAAGTGGAGCAAGTAAACGGCCACAAGTTGGAGCGCCGAAGGCTCCACCCCCTGTTGAACTTGATTGATGGATGAGTGATGGATGATATGTATATGACGGACAGGGCGGGCCATTATGTAATATTTGACGGTAGTAATTAATGATACATAATAATCTGACGCTGGTAGGAAAGAAGTAGACCGGAGGGTATCTGAACTGAAGCAAAGGGGCTATAAAAAAAGGCAATAGTCTAGAGCGGCAATGCCGGATGGGAGCGCTAACACGGAGATGAAGGTTTCGTGCGGTCGTGAACGGAGAAGAGAAAAGAAGAAGTGCGCTAACATGAAGAGAACTTGCTGAAAACAAGAACTCCAGGCCAAAAAAAGACACATAGACCTAGCAAACCCTCCACATCATTAAAGGACTCCGTATATCCCATTATTCATCATTCATCATTAATAATTATAGTCGATAGTATCCTCCATGTGTATTAATTGATTTGAACCGGACAGGTAAGGCGTCGAATTCGAGGGTAAAAGTGAAATCAGCGATAGTACAACTGCTTCCTATAACGAGTCGGATTCGGATCCTCCTCCGCCTCATACATCCAAGCATCATCAGCCAGTGAAGCGACTCGTTGCTTATTCAGAGCCTTGACTGTTTCGATATCCAATCGCTGACGAGGTCGTTCGTTATCTTGGGTCGAATACCGAGAGCTGAAGTTGACGGGCTCGGCGAGGTGAGGTTCTGTGTATCCTTCTATAATCCCCAATATCACACTGTCAGCCCAGCTCTTCTCATATATACCTCATATAGAACAATCCAAAAGCTTCAATGTAGGGATGAAATCTAAAGTAAGTACCATTCAAATGCTCAAACAACTCCGGCATGATAATCCTCAGCATCCGATGTGGGATCTCAAAGTTATCGCCATAGCCACCATTAGCATCACGAACGATTGCTTCGTTATCCGTAGCAGCATTGTCGCCATCGTCGTCGAAGAAAGGCGTAGGACCTTCTCTAGCTCGTTCACGGTGATTATGATGGTGATGGTGGTGATGATGGTGATGATGATGACCCCCACCGCCGCCGCCGCCACCGTTGCCATGATGATTATCCAGCTGGCTTACACCCCGACGGTTTGTGGCGATCTGAGCGGTGGGTGTAACCGTTGGATGAGCATGAGCCTGCGAGGAGGCATGGCCATGGCGATCGGAGGAAGAGTAGTCTAGGATGTTCGCCGAGTTGGAGCGGGAGTGTCCGCTGCGATAACGACGGGATTCCATTGCTGTTGTTGTTGTTGGTTTGTTGGCGTTGTTGGTATGCCAATATTATCGATGGTGATAGAGATATCTACTTCCAAGATAGGGATCGAGATGGAGGGCGATGGGGATCCATCCCAACAGGGGGTCCGAGTGCGCTGGTGTGGCATTTCAGCCATGGGAAACGCGTTGTCGCAGAAAGGCGCATTTAATAACCATAACTCGTGTAAACATTGCATCGAAGCTAGTGCTAGCGACTGGCTACCAGGTTGGACCGAAGTTCGATATCTTCCTTTTCGTCGCCTTTCCACACCCCCACTTCACCTCTGCGCCGGTTGCGATTTCCTGGAATAAAATAGTTCCCGATTTCGTATAAAAAGTTGATAATGCAGGTTTTCGACGTAACAGATTACGCGACTAGATTCGCGGGGAAGAGTAGCGCTATCAAACGGCCCAGGGTATGCATTTTATCTAAACAAGAAATAGAAAAAACTCTCCATCTGTTTCCCTAGTATGGCACGGCGCGGGGCGCGGGGGATGTGTGCCAAAAAAAAAGGCATCTTTGATGCACGATGTGATCTAGTGAATAATGTTGTATACATATTTTATATATAGGAAATCACATACTTTTCATACGACGACAATCACACTCTAAGACACGATGAATCCTCGCTCCGATATTATTACACTCCAGACTTGAATGCCGATTTAAGTCGGGGATATAGCACTTTTGTGAAGCATGATGATTCGGTGGATGAGCATTTGGATAGTCTGTTAGATGCGCTGGTGGAACTAGAGAAGAAGGAAGGGAAACCTTCAACCGAAGGGGTCCATTTTGTTACTTGGAGGGGGATGATGACCAAGGTTTGTAAACCCCCTCGGCATCTATATAGGTATGCTGTATACTAGTTATAAATTCTAGTTTACTAATACAAGAGGAAATAGATCATGACGGTACCGTTCTTGGAAGATGGGTAACTCTCCTATACCTTGTGAACCCCTCGATTTTGAACATATAGGACTAAACGAGCCGGTTCCAGCTTTGAAATGAACGCTGTCTTTCACGAAGTCAGTCTCTCCTGTCCCGGATATAAGAAATCAAAACATTCGAAACGAATTTGCTGAAAAATGGGATATTTATAGGGGACAATGTAAGCACGATGGAACTTATCCGAGGAGAGACACATTGCTCATTACTCCTATAGTTTTATCGAAGAGAATAATCTCTATAAACAGTCCACGAGAGGATTTCAGGATGAACGGGGGGCTAGGATGTCATTCTGGGGTACATATATTCGCACAAAATTTTGAACCTACGTCAAATCAAGAATACTAATGTATCGATTCAAGGATACAAATTCGAGACTCTGGCGACGCTATCCAAACCATGGGATGATGCTACAAGAGAAGAGATAGAAGGTCGTCCGAATGAAATTGTCAACAATAAGGCACAGTACTGTAGTAAGTCTAGCAGCCGTCTCTCCATATATTTCTAGTAAATCGGCCTAAGCTTACTCATAATCAAATGGTAGGTATTGTCCAAACGGGCTTCGGCGACAGCGGCATAATAATCGCCGGGGAGGTGGATGCGAGTAAGTCCTGCCCCTCTCATTCTCAACCAATTCTTCTACTCACCTTAATTGCGTAGTTTGGGACTGCCGTCCAATGAACCCCGCCAACCCGATCCACTACGTAGAGCTAAAGACCAGCCGCCAGGTCACCTCTGCGAACCAACAAATCAACTTCGAAAAGAAACTCCAACGCTTCTGGGCCCAGTCTTTCCTTCTGGGAGTTCCCAAGATCATCATAGGGTATAGGGATGACCATGGGATTTTAAAGAACGTGGAGATCAAAGAAACACAGGGGATTCCGACGGAGATTAGGAAATCGCATGTTGCCCAAGGATTAGGGCCGCCACCTTGGAACGGTAATGTGGCTATTAACTTCACTACTGCATTTCTAGAGTGGTTGAAGGGTGTACTTGCAGGGAAGGATGGGCTGTGGAGGATCAGATATCAGCAAAGGGGTAGTCGGATTGAAGTCTTTCAAGTCCAAGAATCTGGGAATGCTGGGGTGCTTACAGACCGTTTTTTGGCGTGGAGAAGAGAATTACGAGAAAAGCCCCTAGTAGCGCAATCCGGTAAACTCGATTTAGAGACCGAGACCGAGACCGGCGAGGCCGGTATATGAAGCTGTGGCGAAGTAGTAGGTGGTACTCTTTCTATTTGTAATTTTCCTCGACACTTGTGTATCCGTTTTGACTGCATAGCGCTGCGCTGTATTACTATTAATCGATGACTCAAGGACCAATTTTTAATTTTTAATCTCGAATTATAATCATATTCATCCGCATCCATCTATTCTTTATGCAAGTAGGATATCCGGATATATAAGCCTCTCCTTTGTCGACTACGATTCTACAAGCCAAATATTTTCTCTCTCTCTTTCCACTCTACTTGACTCCTCCAGATCCATCTCTATTTAACTTCACATATCGCCCAGACCAGGCCGACACAGTTCGCCAAAACAGTATCGTTGAAATCCAACAAGAACTTTTTTTTCTTCAGTGTTGCAGACGCAAGTTGCAATTTGCCCCACCAATTGCAATTGAATATCTTCCCCCCAACCATGGCTACTCCATCCACCATTCTCACAGGTGCTCATGAAGAGAAGACCATAAATGACTTTCCACTTCCAACTCGTCAAGCAATTGTCAATTCTGGCTATCCAGAATGGTACAAGAAGTACCGTGGGATCACTGGTAAGGCCAGAGTTATTCCATTGACCACCGAATTTCTTGACTATTTGAAAGCCGATGGGATTATTCTCCCGCCTGATACTCCGTAAGAATTACTTTTTTTTTTAGAAAAAAAAACAAGCAGAAAAGAATCTAATAAATTCATATTTCATACTAGAGTCGTTTCAATCAGCGATAGAGACTCTGGCGTCTTCTCCGTCACTAACACCGAAGACTCAGATGGCGACGATGATGACGACGATGGTGAAAATCCCGCCCAAAACTTCCCAGAAGTCCACGCTGCCATCATCGCCGCCATCGCCGAACTCGGCGGCGCCGTCTATCCAAAGTTGAATTGGTCAGCCCCCAAGGATGCAGCCTTCATGCTGGGTAACACACTCAAATGCAGTTCTCCATCGGATGTATATCTACTTCTCAAATCGTCCAATTTCATCACTCATGACCTTGAGCACGTCTTTGATGAAACTCTTGATACACCAGATGAAAGTGGGAAACTTTTGCAACTGTCGGATGTGGAGTATGCGCTCGTTCTTCGCAAATGGGTTGATGTTATAACATCCGTTGAGTTCAGGTGCTTTGTAAAACAACGTAAGATTGTCGCTATCACTCAGAGAGATCTTAATCATTATGATTTCTTGGAGAATGGGAAAGAGGAGTTCTTGGCTTTGATTCAAGAGTTTTTTGCTAGACATTTGGAGATGACTTTTCCTGAGGCTGATTGTAAGTTCCTTTTTTTTTTACCTTCTCGAAACCCTTCTTTGCATATTCTTAAGCACTTAACACCCGCCAAACGAAGAAATGGGACATATGATTAACTAGAAGAATAGTCGTCTTTGATGTCTATATCCCCAAAACACTGCTCACCGAATCCCGCGTCTGGCTCGTCGACATCAATCCATATTCGCCGAAAACAGACACTTTGACTTTCGCCTGGCAGGAGATACTTAATATCGACCCTTCCGTTCCAGATTTTAAACCTAATTTCCGACTCATCAAGAAGAATGACCCAGAGGCATATGGATTTGCACAGCCATATTCAGCACACAAATTGCCGAGAGACGTTGTCGATGCAGCTGCCGGTGGTGCAGAGTCTATGTTACAATTCAAGAACGATTGGAAGCATATCGTTGAAGGATTAGGAGCAACTGGGATTGATGATAGCAGTGATGAGGAGGAGGAGGAGGACGAGGACGAGGAGGACGAGGAGGACGAGAATGGTAGTGGTGGAGAGAAGAAAGACGATGGGATTGAGAAGACGAATGATGGGAAAGTTACAGGCTGAGGGGTGACTTGGTATCTTTCGTCATTGGATTGGAATAGTTATGAATGTGTGGGTTTGCTTTTCGTTATGGGATTGTGTCTGATTTAAAATCTTCTGTTTGGTTGTCGTTAGAATACTGGCGTTCTCCGTATGGGGTTTCTTTCTAGCATCTGGACATATTCACGAACTACACGTTCGATAATTGGCTTGAATCCAAAAAATATTTATTCTTTATCATGATAATTATCATTTCTTCCTTTCTTCATCTTGTTATTTTCTTTGATGGTAATAATGTACAATAAAAAGGATATTCGATGTATCCGGGGTATCATATGCATGAGCGTAAAAAAACCAAAATCATCAAGGCTAATATCTTACACATTTCTTGCTCCAACGAAATCATCAATGCACATGATCACGTCTCGCCGTCATTAATAATTAATTGTAATGTCATATTTTAGATTAGAACTTGCCCTTTTTCCTCTTATCCTTAACCTTTTTATAAAACTCCTTCTTCCCACTTCTCTTCCTCGCCTGGATCTCTTCGTACTTCTTCTTGAACCTACTTTTACTCCCAGAGCTCGACAATATTTCATCGACAATAGTCTTCTTTCTGTCTTTCCTGTTCATGCGAGCGCTGTAGAATTCCGTAGGACCTTCAATGACGGTACCCATTTGGAAATACTTGGGGATTTTCCCTTTCCAGTCGTCGCCTTTGAAGTGCTTGTGGCGGTCTAAAACGTTACGGAGTTTGATCATTTGAAGATCGCGTTTGATTTCTGGGGTTACGGCAGTGGCAGGCATGTTGTACCAGTTTGGGCCAGCAGTCTTCTCTTCGTTCTGTTTTTGGTTCGAATATAACAAGTGTTAGCCTTCCAACAGCACTTTGCAGGTGAAGAAGAAATAAAAAGGCAGCGGATGTTATAATATCGTTTAAAGATAAAACAAAAGAATCAGTGTAACTATGAACAAAATAACCCTCATTTTGTGCAAGCGTGCCTCCAAGACGGTGGCCGTGTTTGCTCGGTTTCAATGAATTTGGGAATGTTCTCATCAGGTGGTTTTGATAATTGGCAGAATAATGGAGATTTTAAGGAAAAGAGAAGGATCATACCTCTTTCTTAGACTTCTTGAGTTTAACTGGGTCGTCTACACGCATAAACGGGAGCTCTACTGATTTTTTGGTATGTAGACGAGTAGAAGATGACGACGACGAAGCAGTCGGTTTCCGGCCAGACTCCGTGATCGACGTGACTCCACGGTGACCCGTTTGCAGATAGGACTTTAAGGATTTACTAGTTTCTAGTTTTGGAACTCTAGTTCATGTTGTTAGTCTATATTGTTGATAAAAAATAATAATGAAGAGTCACTATGTAGTCTACCAAAAGGCGGCCAATGACATAGGGATTTTTTTTTAGACGAAACGAACCTATGCTTTGTGACAGCCGTGGCAGTATGATCAACGGCTTCCCGCATCCGCGTCTCCGCTTCGGTTAGCAGAGCGTCGATTTCTGCATCCTCGAGAGAAACGGATGGGTCCATTGAATCTGCCAACGACTGGCCGGGAGCTCGGACGACGATTGTATCGGTCATCTCGCTGACGTCAGGTTGTGACAGTCGCTTGTGGAGACACAGAGCGGGGGAGGAGGTGGCATGAAGAAGAGGAGGAGGAGGAGGAGGAAGGAGGAGGAGAAGTGGTGATGATGGTCACAAGATTGAGTGAAGGAGGGAAAAAGGTTTGTGATTGAAGAAAATTTTTGTGCATGGAAATAATATTTTTTCTTTGTTTTGTTTGGCGGGTCCACGCTAACGCAAACTGAGGGCCTTTCGGGCGCCAAGCTTTTGGCCGCAACCTCGTGGGAATGGTCCACCAACGCAGACCGCAGCACGTTTGGGAAGTCACACCGTCACGTTGACGGGAACTACCACTTACTATAAACCAACATCATTGGTAGTTAACGTTATAGCCAATGAACCATACCAAACCAAGTCGCAGCTCGCCTGTTTGGCGGGTAGGATAACCCTCGGGACGTTGGGAAACCGGGAAAACAGTGACAAATTCGTCAATCCTTTGGGCAGCTTATGTTTGCTGATGTCACAGTGTCAGTCAGATGATCGTTCAGCTGTGATAGCGACTGCAGAAACGAGGGCGGTCTGTGGAGTGATACCTTTCTGGCGGATCATGCCTATTGCCCCAAGTCTCTGATATCATAAGATATACCGTCAATTAGGCCCAATTGGATGCGCCGCTGCAACGGATTCATATTGCCGTCGTTGCAATACAGACCAGCGCAGAGTTGGTGCTTCGATGTAGAGGGAAACCCCAGAAATGCAATTCGGTTTGTAAATGTATGATACTCAGGCGGTCAACCCAGGGTATTTTTCATATGATCATGTAGGCCGTCACAAAGGCTCCTCTTCTAGAAAGAACCATACAAACCAACCCAGAATTATGGAATGCCATATGATTTGGCAAACTTCGGAGCAAGGGAGGGTAACCTGCAAGCTGCAAGCCATGGATGCACCTCGATCCCAGGCGTGCTCGTCTTTCTTGTCTTATTTCTTTTTCTTTAGACTACTAGTACTCCGGGAGCTATCAAACGAAGCCGAAGGATTAAGCCCAGTTGAGACATATTGACAACAGCACTTCTCGATTTGGCTCGAAAAGGGCACTTTCTCAGCTCTTTTCATTCTGGTGCAAAAGGCCATGTGGACATTCGGATGTAAGATTGTGAGAAATTTTCACAAAAAATTTTTAGACTTTTTGCAAGGCTAGTAAGGAATCAGCATAGCGAAATTTAAGATTTTAATTCTGGTGTCATTTCCTTTTTCGAGGCGGAAAATTATGATAGTGTGTTTTGAGGTTGACGATATGCGAGATACCAGAGGTCTGGGAACATCTGGAGAAGCGAGCTGCCTTGACGTATCGATGTCTCGTATCAGACGTAAGCCCCGGTCTGTATACCGAACCTTTAATTCCACATTGAAAGCCTCAGAAGGAAGCATACATACGCAAGACGCAGAAGCATAAGCATGTAAGTCGGCACGAGAGCAAGACGCAAACCGTTCCCGTGGTCCAATATATCCCGCTCCGTTGCCAGAAGCTTCGAAAGAAAGCTCGCGCTGGAACGATTATCCGGCCACTACAAGCTTTTACCGATAGACGACAGGTCTCCTTTCCTTCGATATGAAAGGGCGGTAGATTACACCACCGGCATGTCCATGGCCATGGTGGCCCCCCATCATTAGCACGAGCCGACACCGGTTTGCGCGCATGGTGGATCTTAGCAGAATGTTGTCGTGTTTTTAACAACGCATCCTGCAGCTGCTGGAGTTTTGATGCATACTAGTCCTTGCATGGTGGCTGCAGCTCTGCCTCGAACGGAGCTGGCCTGGCATTCCTAAAACAGTCGAGGGTAGTGGTAATTTCACGAATACTCAGGCCATATCGGTTGATGAGCCGGATGGTCCAATATCATAGGAACTTTTGACGGTTAAGGATTGATTCACGGAGTCCGACGGTGGAGAGTGAGTGAAATTGAGAACCCGAGTAATGCTAGCTTCGGACTAGCTAGGGTTTGATATCAAAGACACCAGTTGACATCTGGCGAGGGTATTTGCATGGAGGTTAAACAGTGACTGCAAAGTCCGATTGGTCTCATTACCGAGATTGAAAGGAGCCATGAAAAAGAAGCTTAAATTTTGGTGAGTCCCATCAGAATGGTTCGACGACGACGAGATAGGCAATATTTAGGTAGGACCATGGGGGGTGTGGTAAGGCCTATGGCCAGCAGGTATGACACCATGCACCCTGAAAGGCATCTATCTCGGAACCCCCCATGCCGTTGAGGGTGATTCTGTCCACACCATCCTTCGAGTTATTAATTTGCCTTACAGACGTAAAGAATTATTATCAAGTCATATTAGAAAACAAAGTATACACGGAAGGATATGTGTATGTACAGCTCACCTAGTTGATTGCAAAATGGCGAAGCAAGTACCAGATATAGCTAGTAAATTAAAGATGGTGGTAATGATGATGCTGGCGCTAGTTGTCCCGCATAAAATGATGTATGCACAATATGCCGCTTCGAGAGAAAGGTTTGCTGGCACGGGATGGGAGAATTCGAACAATCGAAATTTCGAGGCGAGGTCAAGAGCAAGAAAAAATGGAAATAGATCTATTCAATTCATCTGGGATATACTTCTTCTTCTTCTTGAGAGTAGATTCGATTCGAACATTCACAGGACGTACGTACGTATGTACCTGAAGCACAGCCTGGGGAATTCAATAGCATTAACGTGAAAACAAACAATTGCAGGCATGGCAGGCCCTGCAAAAGAGACTGAGAGTGTGCAGCGTAACACAAAGACTGGCTGAGCTAGTTAGTGGTGTGTGTATTTAGTACATCGAATTCGAATTGATTGATTACAATTGCACAGCGTTTATCTGCATATGCGATTTTAGATCCTACCTAGCCTGATCTCATCGAGTGAGTGAGTGCATGTAACCCGAGTTGTAAATTGGCTGATCATGATTATGATCAGGATGGGGGTGGAGTGGAGTGGAGTGGAGTGGAGGGGTTTACGTACCGATACCGCAGATTGGCAACCCGGGAACGGCTGGAACGATGATATCGTCAGGTACTCGAAGGTTCCTGCTGTTGGGATGTAATGTACTGTACATCGCTGTATCCTGCAATCTTATACGTCGAGACGTCGTTCGTAGTCGACCGAGGCTGCAGCAGCTGCATCAGGCTCAAGGCGCATCCAATCGCCCTGATATGTAAGAGGTATACTATTACCATGTATACCAATCAATGGAATTATTCAAATGCATCTGCTCAAGAAGTCTCCGATTGCTTAATCATATTTAAGCATCCGAGGAGCCATTACGATTACGATTCCCTTTTCCTCTCCCTCCGACTAGCTCGAGCAGACATTCAATCAATCAATCCTATCGATATCCAATATCCAATATCCAATATCCAGAACTCTCGTACCGCTCTCCAATAGGAGCTTTCCCTTCCCATTGCTCCTCCCATTTTTTAAAAATCTGAGAAAGTCAACTTAGCTTCCTTTAGTTTAGCTTTAGTTGCAATTGTATCCACACTCATTAAGGTCCAGGAATAATAACCTTAATAACCCACGTTTCTCTCGAGTCATAAAAAAAAGGTTCCCCGCTGCTGATTCTTCACAGCGCTTTCCCTCACCTTTTTTTTT